TTATCATCCATGGCGTTTTGGTTTAATAATAATCGTCTACAACTCATGAGCCGTTCGTCTTCTTTATTCTTCTGTAAGTCGATCAGTATTTCAGCGGCTTCCTTCTTGTGAGGGCCCGTGGGAGGTTTACTCATGCACTCGGCAAACCAATGCTTGTTACTGGGCTGCATGTGAAAACGGAATGAATTTGATCAACACGGCAAGTACCGAGTTAGCTAATATTGGCCGTTTTTATGCTTAAGACGGATAATACGTCTGGACGATTTATACGTCTAAGCTTTAAACCGTCCAGCAGCATAAAGATGGGTCGATTTAACACAAAAATAAACGGCAAAATCAATTGATCGAAACGAGTAAACAACTTTAGTTCGTCTGTCAAGACGAATTAAACGATAAAATCGTCTGGACGGTTAATTCGTCTTATGGCCATCTTTATCCTTTGACGATTTAAGATACGCATTAAAAAGATTCGTCTTAAGTCGTCCAGTCGAACGTATTATCCGTCTTAGGCATAAAAACGGACATTAAGTGCGAAGAAATGGGTAATATATTAAAAAAGATAGACGAATTTTTTCTCAGCAAAACTTCTTTATCGACTGCAATAGATAACGAGCAATCTTTTGCAAATTGTTTTCATTATGATATTTTTTATCAATGTTACTTCGAGGTTGTAACATTGACATGCGACAAAATTCATCAACAACTTGGCGCCATTAAACTGCAAGCTTCGTTGTTATCGAGTTTCTTCCGAAAGTGAATTGAAAGCTAATTGACGCCAATAAAACCAATCATTGGGATTTGTCGTTTTCAAATTGTCCTTTTCTTTAAATATTTTGGTTATTTGGAAACTTCATAGTGTTTGTTGTTGCAGCCGTCTTAAGATCAACGCAGTTTGCCCTCAGCTTGTTTGCCGGCTTGCGACAAATAGCAAAGATATTTCCATTTTAATGCTGAATTTGAAAAATAGAAGATTGAAAAAGGAACTATACTAAAATTTACACGACGACATCGCGTTTAACGGGCATTGCCGTGCATGAGATGATTGCAAATGGGAAGAGCTGAACTTAGTGAACTATTTTTAATTGACGACCTGTTTACGCAAGGGAATTTTGTCGGCTTTCATCAAATATATTTTATTGGCAGTGATGAAACGAATGTACAATTTGAATATTGAAGCTCATTTGCTCATATTTTGAACAACAAAATGTCTGGAGCCGGTGTGTATGGCAAAAAAATGAAGACAGATGTTTCATTCACCAGCCTACAAGCAATATTTTTGCTATAACCATGCACTCTGAGACCTGATGGCCGGAATTTAGTTCAAATCGTTTGGACTTTTACAGGCTTACTGCTCTAGAATTGATCTGTTAATGTACAAAAGAAACAGCTAATGTATCCTTATATGAAAAAGGAACCTATAAGAAACACAATTGCTGCATTGAAGCTCGTTTTGTATTTCTTTTCACTGTTTGCATTCTTTTCACAAATGAGCAAAAGCGGACGGTATTAAATGAAGCAAAGCTCATAATTGGCTTGTATGTAGCAAGGTTAGGGAACGTTTGCACTCACTGATCCGTCAAACAAGTCCAATGGATAAATACCTCTGTTATTTACACCAACGTAAAATTAAATTGACGTTTATTTTGTCGTGGAGTGATCTTCACATAGTAAAAGCAGGTTAACGAATCGAAAATTTCAAAACCGAAGCAACAGTGTTTTTTTTCATCATAATTTTGATGTATTTGAGTTTATACCGTTCAGTTTCATTAAAAAGACTATTACAATAGGTAAAAACAATGATGTTTTGCCTAATTCATGAGATAATTAAACACTTACCAAAAATTAGCATTCGTATAAAGATTAGTATTCGTATCGATCATATTCTTCCTTGCCACTTTCAAATAAATGAGCAGCACGTCGCACGTCGACGTCTTCGTGCCTTAGCGAATGGTGATGTCAGAACATGATTAAATATTCAAATTTATAAAACAACGCGCGAGCATAAATTTTCATGGTATCAAAATCCTGTTTATTTCAGTTGTTTGGTTTTTATTCATCGTCTTTATATTCATGTTTTACTATATGTCAATACCACTTTTGTGTTCACACACTGCAAAAACTATAGAGATTAAATATGAAATTAATTAGGATACAGTTTTGAATACTATCGCTGTTTCTGTGTGCTGCAGTCTCGATATTTTTCAATATCGACAATATTTTCTGTCACACATCAAATTGATTTTTAATAAATGAGTTAATTGAGTTTATCGACTTGTTTCCAAAATGGCTGAAAATTTGGAAATGTAATCAGGCTTGTTACACTCTCGCAGTGTTGTGTAGAATTATTTTGAAAAGACACACAGGGACAATCAATCAAAATGTCAATTGTTTAAAGACATTATAAAACATTGAAATAACACATCAAGTATGATAAAGGTAAATGTTTTCACTGTTATTTCTTACAATTGAGGGAAACTTATATTTTGTTCAAAATTAAATCGGATTTTTTTTTACTTTAAAGCATTTAAAAATAAAACGTCCGAATGAGCATAAAGTATTCGAAGTTGATGCACGACGCAAAAGCTTGAAAAAACAAAAACAGCCGGCAGTTATGAAAAAACAAGAAACGATTGACAGAGTGTTTCGACGCTCAACATCATATGCAAGTTAGTTTTAGAAGATTTATTCCTGTGATGTCTTTGGCCTTCTTTTTAGATTTAATTCACAAAAAAGTATGAAATAACATGAAGGCTTGTATAATTCGTGAATCTCTTAAATATATTTTAGCTGATTCTAATCGTTTCAAAGCACTAAGCAGTGTCTTGGTCGAAATTATTGCTCTTGACATGCAGCCCACCATTATTGTAGAAGATAGAGGATTTCTAATGTTTATGTCGTCACTGGATCCCAAGTATAAGCTTCCAAGTCGAAAGACAATTTCTCACATTTTATTGCCACAAAATATAAAAAATTTCCGACAAAGTCCGTGCTGACCTTGACATGGTTTAGTATCTTGCCACAACAACTGATATATGGACGTCCATGCAAACCAAAGATTACATTACTTTCACATCACATTATATAACACCTGTTTGGGAGTTAAAATGGCGTGTGCTCGCTAAAGTGCAGCTCACCAGTCAACACAGTGGAACTAATATTGCGTCAGAGTTAGACAAGCTTGCAAATGAATGCACCGACAACGCACCTGATATGATTGCTGCAGCTCGCATTTTTGGGTGGACTCATTTTTCATGTTTTGCTCACACGTTAAACCTAGTTGGAACAAGTGCAATGAAAGCCGACGATAACCTTGCCCGAGTTCAACAAAAGGCCAAGAATTGGGTATCTTTTTTCAATCACAGCGCCAACGCTATTGATCACCTTTGTGAAGTTCAGAAGCAAATATCAATACCAGCTCATAAGCTCATACAGGATGTCGCCACTCGCTGGAATTCTACTTATTGTATGTTCGAAAGACTCGTCGAGCAATTTGAATCTGTCACTACAGTCCTTTGTCTCATTGGTAGAAATGACCTTTGCCTGACCATGGAAGATTTAGTGGTAATGAAGAAAGCAGTTTGTGTACTAAAGCCATTTGTTGTTGCAACTGAAGAAATGTGTGCTGACAAGCATGTTGGTGTTTCAAAGGTTCTCAATGAAAATTAAGCTCATCCGGTAAGTCTGCTTTTTTGACTATGTCGACACTAATATTTTTTATGCTCAACACGTAGATTATTCCGTTGGGGAGATCACTGCAGTTTGTTGCAAGTGAAAATGCAAATAACTGTTCGAATGGCTTGGCAACCAATATGGAAAATGAGCTTAACAGAAGATTCTCCAACATAGAATCTGTGCCCCTTTTTTCTTTGGTGACTTTAGTGGATCCAAGATTCAAAAAAGTAGCTTTTACCCAAAATGCGTCTTGTGACCAAGGTCAAAATCGTTTGATATCAGAAATGTCACCTTTGGCTCTGTCAACGCAATCTTAACCGCCTCAACACGTACCAGAAAATAGTTTCGACTACAATTACGAATTATGGAAGAAATTTGATGACATGGTAACTGCTGCTCATAATCACCGAACTAGTAATACTGAATCACCATAGAATGCCGAAAATACTTCGAGCAGAAAAACATACCGAGGAAAAGCGATCCATTGATTTGGTAGAAAGAAAATGCCTGTCAGTACCCCTTCTTGAAAAAATTGCAAGGAAATATCTCTGTGCGCCAGCGACTTCAGTTCAATCAGAGAGACTATTCTCTAAAGCGGGAGAACTGGTAAGCAAAAAAGAAATAGGATAAAGGCAAAGAACGTTGACATGATGATTTTTTTTAACCAGGAATATGTAACTTTCAAAAATACATCGCTACTGTTAACATGTTCCAAAGTGCAAAAATATTTATTTATCTTTCAGAACAGCATGTAACCTATTTTTTCAATTCGAATTTATACAGCTTCTGAAAATTTATCGTTACTCCTAATAATGTTATGACAGTTTTTAATTTAAGACAAAAAAAAACACAAAAATTAATCGTTATCGTATCGAATCGATACTAGCGGTATCGCCCATCACTACTGGTAAAATTACGCGTTTTGGACCGTGGTCGATTACGGAAAAATAATGGACCGGCAAAAATGGTTCTGAGCCAATCAAACCGCGTCATTTATACGGAAGTGACGCTTGCCATATAATTATAAAGTTATATTATCCAGAAATAGAAAGTCAAGGCTTCCCACGCGCAACCAGCCCCCGTTAATTATGTATAAAGCCCATGTGAGGTCAATTTAACCTCGATTTCTTTATGTGTTCAGAATAAAAACTGAAAAATATGAATTACAGGCGTGATGCCAAAAATCAACGAATTTCTGAGAAAAAAACCGGAAAAAATAGAATCACGTGTTAAAGAGTTTATATCACGAAATATTACTGAACAAATTTCTAATAAGAGTGTAGATACCATTTAAAATAACATCGGACTTTCGAGCACAATTGCAATAGTTTATATCTTCCCAAGAAATTTAACTTTATTCAACATGCAATTACATCAATACATCCATACAACATTTTCTTATTGATTAGTTAGCTTTAGGAAACAGTAGTTTTCATTGAGGGGTTGTCTTAAAATGTATCGCATAGTTTGCATTTATTGTTTGTGTACAATGTACCCATATGCACATATAGTTGTCACTGTTGGTGTCTCTTGAAATGTACCCATATGCACACAGTTTTCATTCATAGTTTGTCTTAAAAGAAACCCTTACACACATAGTCATCTGGATATTCTTTGTTAAGCTGTAGTACTTTTAAATTATCTGCACTTTGCATGCTAAAAATTCATAAGATTTATCATCATAGTGATTATATTTAAACAATGAACATCTGCTAATGGAACTATTTCATTACCACAAACTTATTACGACACATTCAATTGACATATACTTTTGGAACACCTAAACTTTCAATGCATCTGTCACGTGATCACTGACAGCTTCCATGGCAGCCTTAGCAAGCGCAGGATAATTAGGAGTACCGCAGCCGGTCACTGGATCCCAACCTTCAAAAGCGTAAAATCCTCTGTCCGGCTCGCCACAACCGTCATTGTATCCCGTCGTTGGATCGTATAAAGATTTCAAATTAGAATAAAGGAAAGGGTTCAAAAATCCCATCGGTGGTTCATCATTCTGCAAACGAATGTCGTTTATGAGAGCAATTATTCCAGCGACGGTAGGAGTTGAAGCAGACGTGCCCATTATCCCAGGAATTGGAATCAGATTATTCACGATCCAAAAGTGGTTGCACACGGCTGATATGTCAGGGTAGGCGCGACCTGTACGGTCATACCTGCTTTCAATTGGTAGTTTTGGAGAGTTATTCAGGTAGGTGTTTACCGCTGATGTTTGATAACTGGGTTGCTTGAACACATTACTGAAGCCTCCACCACTGATATCATACCCATATTCACCGTCGATCCCAAAAGGATCGTTGAAAGCCGTCCCACCGACCGCTGTAACATAAGGACTGGAGCAAGGAAAGTTGGGACGAAACATCTTCTCATGGCAACCTGCACCACTATCTCCACTTGCAAACAACATGGTGATTCCACGTGCTCCTGCTTTCATAAATTCAACATTAATGCGTTGCATATAGTTGATGGACAAGGAGTCTTCGTTGTCACCGTAGCTTACACTGAAAATATTTGGAACATCCGTCGTGTTCCCCACAGCGATGATCCAATTGAGGAACGGCTCTTGTTTTTCATGTCTTCCAGCCGTGCTCCAAAACCAAGTGGAGATGTTCGCGCCCAAACTCATGATGTATTGCACATCAAGGCTAGCCTCAAGTCCAGACCTTCCGCTATTCGGACCAACGACTTTCGTGACACTGGAGAGGTGATAAAAGCTACGTCCAAAAATGGTAAAGAATTCCTCTAGATCAATGGAGTTGTAGTGCTGTCCCAAGAACTGCGCTACAGCTTGACTGTTCTTGTGGTGTTTGCCAACTGTATCGGATACATTGTATCTTTTTCTCAACACCGAAGGATACACGCCGATGTGGAAACGTAGGTCGAACTTAGAAGTCTTAGATCTGTTGTGGGCTTTGCTTGACACGAAATTCAACGCAGGAAATCGCAATGTGCCACCTATGAAATCCAAGTGCTTTGAAATTTCCTTTGGAACGGTGTAATGTGCACTGGAACGAACAACAGTGAGGTTGGCCTTTTCATGATGAAAGTGATAAAACTTTACTCCCTTTAGCAAAACTTCAGCAACGAATGCCGTCACCTTGCAAATGACATAATCTGAGTTCCAGGTCCAATTACAGCTCCGAGTTTCAACACCACCAAAACTCAACCACTCTTTCACAATACGTAAAGACTCTTTCGACGGTTTAACCAACTCGTTCACAGCTTCGAAATTCAAGTACCGCCCATAAGATTTCGACTTTGGGTTAGAGACACTCCAAAATATCTCTTCCAGTCTAGCAATGTTTTGTTGTCGAACGGCAAACGCAAGAAAAATTGGCTCGAGAAAGTGAACGCGCTGCATCTGCTGCCAACCTGCCGCTTTCCATTGATCAACATCGTGATCACTTTCTAAATAAACGCGTTCGTCATTTGAATAGTACGACAACGCACATATTGCTGATAGCAATGATGGTAATACATAGAATATTTTACTCAATCGCATTGTTTGACCTTCAGCAGCCGATAATTCTCGCAATTTATCTATCAAACATTGCGTCATTTGCAAATATCACATGATTAATTTCGTCCACTGCTCATATTTCCATAATGACTTATATGACAGAGGGTGTAAAAAAATCTTATATTTTATATTTTGATTTATAAATGGACAGCGATGTCAGTAAGTTCTTTTTTATAGGGGGGGGGGACCTAAAATCGCCTTTACATATTGAAAATGAAAGATTGTATAGAATCCCTCTCTGCTGACGTCGCTACAAATTTTCGTTCAATTGAAGTGATTATTGATCAGACATGGAATTATATGCATTGAAGAGTTGCAATGTAAAAAAATGCATGTGCCACATTAGTCCCCCTTTGGGGCACTAAAGTTAACTTATCATAGACTTCCATCGGAAAAAAAGCTAAAAAAGCATATATATCTAATAGTTTGTAAAATTGTGGCTAATTATTGACATTTAATAATAAATAATTCAAGAATATAATCGCAATTTGAGGGCTGACTGAGCTGTCAAAAGCTAATTAAGAGATTGGATGAGCAAAAGCCAATTGTGTGACCACGTTGCAAAGGATTGAAATGGGGCAACAAGTTTGGGTGTTAATTAGTTAGGCTGCTTCGTGCCCAGTTCTCCTTCATTCCTCCACTTACGACGGGCCTGTATTGTTTAGTAATTTGTGTGGTAAGTGAAATAAAGCAATGACTGTTGTGAACCTGGAAAATGGTGAAGAAAAAAGGAGTTTTCACATGCTGTCTCAGGCAATATTGTGCTTGAAATGTAACTTTCTGATAATTTCTGTACAGAAATTTCTTTATAGAAATTTCACGCCTACAATATCCATAGTAATACACGCATGCCATAGCCTGTACCTCAAATGATCATACATATGCGAACAGGAATTTACATCTTTTCACATTTGAATGCAATGCAGATATTGAAAATCGAGTCAGTATTCACATTGCAATTGCAATCTTAAATGAAAACTGTAAAATATTTAGAGCTCGTTAAGTCGGGATGTCTATTTCTGACCCCACAACTTTTCCTTCGTCCATTTTGATTCATGAATTAATTGCCAATTGACTCATTAATTAACTGCTATTTGGTCAATAAACTGTCTTTTCTCTTTACATTTGCTAGTACTCAAGTACCGAAGCTTTTGGCGCAATGATTCATGGTCAAGGTCAAATTCCTCGTTCGTACACTTTCTGAGACAGTGCATGAAAATTGTTACTCATCGTATAAGACAAGGAATTTTTATCGTCTTCAACGAAAATGTTTGTACTTTTATACGTATCTTATTAGATGGGTCTTATTTTCTCTATTGAGTCCAATACATGTTTGTTGAAGGTCCTCTATCGTATATACGTTTATTTAGAATCCTAATTGATTTATTGATTGGGTCTTATCTTTTCTAACTCCGTCCAAAATATGTTTGTCTAAGGTCCACTATCGTATCTTTATTTACAAATTCTAATTTATTCACGGTTCTTATCTTCTCTATTGAGTCCAATACATGTTTGTTGAAGGTCCTCTATCGTATATATGTTTATTTAGAATCCTAATTGATTTCATTGACGCGTCGTGAGCTAATATAAGTCAAGTGCAAATCCACGGCAAGCTGTAAAGGTTCGGCAGAATACTTGAAAGAAGCTGATTTTTAGTTTGTTTGTATATGAGCCAATCACGCAACAAGTTTGAAAACCGATAGTTTCCGAAGATTCATTATCCTCGAACAAAATTGCTAACTGTAGTGACGAAATCTCCTTTGTATTCATGTCATACATTAAACTCGTCCATCTCACATGCGTTTGATTAAATATCTGAACAATGACAACGTCATAATCTTGTTTCACGGACAGGCAAGCCATTACATGTTGTCATCGAGGAATGTGGTTGAGCATCACCATTTTCTCCACGAAGATGAAGTAACATATTTTCTGTTGCGTCATCATCTTCAACATTCGCCAATTCAATGTCAGCGTCATTATGAACGGAATTCTTGTTTGATGTTTGTGTTAGAAAATAAAGAAGGCAAAATACAAGAAACGAAAAAAGACTGGTGCTCCCAGATAGGTAAAATACCTTCTCGTAACCACGTGTCTTTGAGTAAAGCCAACCTTCGAAGGAAAATGGGATGTTAATAAGTTAAAGTTGACTATCCACTAGATATTTGTAAAATACAATGGGTTTACTGTGCTTACACCGAGTTCTCAAAAAGCAAAAATGTACCGACCGTGCTTTCTAAAATATGGAAAGAGAACATTCGACTCGTACAAAAAAGAAATTGCTTTTTGTTACACAAAAAAGTCTTAAAATATAACGAAATTCACACTTACACTTTTTGAAATGCCGCAGAAAGCTAAAGCAACCGTGATAGCTCAAGAACGATGTTAAAACATTACAAACTGTTTGTATATATGCAAAGGAACATTTGAGATTAAGAGCAAGTGTTTTAAATTTGTTTACAGAAAAAATCGTGGAAATAGCATGCTTTTTCGGAATTTTTTATGATATTTAAACTTTGAGAGTTGAGATAACATATACTTTGCTACAACACATGTCAGAAAGCAAACCTGCAATTAATGGACCAGCTGTGAGTGGAAGAGCAACTGAGAAGAACAGCAAACCAATCGCTGGTGAAATTCTTTGCCTTCCCACTACATGAGCAACAAGTGTGGAAACTGTACCAACGATGCAGCCTTCACACGTACCAAATATTACCATGTACATAACGAAATTTGCGTATTTTAATTTGACCAGCGGAAACAATGTTGTTGATAAACCCATAACGCAAAGACAACAATGAAATATCACAAATTTGTTTACTCGGGGATGATCTGCTAGCTTGCCAAATAGTAGTCTCGCTACAACGGAAGACGCCGACATGAAACTGAGTAGCCATGACGACTTTGTTTCACTTATATCATGATCCGTCGCGTATTTTGCCTAGAAATGAGCATTCAACAATACGCATGTTCAGAACTCGTGCGCATGGTGCTTTTTGTTGTTAACATTATGCCTAAAGAACAAATAGAATTTCGAGGTGACTACATTTTATATTAACCAAAATATATTAGCCTTTGACAGGAACTCGCGCTTAAATTGAAGTATAGAATGTGATCCCTTAGGTTTGAGGTAGCATTCTCAGTCAAAAAATTTGACATTTGTACTTTGGCTAAGCTCGCCCCCAGTCCTTCACTTTTATTATTAGGAGATCACAAACCACCTTAGCCCCACCTGTTTTTCCATTGAAATGATGTATGATAAAATAGTGTTTCTGTTCTCTGATTGAAGGTCATGCGATTGACAAGACATATTCTATTAAATTAGCTCAGACTGCTGACCTGTGTACGACGTGGATTCACTTACCATGTGAATTATCGGTACATAGTAACCAAAATTAAAAATGACCAGGGATATAGTCAGTATGGTGAAGGCTGGAATACACCATAGAGAGCAATCAAATAATTTTCGCCAAGATGTCCTATTTAAAGACAAATCGTTTGGCCCTAAAATGGGTTCTCGGTAGGCGAGAGCCGCAAAAATGAGAATGGATGCGAGAACTGCCAATATTAGAAAGGTAGCCTTCCAATCAAGCTTGTATAATATGTGTTGAATAGAAGGTGGCATGGCCATACCACCGATACCACTGCCTGCAGTCGCAAAACCCATGGCAAAGGCCAAATGAGTTCGAAAAAGCTTGCCAACAACGACAAAACTAGAGGCATAACATAAACTTGATCCGGTTCCCCAAACAACCGAGTAACATAGCAACATGGGTATCGGTTTGTCGACCATCGATGTCCCAAACAGACCAACAACAGATAAAACTCCTCCGAGAATTGTAACCTTTTTGGGATTATATGACTCGCATAGTTGTGTTGCAATAGGACTTATTAAAAAGTTCAAGCCAAGGGCAAAGGAACCGATGAGTGCTATAGAAGAATGAATGAATCAGAGTATATTTATGAAACGAATATTATATATATGGCGAATCAGAACATATTTATGAAACGAATATTAACATACACATGGTGTATCAAAAAAAGGATGTTCTCTGAAAAAGTTGTCTAAAATAGAACGCGTGCAACTTCGGCTGAAGTAGGCAAAAAAAACTTGTCAGCCCAAGTACCCATGACTCCATTAAGAATACGGGTTTGTTTGGATTTAAGTCATGATTTTGTTGACTGTTTGAGAGTGCGTCTTAACACCAAACGCCAAAAATTCTCAAATGGCTGAACAATGAGTAAATTTTTTACAGTCATATAGTAAAATCTTCAGTCATGGGTCATCTTAGTTTTACGGGGTATAAGGATTTGACCGCTTATCAAAAGCTATCTGTTATCAATATCTCCTATACTACAAAGCACTTGCATGAAGTAAGTAGATTGGCTGAGCTTATATAATACCTGAAGTGCTTGCATCCCATTTTCGAGTTTTTAGGATAAACACATTCATAATTCCAAAAGAATTATGTATTCCCATGACAATGAATTGGACCATTGCCGCAGCGATAAGTGAAAGCCAGGCCCAGCATCCGTCTTGAACAACTTGCGATGGCCCACAATACATGGTAAGTTACAATGTGTGGTCGAAAGGTGAAACTTTAAAAGTTTCTTTCCTTCTTTACGGTACGGTATTTACGTCAGCATTGCATTTACATCATTTCACGTCACGCAGAACGCAAGAAACGACGCAAATTAAAGGAGAATAGCTTTCGTATTTTGCTTTCCTATGTCGAAAGGAAATTCGAGATACGGGCAAGAATGCGAATGTGCTCGCAGCGTGAGAGTCATACAACTTCTAAAAATCGCATTGTTTACGCCGATTGCCGATTGATTTCAACATGATATTTCACAATATAGCAACCGTCACCTGCTCAGAGAAACATTGTGTGGGCTTTGCGCGTGTGTGGATGAATGTTGCGTTTCGATGGCGGGGCTCATTATTATAAATTCTTTTGTTTATTAAAAAGTGTCAAGCGAAAAATTCTTTGACTCACGTGAGTTGAAGGTGCACTGTTGATTTTATTTAATCTATCACATCTCTCCCGTTGCGTAATAATTTGAGAAAATTTCAGCAATCGACGGAAGTCGGTTTTTGTCACGGTGCACATCTGTCAATTCATGTTGGTGCCACATGAAGATCAATGCAATTTCGTCACGATATTTTGTCAAGTCTTTGATTCTGGGTGCATCGAAAACGTAATGAACACGTATATATATACTGTAAAAACTGATTGGTTGAACTAACCATATGGTTAAATAACTAATATTTTTATGTTTACTTTAACCAATCATATGGTTATTTTAACCAATCATTTTTTACAGTATATGCTTCCAATTGTCCTGCAAAAACAACATTGGTTCAGATTTCATAGAGGTCACGATGGAATATTTATGCTGAAGCGTTTCTGAGCGAGAGAAAATTGCTGGCAAAGTACGAATGTTACCATTTGCGGGTCTTGATTGACTCATTAAAATCGTAGCGTGACTCGTCGTAAATTCATAGTAAATATCCGCTTGCTCAGGTTACTTCACCTCCTAACCAGTCTTACCAGTTTGATGGTATCGGTAACTCGGACATGAAAAACTATTCGAAAATACCTGAATATACAAAAAAATCGATAATTGAAGTTCAAAATGTCTTGTTGGTTTTGTGATCCAAGAGAGTAAAAACAAAAGAGGAGTAAAAAATTCCTGGAGTTGTAATTTCTTAGATGCGTATAATTAGTGAGTGAATGATGCTGCTTTTTACTTAAGCTAAAGCGAAGACTTCAGAATGACAAATGCGTAAGATTCCCCCAGTCCTCCCTCCCAAAAAAAGAAACGTCGTTTCAGGAAACGATGTTGGTTGCTCGATCATTCAGGACATTTAATAATATGCTTTGTGCACCGTGAGCGCATGATTTATACTGTCAATGGAAAATAATGCGACAAAAGACAGGTGGAAAAGACTATAGCAATATTATAGAGGAAGGCCGAAAAATCTTCTATCTTATTTCGAGCATTGCTTGTTTGTAAAAATTCTCAAATTCATCGTCAAATTCAGCTTAGAAAATTACCCTGCTCTGGTATAATAGAATGATAATAATAATGTATTGTGTATGTATATATTGTTATTCTTGTATATCAGATCGGAGCTCCTATTGTGTAGCAGTGACTCTTGTCTCTGACAGGCTGACTCTTGCCATTGCATTGACTCTTGTCGCTGAAGCAATGAAGATCATCTATCTGTACACTCTGAAAAAAGCGTCAGATTTGAAGCGGATTTTTTGTGATCACGGTCGTAATTCAGTACATCTAAAGTAGCAGCTTTAGATTTACTGCAGCGAATTCACAAATATTTGCTAAAAGTCGAGAAAGAACGTCCAGGGCCGATTAACCATATAGCAGAAGGGGCGTCCGCCCACGGCCCCGCTCATCAGGGGGCCCCGCGCTTTACTCAGTTCTAATATTTTTTGGCGCATTGGTGAACGAGGATGAACGAAACATCCTCTGATGAATATGACGGTGAAGATGACACAACGAAAGAGGACAACGATGCCACAACGTGGATTCATTGGAATTGTGCATGTACAGACTTCTTCTGGAGAACAATCAGGAAAGTGTATTTCCGAACACTGTAATTGCACTGCGAATCTATCTTAGTCTCATGATCTCGAACTGTTCTGGAGAGTTGTCCTTTTCCAAACTTAAGCTAATCTAGAATCAACTCCGATTATGAATGACGCAGAAGCGAGTAAACAGCTTGTTCTACTTAGCATTGAAAATTATCTGCTTCGTAGCATTGACATGTCGTCCATAATGAAAGAGTTTGCTGTAAAGAAATCCCGCAAACACAACGTTTACTAAGCAAAATTTTAGTGAAAGATATGTTACATTAATTACACGTACATTTTACATACATGTCAAGTAAGCATGCATCGCTGCATCAGAGCATGTATACTGAATCTTATGAACGTTTAGTTGGTTGAGTAGGTTTAATTTTGTCTTTATAATCAAGTTCTCTATAATAGTTGTTATTGATTCAAGCTAGGTTGGGGGGACAATTCAAATATTCAAATTAATGTACATGCGTTTTTGTTTTAACATACATATATTTTTGCACATCATGGTATATATATTATTGTAGCGAGAGACTTGCCGAGCGGAAATCGAATTCGTGTGATAAAAATTAATGCCCAACATAAAGTTCTGATTAGAGCCATAGAAATAGACCAGAAAAATTGTAAAATTAAATTTATTGTGATGTTTCGTCTTTAAAAATGCTTTTGGATATTATGTGGATGGTTTTACTAACATACCTGTTGACGAAACCATCCACATAATATCCAAAAGCATTTTTAAAGACGAAACGTCACAATAAATTTAATTTTACAATTTTTCTGGTCTATTTCTATGGCTCTAATCAGAACTTTATGTTGCGCATAATTTTATCACACGTATACATATTATTTTTTAATCTTTCCGTCCAGGGGGGAGAGAAAGACCTCGCGCTGAAAATATGCCACGGGCCCCACGAAAAGTTAATCCGGCCCTTAGAACGTCAAATGTGTTTTACAGGCCAGATTTATGGATTTATTGGTCCACGTATGAGACTCCTTTTGTTGTAATAAATCTTATGTTTTATCAAACACCCCCTTCCAACAGGGACAAAACAAGCTCTATAATTGGAGAGGGAGGGTGGAGCATACTCATACATGCATGATCTGCTGCATTAATTTGAAAAGAAATGCATAGTTTTCTAACATGTATATATGATACATCTGATTATAGGCCCCAAATTATTGAACAGTTTGCTATGTCCCTGTTTCCATCAAAGTTTTTTCGCTGACCACTATTCATTCGGAACAAGTAATTGACCAGTCACATTTATATTCAAGGTTCCTGAACTAGAGTTAGAAGAAAATGCCTTGTTCTCAAGAAACACGTAATCTCGTTCCAAATATAATTTGCCAAATTTAGCCAAAGACCTTTGCTAGGAAATTCCAATTCCGCAAATCGAAATTCCTTGAAATCCTTAAAATTCTGCAACTGCAACTAAACAGTCCAAACTTCCAAGACATTCACTTATTGTTTTTGGAAAGTCAAATCTTCAGTTCGTCCCGTTATTTACTTGATAGATGCACAAAGATTTGCTTTGTGCAATTGCCATTACTTAATTTGAGCAGTTTGCATGAAATTTCCAGAAACTGAACAGAACATTAAAGCAAAATATGCCGGAAGTGTAAAATAGACAAGATTACGGAAAACGTCGGTGGCCATTTGCCTGTTGTCTTTTTATCGAGAAAAGCGAGAAAACATACTTAGAAAGTTGTTTTCTCGAGAATCATGAAAGAATGTATTTTATGTGGGGATCGATGTTTTATTTCTTTCAATGTGTAAGTTTCTGTTTGGCATCGGAGAACACAATACTCATATCTTCTGCTCACGGAAATGATACTCTCTGCATGCGTGACAATAATCGACATCAAATTTGTAGAACGTTGGACTTTGTCCTTGCTGTTGTATCCGATGCTTCTAAGTTTCGCACGTCGACTAAAATCGAAATACTGGATGATCAGATTGTGGAAAAGAATTATAATCTAAACGGCTTCTATAACCTTACGATAAGCGGAGCTTCAAAACAAGTCACCATCCGATGTAAGCCCGAGATAGGCTTTGTATTTTCATCGAGCAAAGATGTTGTGCTCACAAATTTGACATTTTTGCGTTGTGGCTCAAGAAAAAATGCTACAAACAATGCAGCCATCTCATATTATGCTGGTTTATATTTTTCAAACATCACCAATGTCGATGTCACCAGTTGTAAAGTTGCTAACAGCACTGGGATTGGTGTGGCTCTTGTCAATGTTGGTGGAATGGTTGCGTTCTCACATACGTATTTTACAGGCAACATATACAGATCAGAGAACGGTAGTAAGGTCGAATCTGGCATTGCTCATGTTGGTGGTGGACTTACCATTGAATTTACTTACAGCAAGAACGATAAAGCTTTTGCTGGAAAGAACAACATTTATAAGTTTCACAATTGTTCCTTTATAAACAATGGTTGTAACTGGAATGAGAAAAATGCATCCAATCCTACAGAAGGCAATGGTGAAAACGTGATTTTTGGATGTGGTGGTGGTATAGCAGCCACTTTTAAAAGTCACTCAGAAGGTAATGTCATCCAATTGATAGACTGTATTTTGAGGGATAATATTGCAGACTGGGGTGGTGGATATTATGTATTATTTGAAGGAAAGTCATTCGACAATGTTGCATATTTCAGAAATGTGTCTGTGGAATCAAATTATGCGGCATTGTCGGGTGGGGGTGGAAGGTTTTCCTTCCTTCAGTGTTTTAACTACATGGAAGTATTGTCCTTCAAACCCAACCATTTTTTACAAGAACTCTGTAACTATACTAGTAATTCTGCTCTTTGGGGTGGAGGAGTGTCTGTGTTTGGATCAAGCTCTTATAAAATGAACAACACTCATCATAAAAGCCTCACTTTCAAACACACCCATTGGGTTAATAACAAAGCGACTGTGGCATCTGCTTTGGGGTTTTTGTCGAAAGCTATTGATATGCTGAAATGGGAGCATACGCTTGGTGCATGCATTGAAATACCTTATGTTATCAAGTTGCAAAATTGTGAGTTGAGAGAAAATTTTGTTATATCAAATGGCAAACCGCATGGACAGGGTATTGTTGGCACAGCTGCCATGTATGTTGATGAAGCACCTGTACAATTGATTGATGTGAACTTCACGTCAAACAATGGAACAGCGTTGGTACTTGACTTGAGCAATATGTACATTAAGAGATCCGTGAAATTCATCAAAAACAATGGCAGCGAGGGCGGAGCACTGGCTATGTTTGGGAGATCGAGAATAATTCTTGGCGTAAATTCGCATTTGCATTTCACCTCCAACCGCGCATCTTTGAGGGGTGGTGCCATATACGCGTATTCTCAAGGGCCAAATCTAAAAGCGTTTACAGGTAACTTGCTCGTTAGATCGTCTTGCTTTTTTGGTTACATCAACACCTCTGTTCCACCCAGAAGGTGGTCTGCAAGAGTTACTTTTGCAAAAAACAGCGCCCCTTCTAAATCCGGCAAGTCCGTGTATTGCGACACTTTGCAGTTTTGTCGAAGCTATGGGAACGTGAAGAGTGCACTGCAATGGTCTCCCGTATTTCATTACACTAAGAACACTCATGAGTATGATGCCGAGCCTGAAATCATGACAGACCCAGTTCAAATGAACACATCAAAAAATCATTGGTCAGGATTTATAGGAGAATCGATCTCTCCCAAAGTCACATTGTTGGACGAGAAAGGTGATGAGACGAATGGGCTTTTAAAAATGTCAGTGATTTCGTCGGACAATTCGAGTATCCATTTAGGAAAGCGCGTCTCTCATTACATCTACATCAACGATGGGAAAAGCTCTGTTCCGATTTCTTTCAACGGCAATAGCAGCAAGGAAAATTTCCGAGTTCGACTCAGCGCAGTATACACGCAAATGATGGAAATTACGGTAGACAATGTGACGACAACCTCATGCTACGGTGGTTACACTTTCAACGTGAATGCTGGGAAGTGCGTGTGCCTTCCGCGTTCGGAAATGAATTATGGTTATAGAAGATGTGGTGGTGATGGAGAAACGATCTATTTGAAAAAGGGATATTGGGCAACACGTGCGAGTAATGGTGCTTTGATAGTTATTTCATGTCCTGTAGGTTACTGCCATTGTAGGAACATGGGGTATGACTCGACCAATTCTATTGATGAATGCGTAATTACCAAATTCGGAAGCACTACCCAACAATGCATAAAAAGTAGAACGGGACAGTTATGTGGCTCCTGCGTACCAGGTTACAGTGTGGTGGTTGGTACGAATGAATGCCGCAATTGTCGAGGAAATTTGGGTGTTCTATGGCTTTTACTAGCGCTGGGCATTTTGACCATAGTCGTTCTGGCAATCATATATTTTCAAATCGACTTCTTCTCTGGACCTTTGAATTCATGGCTGTACACATATCACATTGTCAACATACTTCCATACCATGAAAAGTATATGGATCCTTTTATTAAGCTCGTCATAAGTTTAACCAATGGATTGTTTGACCTCAGCACCGGCAGGTGTATATGGAAGGGCATGGATAACCTTCAAAAACTTGCTTTGCAATATATTGTGCCGTTCTATTGCTTTCTGCTACTTTACCTCATCGCTAAACTGTTGCGGAGATTTCCAAATCTTCCGTTGGCCAATCGCCCTTTTCATCAAGCATTTGTGACTATTGCGATCCTCTCTTACTCGTCGTTGACAAACGTCACCTTCAGCATTTTGTACGGGGTCTCTATCGATGGGAAGTGGTATGTTTATAAGCAAGGCGATGTTCTGTATTTTAGCGAGCGTCATTTGCCGTACGCCATCCCGGCCTTGCTTATTTTCGTCTTTATAGTAATATTGTTTCCGACTGTGATTGCGTTTAGCTCATTCTTCACCACCCACTTTCAATGTTTTCGGAAATTTATTCCCCTTTTCGAGGCTATTAAAAGTCCCTACCGTCCAAGTCGCAGTTGGTTCGCCTCGTATTACATCTTTTGTCGTTTGTTCTTCATCACAATGAGTATCTTTCGAAACTATTACGAGCACACTTTCTTCCCATTCTTCGAAGCAGTGAGCATTATTGTGCTTCTCGTTTTTGTTCTACTGCGACCGTACACGGACGAGAATTATGTGTATTTCAAGGTCGATAGCTGTTTTTTGTCCCTAATTTGCGTCATCGCTTGCGTTGCCAACGCAATTGAAGTAAACGAGAAAAAAGTTGATGTTGAATCCTTCGAAATTATCGCACGAGTCTTTGTTTACTTACCGCTGTTGTATTCGTTTGTACTGTTGGTGTGTTACGTGCGCAGGTGTATCAATGCGCGTAACGTAGACGGCGTTGGTGTTTTTGCACCTTTGATTTGAATTCAACACGTTAAAATTTATCTTATCCTAAAGACAATAATATTTTCTAAAGAACAAACGTAGTCCTCGATAGACAAAGAAATGAAACGATCAAATCATAAGAAACAATTATCACCAATCAGACGTACTACCGACTTATTGAACTGTCGGTTTTTTATGGGCTTTGTGGGCAGCTGGGACCTGGGGCGGATCCAGCGTTCGACACGATACATTGGAACAGCCCTTTGATTGGTAAGATTTTATTGTTTTGAAATTCATAGCCATTGGTATTTTTATAAAGGTATTTTAATTTGAAATAAGCAGCTGTAATCTAATTTCTAATTTGTATAACCCTGAGTGCCCTGCGGCAGTATGAAAAATAATGGTGATTATCTGTAGAGAACTTTGGATTATCTTTCAACATTTTTGATCGAACCCAAGTTTACAAATAGTTGGTTTGACAAAAAGTATGTTTCACCTTTTTATGTGAATTAATCATGTTGTAAATTTCTATGTTTTACTGAGAATTGTCTGCATAAAATAAAACATTCGTCGCAATAGCCAAAACTACAATCATCGCATTCTAAATTTTAATGCATGTTTTATTAGTTACATGAAAATTGAATGACCTGCTAATGGTAAATGCCAAACGAGGAACTTCATTTGTACTAATTATTTCCTGCCTGAATAGAATATTGATTGCAAACAGAGTATCAGTATTGCATGAGGATTGTTTAGATAATAGAAACCGTAAGAATTTAGGAAACATTTTAGCCATGTTTTGTTTGCCAAAGAGAGTCAGATGGAGCTGTCTGAATTCGTATGAAGATTGGTGAAGGGGAGGGAAAGCTTTTTGAGGTCACGTGGTCTGTTATCGATTATAATCCTGTTTCTTCGTTGAGGAGAGCTGGCAACTTTTGCCTGAAGAAAATGACAATCGCTTCGGAACTTGTTTAAAATTGCTATCATATCATTAGGTTTAGACCAGTGGCGGCTCCAGCGTTAATCAGAATATGTAATACGTTTAATTTGGAAATACCTTACGGCACTAAACTATAGGTTTTTGGAAATGTATATATATAAAAATTAGCTGAAGTCGGTAATTTATTTTGGCGTACCCTTTCTGTGACGTACCCTGCTCATCGTTCATAATTTTAAATGCTGCGTGCACGTGACGTCATCACACAAATAGAATTGTGCCGTTACCAAATGGTCATTACGGTTGGCGAGAATCGATCATTTTGTACATTGCTTATGCGCTCGGCACTGGTTTCATTTCAAAATTTACTAAAATAATCGTACTTGAGTGTTGCTTTATTAATATGGAACAACCTATAGCTACATTTGTTGCTCACATAACTGACATAGATATCAATACGAAAATAGCTATTGAACAGATTATCTAAGATCTGCCATTGTTTTAAACAAAAGAGATCTCGTCACCTTTTCAAATTTTTCATAACGTACGTGTCACAAAAACGGACGGTAATCAATACACATACCGAAAAGAACTGGAAATGCAAGATTCCTGTGGAGGAAGGATGTTGTCATGCCAACGAAATGCGTATCAACAAGCTTGGTTACAAAGCCGCAAAAACAAAAGAGACGACATTGAAGATTGGATATCGGATCGAAAACTTATAATCTCTGTTGCTTTTCTATAATACAAGACATATTTTGAATTACTGTCTTTACAGTGATGAAATTTGAGTCGAAGATGTCTTATTCTCCTTCAAAAACAAGGGCAAGGTACGTCAGAATTGTCAATTGAATGAAATTTTTACATATTATTTGATATTGGGATTTCATGAGAATTGGGTTTTATAGACAACCGTTTTTTTCAATAAAAAGTCGTTTCTTGATGTTAATTTGGCAATTTCTTGCTTTTAAGTTGCCTGTTCACATCACACTGTACTTCAGAGTACAGCAGTGCTCTGCGAAATGTACAGTAAGCGTGTATTTATTAAGAATTGTTTCAGCTACGTTTCTGTATTGGCCAAATAGGTTAAGGTCTTCATTGCTTGCTTATTCACCATTTTTTCTCAAAACACAATGGCATTGTGTTCAAGCACACAAGTTTCTTTGAATAGGTGTTAAAATATTGCAAAATTGAAATGTTTCCCGCAGTGTGTTTGATAAAGTGAAGATGGGCAATGCAGCAAAACTGGAGATGGAAACACGCAAGATGGAGGAAAGGATCAGAGCATTGAAAGAAAAGATGATGAAAGAGAAAGAAGAAAGAGAGTAAGCAGGCGGCTTCATAAACAGGAGTTCTCCGCATTTGTTTGTGTTATCCATTGCATGGAATTTCAACGGTTAGATTCATCAAATCCATCTTGTAATTGTAATTATTCTCTAGACGTCTTGGTGGGGTGCGTTGGATGTCAGGAGCTAAAGGACCAATGGCAAGAAAACCTGTGAAGAAACCAAACTTGAAGAAAGGTGCCAGTGGATTGGTAAGAACCCAAGGTGTACATTAGGTTACTTTCAGAAAGTGGAACATACCCTAATTATTTGTAGCATGGTGTCATATGCTCCTAAGAACAGTTTTCACCCAAACTTTACTGATATAAATGGCTTGTAGATGCTTTGGCAATCTATCAATAAATATTATGAAAAATATAGTTTGCTACAGATGTGCAAATGGAGTTTAATGCACCTAAAGAAACCGAATAGACAGCCATTTCTGAATTTAATTTTTGATTTTAAGTCGCCATTCCTTGCATTCCAATCCTGTATAGCTGACACAATATATACTGCTGAAAGGCTGCGAACAATATTGGCCTTAAGTGTAGCAAAGGCTGCGAACAATAATGGCCTTAAGTGTAGCTTTGGTTTTGAAAAAATTAACACATTTCTTTTGACACTTACAGGCACCAAGAAAAATTAAAGTTCTTACTGACGAACCATTTGGTAAGACATTGCCTTTATTTTATTCTTGTTCCTTATCGAAAAATTTTTTGCGTTTTTCAATCTGATTGGCCTCACCAATAGGCCATTCTGCAAGGGCCATGGGCATGGTGGTAATAGACTGCCTGTAAAGTTTCATTTATTAGTATGATCTGGCCCTAAGAGATTCATTTCTCCTCCTTCTCAAAGGAAACCTCTGGCTTTAGCTCTCTGGCCGTTTTTAAGATCTTGGAAAATATTCCTCTTATGTGTATTTCTCATTGGACAATCCCATCTGAAACAAACTTTTTTTTCGTTGACGTTTTTGTGGCATAAAAATTTATTGAAAATGAACTTGTGCAATCAACGTGTGTGCGTCTGGGGTTTTTTTGATGTTGAAACTTTGCGAAGAATAAACTACGTGTTTTGGTGCCAATCATTTTCATCTTGCGAGCACTCTCGCTTGAACGTTTTCTCAAAATCCAAGAACATTTAGGTTTTTATTAATAACTATTCATAAAGAGTACGAGTTAAATGTTTACGTTTGTTTATTGAAAGAAAATTGTTGTAAAAACGGCATCGAAAAGAAAACTTATGACAACTTCTTCTCGTCCATCTTTTATAGAGCACTACATCAGAAAAATCCAACCAGTTACTGAAAATGCGACGGCAACTTTCGGTCAATGCGAAAGAACTGCTTCTGATTGGGTGAGATGGATTCATTTTTGACTTGCATGACGGGAACGATGACTATTACGTCAGACTAAAGTTACGTAATCCTGGATTAAAATACTTATCGTAGGCACATTATGTTCTTGTACGATATCTGTGTCGAGAAAAATTCCCACCTGTGACACTACTGTTAAAATCTAGAGGCGTATATCGAGAGGAAATGGTTTTTAAAGTACGTCACACAATTGACGGATTTTCATATTTTATACAGGGGTGGTGCTAAAAACTTTAGAGGGAGGGGGTGAATTGGTAAGGACGTGACGTAACACGTGAAGTAAGAGAGCAAGAATTTTAAGGGCGTTCGAGAAGTGCAGCCACTGAAGGCAGTGTACAGAGTTGAAACATTGCACCGAGAAAATCAGTGAAGCTGTATTTTTTATTTGTTTTGCTAAAAATTGAGAGGAGGAGCTAAAATGTTTCTCAGAGGGGTAAACAATTTATTTGGAGGGGTAAAATCTGATATTTGGGGTTGACACACCCTGCAACCTCCAGAAAATCTGTCCGTGCGTCAAACTAAAGATGTGCACTCGGGTTCGATGTCACCATTGGAGAAGCCAGCCCGACCTTTTACTCCTGCAATGTAAATTTTACAGCAAAATTACAATTCATTTCTTTAGGAAATGAATTCCATTCATTGTTTTCCAATGAATTCACACAAAGTTGTAAGTTGTAGGTGTGAAAAACGGGCTGGCTTCGCTGCTGGACGTTACATAGCACTCTTTTTACTTCCTTGGGGCTGGCTTCGCTGCTGGACGTTACATAGCACTCTCTTCACTTCCTTGGGGCTGGCTTCGCTGCTTGATGTTTCATAGCACTCTCTTCACTTCCTTGGGGCTGGCTTCCCTGCTGGACGTTACATAGCACTCTTTTCACTTCCTTGTTCTCATGCCGTTTTCGGTGAAGAATGTTGCGAACGTTTTGCAATGTAGTGGTTATAAACAGTTGCGGATTTAGGGTACCGTCCAATTAAATAATAACTGCTCAATTCTAAATTCAAAATACTTTCAGAAAAACGCCATTGGTTTTGAATTTCTAAAGAATATAATTTTTCTCTGAGGTGCTTAGAAATGTAAATATATTCCAAATTGCGCCTGCAGTAATTAATTTTGAGGTAGCCTAAATCTGCCACTGGCTATAATCAAATCTCATTAATAGTAAAATTTTAAACGTATTGTTTCTTGAAGTTAAAATCATGATCGTCTTTTCATTTAAGGGCGTCGATGCGAGAGACAGTGCAAAACAAAGCATTTCGCCGAAAAAGGACAGTTTTGATTCTCGATTTAAGTGAGTAATAGGAAATTTTTATGCTATGCTATAGATGCGATCGACTGTGTGCATGTTTAAGAAACCATGACTTCATTTTAACTATTTTTCTGCAAGGGTTTCCCTGTATAGAGTTTCACTCAACATATTTTGACGCAACTGCCTCGGTGTTTCAAAGTAACATAACTGCAGGGCTCGAAATAGGGAGTTTAAGATTTGACTACGAGTACGACTACCGCTACGTGATATGACCGTGAAGGATCTGGGTTCTATAAACAAGTTGTCGTACTCGTAGGCAAATCTGAAACTCTCTAATAACGGGTGGTCGACGGACAATGTCAGTACTAAAATGTCTGCTGACTGGCCATTCTTTTTACCTCGTCAGTCGTTTTCATCGATCTGAATTTTACGTCAAAAGTGCTATAGACATGCATGCCTGGTAACATATCAAGAGGTTAAAACGTAAAACACGAGAATTCACTACCTTAAAAAATGATCTTTCCGCGTTCTTTGTTGCAATTTATGCATGAATTGAATGAATTGAGCCTGCGAGTATTGTACGTATAAACTACAAGTACAAGTTACTCGTCACTTTACGCTAAGGATGACTACCGTCAGGCTTTCGAAATGTCACTCAGCACCAGTACTAACAGCCCCTAACAGTTAGAGACTGCTAGGAGTCCCCTAACCAGGACAGGGAACATCTACTAAACTACTAATATGCGATTTTTGTGTGTGTGTGTGTGTGCTAGTGACTGGTCAAAAACCTACTTTATTTCAGCTAAAATGAAGTTTACCGGTCATCGTGACCGAAGACATTTTGCCAAATATTTTGAGCCCTATAACTATTTATAAAATTTAAAACGACATGTACGTCTAATGAAAGAAAAGAATGGATAGAAAAACCTAAAATCAACAGTATCATCGCAATGAAATCTCTTTAAGAGATATTTAAAGATTTGCTGAATTTGGCGTGCGTCTCATTAACAAATTTTTTAGTCACCCGAATTTGATTTTGAGATAATCATCGATCTATTATGTCACCATCTTTGAGACTTTGTCGTTTTTTTTATAGCAAGCACCATGGAGTATCGACAAATACAACAACGGTATCGTCTTCTTTGATTTTATAGGCTAGTACTCTTACCTCGTGATCTGCAATACCGCTGTTCACTTTGGTAAACGGATTATATGTACGATTGTTTTGTCAATAGTAAACGTGTTTGAAGCGGTAAATCAAAAAGCCGGTCACGAACTTTAAACTGTGTTTATCTTTTATTACTTGCTAAATTTACATTGCTCACGCTAAATTTACATTGCTCACGCTAAATTTACATTGCTCACACTAAGTTTACATTGCTCACACTAAATTTACATTGCTCACACTAAATTTACATTGCTTACACTAAATTTAAATGGCTCACACTAAATTTACATTGCTCAAACTTTTTCGTACACCGCCATCTTGTTTCTCAAACTTGTTTTAGGAAACACGTTAAATTTTTCGAGTTTTGAATTGTACTGTGCATGCCTGTATTTCGAGCGCACTGTACCTTTCATGTGATGAATATGAAATGATTGACTGGTAAACGGACGGCTGATGTATTTTTGATTAGATTCAAAATTTTCCTTTGTTAACACCACGATCTTAAAGTTTGTAACCTCAAATCTCTTTCATCTTTATCCCGTTAGGAAAATAATCACGGTAATGGCGGATCTTCATTACTAAACGGATCTTACAATGAAGAAGAGAGTGCGAATTCGTTTGCCCAGGCCTTGCTTGAGTGGCGAAATGGAAACAACAAAGCTTGTGTCACTCCCGAGAACGGAGTTATTCTTAAAGGTGAGAGAAATCCGCTTGTTGAGTGATGAAGTCTTTGAAAAGTTCAATTGCCAATATTCTTCAAACATGCGATTGTTCGTCAAGTACTATTTGCAATTTCCTTCTCCGCCTGTCGTATTTTATACAGTTATGTTATCTTGCATGGATTGCGCAGTCCTAATTGATATAGGAAAGTTTAAAATTTGAAGCCAACTGTCGTAATCAGATACAGCACCATATTGAAAAGTCCCACTCAAGTGATAAAGAATGATTCTGTCAACGATATCCATTTATTTTGAAGTGTATTAATAGTAGAAATTTATTCTGTAAGTCCTAAATTATGTATCTATTCAACAATCTTCAAATCAGCGCAGTCTGAAACAAGCGCATGGAAACAACACATATTGCTTTTTGCACGTGCCTTCGTGTGCTGCATAAAATTAGTTATAATTCTGTCAAAGCATCACTACGCGTACTTCTACAAACGTTTGCTCAACAGACAACTGAAAACATGTCAACTTCGTAAAGTGAGAATCTTCAATATGGCAGCCTATTATCTTTTACGGCTTTAAATTTAATTTGGGATGCGCGATCCATATAATGTAACATATCTATGTATATATACAGGGTGTATGAAAAAAAGTAGACTCTCTTGCAGGCAGACTAAGAAGAAAATTGGCTGTTCTAAATACTTTAACATTCTCTTGTACAGCTGGCAATGAATTCCATATTTTTACTCATGATGATCAAATTGTTTTTCGATGGATTTTGGTGCGCAAGGTCTGTTTTTAAGGGCTATTAACAATGCTTCTTTCACTGTTAAAAAATCTTGCATTTTCAAAAATCTCATTACCAGCAGTCCCAGAAAACGTTGAAGTATTTAGAACAACAAAAAGTTTTTGCTTTTTCCACCACGTCTTGTTTTAGAGATTTTTTCCCAAGAGACTACTTTTTTAATATACGTGTACATATCAATGGTTTTACGTTTTGTGCACTTTGCTTACATGAATAGTGGATGTATTCCTTCCTGTAGATCACTATCATCACACGGATCCGTTGCACGAAGCCGGGATAGTGTTATCCATTAGGTGGTAAATTTTTCTAACATGTGAAAAAGTTGGTTGTGTTTTAATTACAATCATGAAAATAGGCAATCTTAGAACCAAATTTTACTTCAGTGATTGTCTACTTTGAATTGTATATTTTTTATTGTGTATAGTGCTATTTGCTCTTCGTGCAACAGGCCCAGATCACGTTGTGAACGTTGCAGTTCTTACATGATTATTTCCAGATGATCAAAAGCATAAAAAAATTGAAAGAAATATGCGGTTTCACTTGATTTTGGCTACTTTATGCGCGTAGCCACGCCTTAGCAACGCCTGGAAGTGAAGTGAAGTGAATCTAGGAAATCTAAAAAATTTTAGGATTTTCATTTAGCCACACTAGAAATAAAAATTTCTTTTGTAGAAACGTCTTGTGGAACAGCAACCGACGGCTTGGCGATCAGCAATGATAACAAATTGAACATAAAGTTCAATTCGTCCATTTCCTACGGTGACCGTTTGTACTTGAGAAAGAATCGGGTGGACGGTCTCGCTGGGTGCGTGTTAGAAAAGAAGAGTAGTAATGGCGCGAGTCTATTGAAAAATAGCGAAAACACTCAGGATTTGTTGCATGAAAACGTAGAGAGCGAGCTGCACGAAAAAGTTGTCGATAACTTTGCTCAGGACTATGGCGAAATGATCCGAAATCTATCAAGTGATAAAATGAATGCTGATATCACAACAATAAGTAACGATGTTGAAGAGTCGCACGCTGTTTCAGTACAAGAGATTTCGACTGAGTCGCGTCTTTCTGATGATCCAGACGGTACCTGTATCGTAGAGGAGTATGATGAGTTGAACGAGGACACTGACACCAGACCGATGTCCAGACAGGGCACTGTTACCATATGTGAAATGTTCCCTTCTGCAGACAACACGATAAACACTTCGAGCATAGCTGACGATCTCAGCTATGTTTCCCCATCCATAGTTTCAAGACCTTTCTTTTTGAAGCCAAGTAAGGCATCCTCTGTTTCCTTTAATAGCTCGTCTAAGCAACGGATCTCTAGAGAACGTAAAAAATCACACTGTGTTAAGAATGGAGCGAACGATAGCGTGAAAAAGAAACATCGCCATTCAAACTCATCTAAGGATGGTGGTGGACGAAGAAAACTGTCAGAAAATCGCGATGAACCGGGAGCAGTTTGTACTTATGGTGCTGAAGAATCTGGATTATCAAATATTGATCTGAGAACACCTCAACCATCTTTTTATCCAAAAGATGAGAAAAGAGAATCGACCTCTTTGATTAAAATTCCTAGACCACCGTCCCGTCCATTTTCCTCTTCCTTTAAGAGAAAGAAAACGAGAATCCCGACTCGAAAAGCATGGATGCCGAAACCTTCACATCGGGAGTTGACGTCGTTCTTTCTTGCTGGCGTCGACACGGAAGAGCAGCCCCAAAAAGAAATCCCTCCTCACAAGCCAAGATCTTCATCTGGTCCGCTGACCCTTCTCGGTCGTGGCTCAACTATATCAACGTGGAGACCGGTAGACAGCTATGTTCAAACGTCCACACCGGATCTCGTGAACATGATGTCATTTAAAACGAGGGATGTGGGGAAAGCAGTCGAAGATTGTCGTAGTACCAGGCAAACAGCTGGGGAGACAACGAAAAACATAAATTATGAAGGTTAGGAGAAATGCTTGGTTTTTGGCTGTAGTTAAATGAATGGCTGTGGTTAGTTTTATTTTCGGTGAAATGTGGAGGTTTTTGTAAATATGAGAATTTTATAGAGATGTTACTGGAAGCTACGACTTCTTTCTGTTTACACTACAATACAAATTTGTGATTTTGTTTTCGTTTGTTTGCATACGCTTACAAACAAATTAGACTCAAATATACGTACGTAATATAAATTTTATTTTACGACGCTTTGATGGTAACTTAATGATTTGGCGTCAAAATGTCGTAAAATTCACTCTTTAAATGCCCATGACACAAAAGTTTGCTATTTAAATATCTTTTCATTAAACAGAACTTTTCTCTTTTAGTTCATTTTTGAAGTTTTTCATGACGTTGAAGTTTTCGTAATCGAGTGATTTAGCAAACACGACGTTTCGTCTACGACGCCGTGAAATGGCGTGATATGCGCCTTTTACTTCCGGTTCAATCTACGACGGCAGTCGTGTTAACGACGACGACGTGAAAACATACAATTTGACGTCGTATCGACGACTGCTGAAACAAACTTAATTTTTGGGCAAAAATAAGGAAATATCCTTGATATTTGCATGCTTAAAGATTACATAGGCCTACATATATTCATTTAAGAAAAACTTGTTTTGTTTTTTAAAGCAAAACAAACAAACAAATAAACAACGCAGTGTGCTCTAATTTCGGGGTTTCCTCGAAGTCAAAATAATTTTAGTCCCAAAACAGAATGTCGATGATTTTTTATCGAAATAATTATACTGTAGGACATTTTTAACATCAAAGTGATAGAAAATGATAGAAAAAACAGGCCAGCAAGAAAATGCCGAAATGGATGAAACTTGTTTCATACTATTCTTTGACGAAGTCCTACTAAAGGTCAGCTAAATCACAATTAATTTACGACGTAATGGCGTCCTAGACCCAGATCCCTCGTGAAAATTTGACGACCTCTTAGACGAAACGTCGTGTTTGCTGAATCACTCTAATGTCCGTTTTACGCACAACCTGTGACGTCACCTTGCATAGTGGCTATTGAGATATCAGGAACATTTGCTAATGCGTCACTTTGACCCTGCAGAGTTACCTTCATTGTGAAGTATAGTGCATACTTCACAATAAAGGTAACTCTGAATGATGTTTTAAAGTTATAAACACTAGTTGTCTAAAGTGGACAATGCAATTTATTCAATATCTTGAGAATAGAAAAGAGAAGAAAAAGATACATGCATCAACTATGTTGATTCAAGTGCACTGTCGTTTGAAATTTGTGTTCATTGAAAATTTACTTTAAATAGCAAAATAACGTTTCATTAGCAATTTAAGGATTTTTCGACAAAAATGTGACGAACCCTTGACTGGAATTGGGCATGATGCTTATTTCGGTTTCTGACTTACTGATCGTGTTGGATTTTATCATTATTTTACATGAAAATTTGTTGTTTTATTTCGATCCGAAATACTTTGCGCGTAAACAAAATAACTCGATGACATATTTTGGCTTTTGAGACTGGAAGCGTTACTCCTTGAAGTGAGTTTAACATAATAGCATTTAGAACTTCCTCAACAAGGTAACTTTTGTGCATCTGTTTCATTTTCGAGTGGAGGGGAGGGGTGACTAGAGCTCGTACAGAAATCGGTTCCTAACCATGGTCGTCAATGCAACTTTATTCGTGAGGGATCTGTTTTCATGTAATCTGTTATGCCAGGCTAATTTCTTTTGAAAATGAAATTGTTTTAAGAAGAAATTAGCCAGGCATAGCAAAATATATGAATATCCCCGCCGTAACGCCAATGTTCCTGACCATTTAAAACCATATAAAATAATTTTGCGTCGATTGGTTACATTGTTAGTAAGTGGTTACTTTTAACGACAGAATGGAAGCATATAGCTTCTTTGGCAGTTAAAACATCAAACGACTAACAGTGCCAGAATCATTGCTTGAAATTGTATTTGGCCCTCTAACAACCAAGCAGAAGTGTGTTTTTCTGAAGCTCTCGACGCTAATGTGTTACTGATTTTGCTTTTTCCATTAAACAGAGTTGACCAACGATGTCATTGAGAGAAAAGGCGATATTAGGCACTCGAAAGACTCCAAGAAAGAAAACTCGAGCCACAAGGGAGATAATTTGTTTGAAGTTTCACAACTTGATGACTTCGGAACTGGTAATCAAAGTGATGACGATATCGCAACATTGGATGAACTGGCCTGGGAACTAGCTTCGTCAACTGGTAGATTGACTAGATGCGAAGAGGATTTCAGCATTGAAAGGTATCGCATTATATTTACAGTCCATTTTCCTGTTTTTATTTGTATTAAACATACACTTCCAGTTTGTGTCCGTTTTAAACGTAAAATCGTTGATTGATAGTTATGATACGGAAAATTCTTTTTTTATTACCAACAATAAAATTGAATGGATTTATTGGTAGTTATGGTACACAAAGTCCTCTTTAATGGCCACCAATGAATATAAATAGCTTGATTAGTAGTTATAGTACAGAAAGTTCTCTCCTATAACTACCAATGAAAGTAAATGGCTTTAATTAATAGTAATAGTACAGGAAGTTCTCTCCTATAAAGTCATTTTGTTATAGTAGAGCTTCTTTATTAATTAAAATTTAAATTGTTATTAGAGAAAGAAATTTATTTCCAGTCATAGGAGAGAACTTTCTGTACTATAATTATTAATTAAAGTCATTTACTTTCATTAAATGAAAGTAATAATACAGAAAGTAATAAGTAATGTATAATAATTAATAATTATAGTACAGAAAGTTCTCTCCTATGACTACTAATGAAAGTAAATGACTTTAATTAATAGTAATAATACAGAAAGTTCTCTCCTATAACTACCAATGAAAGTAAATGACTTTAATTAATAGTAATAATACAGATAGTTCTCTCCTATAACTACTAATGAAAGTAAATGACTTTAATTAATAATTATAGTACAGAAAGTTCTCTCCTATAACTACCAATGAAAGTAAATGCCTTTAATTAATAGTAATAATACAGAAAGTTCTCTCCTATAACTACCAATGAAAGTAAATAACTTTAATTAATAGTAATAATACAGAAAGTTCTCTCCTATGACTACCAATGAAAGTAAATGACTTTAATTAATAGTAATAGTACAGAAAGTTCTCTCCTATAACTACCAATGAAAGTAAATAACTTTAATTAATAGTAATAATACAGAAAGTTCTCTCCTATAACTACCAATGAAAGTAAATAACTTTAATTAATAGTAATAATACAGAAAGTTCTCTCCTATAACTACCAATGAAAGTAAATGACTTTAATTAATAGTAATAGTACAGAAAGTTCTCTCCTATAACTACTAATGAAAGTAAATGACTTTAATTAATAATTATAGTACAGAAAGTTTCCCTATGACTACTAATGAAAGTAAATGACTTTAATTAATAGTAATAGTACAGAAAGTTCTCTCCTATGACTACTAATGAAAGTAAATGACTTTAATTAATAGTAATAGTACAGAAAGTTCTCTCCTATGACTACTAATGAAAGTAAATGACTTTAATTAATAGTAATAGTACAGAAAGTTCTCTCCTATGACTACTAATGAAAGTAAATGACTTTAATTAATAGTAATAGTACAGAAAGTTCTCTCCTATGACTACTAATGAAAGTAAATGACTTTAATTAATAGTAATAGTACAGAAAGTTCTCTCCTATAACTACTAATGAAAGTAAATGACTTTAATTAATAATTATAGTACAGAAAGTTCTCTCCTATGACTACTAATGAAAGTAAATGACTTTAATTAATAGTAATAATACAGAAAGTTCTCTCCTATAACTACCGATGAAAGTAAATGACTTTAATTAATAGTAATAATACAGAAAGTTCTCTCCTATAACTACCAATGAAAATAAATGACTTTAATTAATAGTAATAGTACAGAAAGTTCTCTCCTATAACTACCAATGAAAGTAAATGACTTTAATTAATAGTAATAGTACAGAAAGTTCTCTCCTATAACTACCAATGAAAGTAAATGACATTAATTAATAATTATAGTACAGAAAGTTCTCTCCTATATCAATTATAAAATAAAAACAACAAAACGCGTGCAGTGATTGGTCTAGAGCAATCCAAACTAGGCCAGATGCGCCCGTTGGGCCTCTCAACCACCGCAGAGGCACTTAAGAAAAATAATATTATTATTAAACAAAATAAACTTTGTGCAGAAAGTTATGTCGCAAGCCAACTAGCAAGAGTGTCTTACGTCAATTTTCTTCCAACTTCCTATTTCAAGCACATTGCGAAATTTAAAAGCTGAAGGATAACGTGGAAATTTTTTATATTCTTCGGCCCTCAACATGCTGGATGAAAGTTCATGTGACCCTCTGGCTGTAAAGTTTGGAGACCCCTGGTCTAGAGCCATGCTTGCATTAGCCCGTCCAAAACACATCTGAGCTCAACCAATCAAATCAATCAAAACAATAAATCAGTCAGAGAGAATTTGCAAATTGATCATGAATACATTTTAGAGGAAAAATTAAATCTGCTCTTGAGTTCTCCAAAAGGTCTCCTTGGTTTGCATAAGCCTGTGCAAACACAGTAAACATCTTTTATTTCTTAAATGAGAGTAAACAGCTTGATTGATAGTCATAGTGAAGAAAGTTCTTTATAAACAACAATGGAAGTAAATAGTGAGATTAATATAGTTATGAAACCGAAAACTCTCTTCCATAACTACAAAATAATAAAAGTAAATACTTTGATTGATAGTTATGAAAAATTCTCTTTCGCAACTATAAATCAAGGTAAACGGGATAGTTCGATGGTTGACGAAAACAAGCTAGAATATGAAAATCTAGGAATCTAAGTGACTGCAAGCTATTGTTCGTTTCTTTATGGACGAGTCCAAATTTACTTGACAACTTAAGTGGACCCACTTAAAGTCAAAATATAAAAGACTTTCTATATGCATGATTATCGTGTCAAAAATTGACCCTTGGTAGTTGAGCAATTTTGGAAACATGTCTTTGAAAAGTTTGCCTGTGCTTGCCTATATGACACATTGTAATTTTTACGCCTATTTTTTCAGCGACGAGGACAGTATTGAAAACAATGTAGAAGAGTTCGGGCTGAGTACTCCGTTTGCTTTAGAAAGAACGTTACGAGAAAGTATTATGGATGATTTTGAAGAAATGGAGAAAAAATTCATGGAAGATCTTTAACATCGGCCAGTTTCCTGGAAGGCCTATCACACTTCTACATATCCATGACAACTATATATCCATGACAACTTCCACGTCATTTTATGATAGCACAAGCTCGCGGTGGCCCCAAAATTTCAAACAAAGAAAAAAGGATCTCTCTATGTGCAGTAATCCGCACAAATTATCACATTGTCCATTTGTGTTTTTGCGTTTTGGAAGACAAAATTTAAGATATAATTTAGTAATCGTTACTGATTTATCATTCAATGCAGTGTGATGTATAAATATAAACAGCCTACTGCAGTGTTCAAATTTTGAAAAATTCGTTCACTGTTTTATTAGCATACTGCATTTTTTCCCTTTTGTAATGAGGTTACTTGATGACTGCCCACCAACCCACGAAAGCGTCGAACAATTTTGCATATTCATACCAGGCAATTGATATAAAATGTTTTAGGAAAGATGCTCTGGTAAAATTCCATGTTCATGTTGGAAGTCATGAAATATGTTGTAATACACAGATGCACCAAAGAACTACAAAAGATGACAGAGAGAGGATCTATGAAAAATTTTACACGACGATCGTGGAAGTGCTGTGCTGCGTTAAATGACTCTAACGAGATATAACTAATGTAAGAAAACGCAGAGTCACTGACAGATGTTCACTATTGTTTTAACTCTGCTCTTATTTGCTTGTCCTTTTCTTACAATACAGGCTGAGAAAACGTCGTAGTGAACAAGTCGCCGTTTCGTTTTGCTAGTAGTTGATCCGGGTATTTTTGTCAGTTACTTCGTGCAGTCAAATTTTTCAGTTATTTCATATCATGATATTTACGCGCCACACTCTCTTTCCTGCAAATCCACTGCTATTTCTTGTCTATAGTACACCGATTTAATGATTGATGTTTTGCTCATTAAAAGATATAGAATACGAGTGGAGTTTTATACAATATATACAACATTTATGTAGTATTGCCATTTGCAACACGCTTGACTGTCGCTTAGTTTTGGAAGACAACGAATAAAGAACAACCGTACATTAACCAAACAATGAATCAACCGAATAAACAAAAACTAATAGAAAAATAAACACATGTAAAAATATTCGTAGCTACAATATTTTGATATAACCTTACTGAATGCGCTTTGCTTTCAACTTGTCATTATTCGTCTTTTCCAGCCTAGGTACTAGTAATACTGGATATCAATAGTTAATTGAAACTACATTCAGGTAAATTGAATTGCATTTTGACGGGCCTAAAATGTTTGAAATCACATCGAATTTGGCATCAGAATATAGCTTTTTTCTTGACAATTTGAATTTAGCGCTAACTCGTGAGCTGAACATGCGCATTCAAAACTACAGCCCAATTTCCCAGACCATAACCGTGCGCATTGTATAATTTCCTAACAAAAATCTCGCCGCTATCACATTATAAGTCAAAAATGACGGACGTTAATCACGTCTGTTCTCCACCAACAATCATTCAAAATAAAGCCTACACTATGTATGAATTTTCATATATCATGGATAAGTTATTGGCAACTTGTTTAAATAAAGAGCAAAAGTAAAAAAACTGCAAAATTAACCCATATTTTGTATCCAATTAAGGGAAATAGGAGCCTGGAATATGAGCAATGGGCATTTGTATTAGATAAGTTTGATATGGAGGTATATGCTGTGGGAAGAACTTCAACCTGTAAAGCGTCAGGCTAACCAAGTTCTTCGTATTTATATTATCTAGCTACAACAAAAATACGTCCATCACGTAATTTCAATAAATTTTCAACAAATACGCTTTGTTCTTTCGGCCATATAAGAGTTTAAGTGGAATGGTGCGCATGAATTTCAATCGAAGGGCCTGAACCCTAAATTAGCAAATGCTCATTTTACAATGAAAAAGTTTGATATGGTATTTGCGGTTCGAGTAATATAGACCATCCTCCATTTAGACTATAACAATATTGTTGACTATTTCATTGACTCTTTCAAAAAAGACAATTCCTTTCCTTTGCTCTCACAAGATCACCATGCAGCGTATTGAATAAAACACGCATTTGTACTAACATCTGTAAAGAGATGTCAGAATGAACTATTTGCATAAGAACCGTGAACTATAGTTTTTGCATGAAAATGCGTGAAGTATAGTTTATGGTGTGAAAATGCATGAAAATGGGTGAACCGTTGTCTTTTGCATGAAAATGTGTGAAAATGTCTGAACTATAGTCTTTCGTGTGAAAATGCGTGAATTATAGTCTTTTCCATTATTATGCGTTGATATAGTCCTTTGCATGAAAATGTGTGAACTATAGTCTATGGTGTGAAAATGGATGAATTTGCGTGCTACTTTTTACTTGACTGTGTGTTATCATTTAATGTAATCGATTACATTGTAGTTGCGTAATTGATAACATTGTAAACGTGTAATTGAATACACTGTAATTATGTCATCGACTACAATGTAATGGTGTAATCGATTGCAGTGTAATCGTGCAAACGATTATATTGTAATCGTGTAATCCACTATATTGCAATTGTATAATCGATTAAATTGTAATTAAGTAATCAAGTAATGCATTTTCATACAATTTCACCTAAAGACTATAATTCACGCATTTGCACAAATCTTAACGTTTTTTCATACAAAGACTATAATATATAATTCACGCATTTTCACGCATTCTCACATTTTTTCATACAAAGACTATAATTCATGCATTTTTACATTTTTCATACAAAGACTATAATTCATGCATTTTTCATACAAAGATGTTATCCATACCATGAATTTTCACACATTTTCACATTTTTCTATACCAAGACTATAATTCACACATTTTTCATACAAGTCATTCATTTTTTCATACAAAGACTATAATTCATGCATTTTTACAAATTTTCAAATTATTTCATACCAAGACTATAATTCACGCATTTTCACACATTTTCACATTTTTTCATACAAAGACTATAATATTTCACATTCTACGACTATAATTCACATTTCACACATTTCACATTTTCATACCAAGACTATAATTCACGCATTTTCACATTTTCATATTTTCATACAAAGACTATATATTCATGCATGTTCACGCATTCTCACATTTCATACACATTTTTTTTCATTACAAAGACTATAATTCACTCATTTCACACATTTTCACATTTTTCATACAAAGACTATAATTCACGCATTTTCACACATTTTCATATTTTTACATACAAAGACTATAATATATAATTCACGCATTTTCACGCATTCTCACATTTTCTCATACAAAGACTATAATTCACGCATTTTCACAAATTTTCACATTTTTCTACAAAGACTATAATTCACGCATTTTCACACATTTTCACATTTTTTCATACAAAGACTATAATTCACGCATTTTCACAAATTTTCACATTTTTTCATATAAAGTCGAGTTTGTCCTTGCGTATCAAAGTGACTTGTCAGAGACAACCAAAGACTTGATCAGAAGCAGGGTAGCCTTAGCTTTACAATTGTCCTATATACGTGACAACGACCTGACAAAGGAAGAGCAACAAGCACTCAAACGACTAAAACACGACAACAACATCATCATTTTACCAGCAGACAAAGGACGCGTGACTGTGGTCATGGAAAGATATGATTACTTCGATAAAATGGACACCCTTGTTAACGACAGACAAACGTACGAACAACTCAAACTAGACCCAACACCATCACTAGTACGCAAACTTAACAGCAAGATCTTCTCTATGAGAAAATCGAACATTATATCTAAACGTATTTACTATCGACTTGATGTTCAGTACCACGACCAGCCAGACTATACGGACTACCAAAACCTCACAAACCACAAATACCCATGTGACCAATTGTATCATTTTGTGGTTCGCCTACTTACGAACTCTCAAAGTACTTGACTGACATACTGTACCAATTACAAGCAAATTAAAACACAAGCTACAATCCAATAAAACTTTCATTAAAAATCTGAGCATTATACAAATACCGGACAACTATATACTAGTGTCTTTTGATGTGAAATCACTGTTCACCAGTATTCCTCTTAATCTGGCACTTACTTGTACAAAAACCCTCATTACAAACACCATGGACGTACTGCCATTACCGACAGAAGACATTATGGAGCTACTGGAGCTCTGCCTCACCTCGACTTACTTCCAATACAAAGGAACACACTACAAACAATTACATGGGACAGCAATGGGCTCGCCCGTTTCTGTTGTAGTTGCTGAAATTGTAATGCAATCTATAGAGGAACGGGCGCTCATGACTTACAAACATGCACTACCTTTTTGGTTTCGCTACGTAGATGACACAATCACAGCACTACATGCAGACGAGATTGATGACTTCCATACTCACATCAACAAACAGAACAGCCACATACAGTTTACCAAAGATGTCGAAGAAAACGGAACTCTTCCTTTTCTCGACTGTTTGGTAAAACATGACAATCAAAAACTACGGACAACAGTTTATCGCAAGCCAACACATACTGACCGACTACTAGACCAATCATCTTACAACCCTACATCACACAAAGCCACCACAATCAGAACATTAACAAGACGTGCACAAATCATATGTAACACTTACAAACGCAACACTTACAAACCCAACGAATCCAACGAAACGAACAACTCAGTGACAACAGCAACGATACCTAACATCAAAGGTACGTCTGAGACTATCTCGCGTATCTTACGACCATACAACATACGTGTCGCACATAAACCAATCACAACGTTACGACAAGTACTAACGAACGTAAAGGACAAAGAACAACCCAACGAACGACAAGGTGCAGTTTACAAAATAAACTGCTCCGACTGCCACGCCTCCTATATCGGGTAAAGTGGCAGGAACTTAAACATAAGACTTACTGAACACAAACGAGCTACTAAGAAACAAGACAAAACTAATCACATTGCCGAACATCACCGAATCACAAAGCACAACATTGACTGGGACTCGGCAAAATGCATAACTTACAGCACTGACTATAGACAACGGCTTACATTAGAAAGTTGGTACACCAACTTGGAACAAAGTTTCACAAATTTTCACAAAGTTTCACTTATTTTCACACAGACTAGCTATAAATCACGCATTTTCACATATTTTCCCACAAAGCCTATAAATCACTCACTTTCACACATTTTTACACAAAGACTATAATTTACACATTTTCACACATTTTCACAAAAAGATTATAATTCATGCATTTTAACATATTTTCACACATTTACACACAAAGACTATATTTCACGCATTTTCATGCAAAGACTTTAATTCACTTATTTTTACACATTTTTCATGCAAAAGACTGTAGTTACTTCAGCATTTTCATGCAAGACTATAGTTCACGAATTTTCATTGAAAAAACTATAGATCAAACATTATCTCTCATTTTCACACTAAAGACTATTGTTCACGCAATTTCATGCCAAAATTTATGTGTTTTCACGCGAAAGACTCTAGATCATGCGTTTTCACGCAAGACTATAGTTCACGTATATTTACGAGAACATTGTAGCTACATTCTGCGTGTTTGTAGTTCCTATGGCTATTGCAGAAATCATAATAAAAAATTATTTGAAATATTGATTTTATCACTATTCCAATATGGTATTGAGATCTGGGAATCCGCTTTACTCATGAAAGATTTGGAACTTATTAACAGTTTCTTCATACGTTTCTTTATACGATATGGATATGTTTCAAAAATGTACAATATTTCAGAACTTATAAAAGAGCGAGATAAATCTTTGTTCCAAAGAATACCCTATGATCCCAGTCATGTTTTACACCATCTACTCCATGATAAAAGGCATAGAGATTTGAGAGAGTAAAGTAAAAACGGTGTATATTCTTAGTTTATTGCTATACATTTATTGTTGTAAGATTGCACGTATGTTGTATTTTTTATATTAATGACTTATGATAATATTAATAACTATAGTCTTTTGCGTGAAAACACGTAAACGTTTTCGTCAAAACACGTGAACTATAATCTTTTTATAAAAACACGTGAGCTGAAGTCGAACCAGGCATCGCAAGGTTTAGGGGCGACGTATTTGACCACTTCGCCACACAAGCTTCGCTGCAAACAATTGATTTTTTATTGTACGTAATTCCTTTTTCAGCAATTCCACGAACAAAAAAAAATCAAGACTCACACGTTCACCACCACCAAGAAAATTCGAGCTTACTCACCTATGTAATTAAAAGTATTAACAAACAAAAAAAAACAAACGTTTTCGGTTGTACGGTGCTCTTTTTCTCTTTCAGTACAGCCACTTCTCACAACGTCAACGACAGCCATGATAGCTAACATCTTTCGATTTTGTAAACTAAGCGCAACTTTTCTGTTTTAAAGAATTAAAATATTTGTTCTTAGTATTGAAGAATGAAGAAAAACGACAATCTGGACAAATCACACATTGAATTAGTTGATCGAGCAACCTCTATTAGCTCTAAATTCCAATTCATGTAGATTGAACTAGGATCATTTTCTACTTATATACGGTGTTGAGGTGTTGATATTTATTTGCAGCAAGTCACATTCTTTATAAGCTTCCTCTGTCTCCTTCCATCTTCCTGTGTTTGTTTAAAAGAAACTTTCAATTCATCAACGACTGTTCTTAACTTCTCTTTTGTCCATTTTTACAGTTATACTTCTATTGTAGCTTTTTCTTTGTTAGTTAATTAATTTTTTCATCCATTTCTTTTCTTCAAAACCAAGTTCAACTGTTTTCTGTTTGAATTTCTTTATACTTCGTTCTTGGGGTTCCTGCGACCCGTGGGAAGGGCAAATAGCAAAAGTGAGAGAATGGTTACAGCAAATAAGAATGGACTAAGCTACCCCTCATTAGAAAATTTAGGAGCTCAAGTCCCCTAGCCGCTTCATACACCTATGACTAAGACTAACACTATCACTTAGACCAACAGCAACATTAAGACATTTTTAATGTGAAATGAGTGAAAACATTATCATAAAACTAAAACTATAGTACTAAACTAACAACATCACCAAGACAAAGACGAGGACGAACACTTGTTAGCATTAAGAATAATACTAACACTAAGTCCAACACTGTGTACATTGTTTGGTCAACACCAGCAGTAAGTCTAACATCAGCACTAAGATTAAAATCACCACTAATTAAGACATGCAATAATTAGTACTAAGACCAAGCACTATGACTATTTAAAACTATCAATCAGATCACCACTGGATCGTTAACACTAAGACAACCGGCACTGTAAGACAAGCTCAAACACTATGAGTACCAGCAGAAATTATATAGCTACTAACTATAAAACTAACAAAAGCACTAAGACAACACCAAGAGTAAGATTAACAAAAGCAATTGCACTAACACTAAAACTAATACTATCACGAGACTGACGGCAGCACTGAGTCTAAAACAGGAACTAAGACTTTTTCATCATTGAAATCTTAAACAACGTTTCATCATCAACCGTCCTGTTTTGTTGGTGATGCGATATTTCCATTATCTAATATGTTATATGAGCAGATCTCTTTGATTGCAAATTTATCTATTTATCTTATCTACTAAAAGTACACGACTCAAAGGAAGTACGGACGTTCAAAACAAGTTTGTTTGAAAGTTTTAAAATAGCACTGCTGCTAAATTTTATTTGTGAAGAAAATCTCATATTAAAATAATTCTGCGACATTACCCTTATCATTCGCAAACATCTTGATAGTTCCTCGTGATCATATCAAGTCGTTCGCAGTCAGAAAGTCTTTCATGATCTTTTTTGCTTCATCACCTTTATAATCCCTCACAATCACCTGCCGACCGTCATCCGCCCCTCGGATCATTGCGGACAAAACTGAAAACACATCAATGGCATAGTTTGTTATGAGCGGGAAATCAATTTTAAAGAAAACAATTCAGGACAACCTCTTCCACATTCTGGTCGAAAGAGACACAAAATCTTCTTTCCTTTTTCAATAGCTCGACCAATTTCATATCCAACACCCAAAGACGGTTGTGTTACTTCAGCAATAAGAGCTATGAACAATATAAGTAGCTGATAAAGTATAAAGTTGAGCCTGTATCAAGTGTCCACCACAGGTTGACCAAACGGTCTTGTAAAAAAACACCATAAGGTTTTTAAGGGCGCTACTCTACTAGCTGATTCATTTTTGCAAAAACATTACAGACATTTTGATTCGAAATATGGATGCTAAAAAATCTGAAAACGAAATAAATTACACCATACAAACTAGAGAAACACTTCGAGTTATCATGCATACAAAGACGGCTGGGAATCAAAAGTCGACGAGGAATGTTTATCTATTGGTCAGTGAGCTAGACAACAAAAGATGAAAACACTGTTTAAATTGTACGAAAAAAACGAGTTGCAAATGGGGGATTGCAAAAGGATACCGTGTCTCAAGTTTATGTACTTGGACAGTGGACATAAACTTGATATTATGGCTGACAAGTTCTTGAAACGGCAGACAATTTCTTGTTAAGGAATTACGAGTAAAGGAAAGCGTGTCTACAGTCTTTACAGAAGTGATTATGGCTTGAGGTCCGCACGAATACCAATTTCTCGGATAAATATGTATTTGCTTTAATGGCAGATAGGAAATTTAAAGATGAAAGAAATTAATTTGCTGCATGCAGTGTAATACGTCCATGCGAACAGAAAATCCTGTTGGCACTTTCTTAATTAAACGAACGATTTAAATTACTTAAAGAAACTAAATCTGGAACCTTGCAAAAGATGATGGCGTTTGCTTAATAAGCTTAAAAAGCCATCATAACGGAAAAGTTTGTTATTAAAGTCACAGTTTCTTTGAAAAAAACTCGTAAAATGATATCGGACTTTCTAAAACTGTTGAGTCACATCACTTTTCACTAGAGAAAGTGACGTCACATGGCATAATAAGAATTTAAACCAATAAGAATAGTTTCTTACGTGTTCATCAACCGCACTGAGTTCCAGTCGTTGTAAAGTGCTTCTGGAATAAAAATTCGACAAAGATATTTCATTCAAAAGCTGACAGGAAACCAAAAGATCTTTATAAATTCGTAGCGACTCATTATGTAATGTGACGTCACTTCATCTGTCATCGCAAAACTTCAATATCTAGCGAATGCAAAGAGATATGACTAAACTGTTTTAGAAAGTCCACTGTCATTTACGAGTTCTTTTTCTATGAAACTATAGTTCTAATAGCAAATTTTTCACTATACTGGTTCATGAGTATTTATATTACGAGATTTTTGCCAGTGTGCCACGTGACTGCTCGACGGAGGGTAGGGTGACTGCTGACCGATTACAACATGACCGAGGACGGGCTTTATGGGCAAACCACCGTCGTCCGTCAGCAAGTACACAGCTCCTGGGCTCCGAACAACACCGTGTATGGGTCACCGTTTTAAAATCAACGAATACGTAATACCGAAAGATTATCATACCGTCGCTTTGGTCGAGCCACGACAAATCTCGGTCGTGAATAAACTTGTCGGTTAACTCAACTTCACCTATAAAACAAAATGACTGTAAGTCGTTAAGAAATTCAGACACGAATAGATATTTGCGGTGAACATAAGGATGCGACAAATCACCGGCTTATCTCAAATTTCATACCCGAAGACGTTGAATAACTTGATCCGATATGCTCAGTGAATACATGACCGAAGGTTTGCAAGTACTTAATCAAGTCTTTATATAACTCCACGTCTCCTAGACCGCCACGAATGCTTCCAGCAAAGTAAAACTTCGGTTCTTTTTCCATAAGCTTACTGGAAATTCGCAGATTTCTATGACTGTATTTGTAACAAAATCTATTCACCGTAAGTGACCGAAATAATAAAACGTTCCGACACATAACGACAACATTCAAAATTCTGCATTATTTGTACACGAAACACGCGTGATAACACAAGGAGCATTAATTTCATTGAAATTTGACGTCATCGAAAGAGCAAATATGGCTGAGGTGTTTCACGTACAGGCGTATCAAAAAGATCTCTTTTGAAAAGCAAAACTTTAAACGTAACAAGTTCTTTATATTTCTATCGTGTACATTATAATTATATGCTAACTCTTCCGCTTTGGTAGGGCGATAAAACTAATGTTTTGTGAGTTTTTGAGGTGAATCATGTGACTACTTAATTCTATACTAGCTCCGATTTTTGTAGTCATTCATTGTATTTGAGGAGGCCTTGTTGAAAAGCAAAGTAATTTTGAAAACTCAAAACCGACTGCATGTAAAGAAGACATTTTAAATTCATAGACCATTGGGGAGTGATGGTTTAGAAAAATGTGGAAAACTTAACCTGACTACTATCATCAAACGATATACAAGTTTGCAGAATGCATGCCTACAACATACTTGATTTACGAACCAATGCGCGCCGCATACTCGGAGCAATCCATTTTTTCATATAAACTTTGCTATGTTCGCGATCGACCTCGCGAGTTCTTTATGAAAAAATACTAAATACTAAAAATACTAAACGTAATGAACAAAACGTGGCGAGGAGTGGTGTTGTGTGGAGAGGATTGATGTTGTTGTGTTGCAATGAACAAATGTCATCGGAGATAAAGTAATGTTGTGGGGTGAAGAATTGATCTTGTGGAGCTATTGGCAAATTAATATTCTCAAGTTACAATGATGTTGTGGGGTGAGGACTGTGGAGGAAATTTTGCCAAGAGTTCTCCTTATATTTCAATTCAAATGAGCCAACAAACTCAGTATCACATTGAAAATCGCATTTTCTATTTCTAAGTTGAAACCATCACTCTATTTGACATCACCTTGTTTTCTCAAACATTTTAAAAGAAAAATTACTTCTTCACGTCTACCTCTTCCCAAGGAATTAAATTTTGCTTCAAAGTTTCTATAGCTACTTTTCATGTAAGTCTCTGAAACACAGAAGATGTCTACCTTTCTCTTTTGCCCTAAGTCCCTCTTTCTCTTCTCATTTCGACTTTACTTATTTCATCTCCATTTATTGGACCACACGATAGTGCAAAAAATGACAAGATGCGTGGATGTTTATTGACAACACTACCGATGATTTTTAACACAACTTACAAAATATATTAAACTCATGCATGTAAGAAATGTTATTCTCAACACACGACCAAAGGAAGCCCAACATAATCATCCATTTGCAATGGGTAATTCACAAGTTATCGCATCTCGAGTAACTTGAATTTTTAATTGTGTATTTCTTCAGGAAATGATATCTTTGTACATTTTGTAGAAAGAAACAATTCATGATTATGTAGCGACTTCGTTTTATTGTTCTGTAATTTAGCTTGTGATTTATATATCAAATTAACTCTTTCCTTACCACCATATTTTTCCCTTGACTTTCAGTCAGCGTCTTGATCGGGATTCAGACGTTCCGACGGCAAGAAAGGGGTCAAATAGCACAAAACTTGCAGCTAGCAGCATCTGTAAGGGGATGCAGCCCTCTTCAGGGATATACCTGAATTGCGTGGGTTGAGAGTAACGAGACTTGGAGTTAGCAAGGCTATTGGAGGGAGAGCATGGTACGTACGGTATCGCATCGTGTTATACTAATAATTAATACACGTTTAATATGCGGTTCGATCTACAAAATAGTACAATCTACTAATTACAAGTCGTCGATATATATGATTGAAGTGTTTATACTTTTAAGAATGACAAGGCCATTTTTTTAAATACGTCATTTTAGGGGTGCTAAACTCAGGAAGCTCTACCCAGTCTCCATTCCACAGACATTCTACATGAGAAAGACGCTGTAACACAAAATGACGTAATTTGGCCAGGTAGGAAAAGCAATTTCTTTATGCATATATGTTATCCATGAAGTAAAAAATGTCATTCTTAAAAATATACTTTAAAGTTTATTACCAATGAGTATTATGGTATTTCACCTAACGATACTTAATTGTTACATTAATTTCAGTTGAAATGTTGAAGATTTATATTGTCTTTCTTTGATGATTTTTCTCACTTCCCCTCCACGGTATAGTGTGAGTGAAGTAACGACGACTCAGGAAGACCATCACCTTTCTTCACCACCATAAACTCCCTCCAGTTACACACTGGGATAAATAGCTGCTACTGTGAAATCTTGCCCACCTTAACTTTAGTCCTACTTAAATTGGGCATGTATATTTACGTATCATCTCATGAAATCAAATTAACAAATATTTACATAAGTTGAAACAATGCAATCAAATAAATAAAAACTAGGATAAATGCTATTTGCAACATAATTTTACTTACAAACCATACTCATAGATACATCTTAGTTACTTTTGCCGACATATGAGTGTGCTACCCACCAATATCAACGGAAACATTTGCCAATGTACATTATCAACAACACAACTTGTGAAGAAACCAACAAAGGAACAGAGGGCATTGTAAACCTGCCAGAACTGCAAACGGTTGATTCCTATATAAGATACACAAGAAAAGGCATTGCACAAATGCATGCGGCTAAAAGATCTACTTGAAAAATCTTTCCACTTATATATATATAAACGTATGTCCTTCAGTTGCTTTAATCTAATTTCGTCCGTCCTCATGTCTGTATACTTTATGATTGTTTGTGTTTTTTTTTTATTCTTTCGTGTTTCTATTTATCCCACGTCATACCATCTTATCCAATATTTATTAACACGTTTTCATCCCACCATGTAATTTTAATATTATGTAAATGGCTATTATATATATATATATATCCCTCTATACTTGTAATTCAATATTGTCTGATGATGTCTTGAGAGTCAAGACGAAACGTTACACTTTTAAATAAATATTTCTTTTTATGCATTAAATGGCTCTTTTAAAAGCTGGGCTTTGATATTTATATTTAAAGTTCGCTTTCCGCCCGGTATATCCCTGGTCACAATTATGTATATATGTGATAAAATGAACACAACTTCCATCTAAGATCCCTACACTGCACGCATCAAACTTTTAATAAGATGTGAATTTTTGCAAGGATCGTTTTACGAAAAGGAATATCGTTGCTACCAACCAAACCAGGATAAGCCCCCTTTTCCGGCTTTCAAGATTTATTCGAAAATGGATTTGATGCTAGTTTAGGTGTTGTACAAAATGGAGAAAAAAACTAATTTAATTACATTTTCTTCTGGTGTGCATCGGCCAAAGTTCTCGCCAGCCACGCGAAAGGAATCTAAATCTTCACAAGACATGGCGTAATTATGTAAGCGATAGTTAAGGATAAAGAAATGACACCCATCAACAATTAAAGATAGACAACTAATTTGATGGCACTTGCTTTGGACTGGGGGAGAAGAGGGGCGGGAGCACGGGGAGAGGTGGGGTCATGCGAAATGTGGGAGAAGGTGTGCATTCCTTGAAAAACATCAGAAAAACAAGTCCGCAGGCTCACAAAAACAAAACAATGCTCAAGACAACTTCAACCAAAAAAATCTTAGCTGGAATCGCTGTACAATTCTTAACCCAAACTCTCTTCTTTAACAAACTTAAGGCTCTTTACGATTCTATACATTCATTTCATAAATCCATAGAATGAATAAGATATTTCATCTTGTCGGGGGCCGTTCATTTGCAATGCTTCTATTTTTTGTCGAGCACGCCCACGGTGCTCGTGGTCATCGTAAAACCGCCACTGGTGTCAGCCTAACTGAATATCACAGAAGTTTAAAAAACCTTAGGTAAAGACGTGAAAAGAAAAAGGATATTTATGTTGCTCGCAGCTTTACTTCCAAGACAAATTTTACTTCCATTAACGATGAGTAACAGTAAGTTGGTGTTGCCAACAGAGCTCCAAGTGTAGTTTCTGTACAGTAATAAAACGTGAAAAAGCCTGGTTACATAATAAATTTTAAATCAAAAAAATTCATTCGTGTTTTCGAATCGCTTTGGCGTAGCAAAAATGAGAAAGTTCATGACTCCTACAGTTAAATTTTGGTGTAGTTTTACAAATGTTATTTCCATTGGCCGATTATTCCAAAAAATCTTAATTCCACAGACTTGTCACTATGACATTAAAGAGGGTTGATGTATTGCTTCATATGAAAACATGGCAAATTTCACCCAGAATACCGAAACAGCCACATATACAATCGTATACTGAGGCTTAAAAATTGCCATATCTAATAGTGAGCTTCCATTTCCAAAATGACAACATTCACAAATTTCGACATGTAGTGGAAAAGCTTGAGAAAAGAGTCCGGTGTTACTGGGATAAAATTGCTGAAAAACGTCTTGAAGCTAGTGATGTTTACCATCCTCGATGAGAAAAGACGCCAGAAAATCAAACATATCTCTATATTCCATATGTTTCTGCGGGATAATATAGAAAGTACTCATCGATTTGTATCGCTCAGAAATAACAAAAATGCAAAACAAGCATTTTGGATCATCGCACTCAAAGTTTATATTTGTGAATTGTCATCCTTGAATTTACGCTCGTATTCACAATACAGCACCAAAAAAGACAAGTTGAAGCAAATGAAAAATACACCAAGCGTTACGAGTAGTTGCAAGAAAAATATTTTGATCTATAAGTTGTACTGCACCTGACACGGCCATTGCCACCAATCCCATCGCCTAGACAAGAGAAATCAACGAACCAGACAGAAATCTTGATTAAAAAATGCATTAGATATGCATATGATCATGACTACGAAAGTGCTTCAATCTTAAGGCCGGCACCCCATGATAACGGAGATGGCTGACAAGGCCTGTTTGGCCGTTATGTGTTTTGTGCTTTGCCTGCTTGATGTCGCAGACGAAGTTCATGCATGTACTAAACGACGCAAACAAATTGAGGAGTCGGTTTAATGAAGTCCCCCTCTGATAGGGGGACAACAGGAACAAAACTATGCAGATTCGGGCAGGTCTCGGTTTATTTGTAACAAAAAATCATTTAACTCATACCTTTAATTTCCTGTGCAGCATCACGATAGTACAAAGGTATGTTTTTGAAACAGGATGTTCTTTCTTGGTTGTTTACAGCTTTCACTATCAATTATACACATAACCACATGAACACAGAAAATTTGATGATTACGGTTACAACATGTCATCATTTAGAAGGGTTATTTTGATCTCCCATACAACAATAAAAACTTTGGACTCTTGCTATATTACATTGACATTCACATACCTTGGTTTTGATAAGTGAAAATCGAATAAAGACTGTACTGTATCATGCTCCTACACAAAAAAAATTGGGAATTGGCTACGGAAATAATGAGTTTGGATTGTTCAGAACAGATACAGTAACCTTTCTGAATCTTGGTCTCGTTTTATACCTTCGACCAAACTCTGTTTTAAACTTTCTTAAATTTCTGTGTAACAATTTTTTCGAAAAATGGTTCCCACAGGGACTTCGGTTTAAGTTAATTAATTTTTGAATTATCAACTGATATAGCCAGCATATAGACTGACGAATGCAAAACAGTAACTGCCATACTTGAATCCTTAAGAGAGTGCGTTTTTATACAGCTCCGACGGGATTTATAAAATATGCTGGAATCAAAAACAGTTTTGAAAGCATCATGTATCATGTCGAAAATATATCAAATCTACACGTAAATTTCGACAATTTTACAATCAGTTTCCCGCCTGACACTTTATTGGCTCCGTTGCCAATGAGAATCCGTTTCCCGCCTGAGTACTTCATTGCCAACAATATTGATAAATTTTACAATCAATAGAAAAATACTTACAGCGCAACTGTTTGAATCCACCATTTAGCGTAGTTCACCAATGAAAAAAGAGGCTAAAATGAAATAAGATGGAAACCACGTTGGTAAATGTAACCGATGGCATATCTGGAAAATGAAACAACTACACAGGATTGTTAACATTCATAATTTATAATCGGATGAAAATATATGCAATGAACGATCTTTACAATTATGCAACACTTTAGCACAATACAGCATTACATACATAAATGCAGTTAATTGTGGTAAAAATTTATGGCAGAAACTAGTTGTTGTCGTGGATGCAAAATATTCTCGATTCCCGCGTCTTTTCAACTCGTAAATTCATAATCTAATACATGTGTTCCGCTAAAACATAGCCTCTGAATCTAAAGGATCACGTACAGGATACATGGTAATATTTAACACGTACAACATACAACATGTGTTATTTATGTACTGACGTATAACAGCACTGCCATTATTGGCAAATTACATCTGAAATTTTTTGCTCATCAACCAAATTAAAACTCTTTGAGTCTTCATCTCGTCATCTACAAGGAAGTCTGAACCTGGTCATCTAAAAGAAAGTCTAAACCTCTATACCTCATTATCAAGGCCTCTTCACCTACTGGGGAATCTACACCTCATGATCTACACGGGAATCTAAAGCTCATCATCTACAAGAGAATCTGCATCTCACCATCTATAAACGATAGTCTACACCTCACCATCAACTCAAGCGTCTGCACTTCACCATCATGCATCCCTGGGATGTATCAAAAGTGGGAACCAACGTTCACTTACATCTAAAAGTCGAACAGAACCGCTTGGTGTGCTTTCGCTTTTAGTACATAACGCTTGAACATCAGTAAAATTGTATCTATATAACACAAATCGAGAAGCAATGTAATGTTTAACTATTAAGACATCGTTTAGGTCAAAGAATGACATGCATAAAGAAATAGCGACTTCGTTGCTGCTGTATTCTGTCTGAAATTTGATATAAGTTCCACATAAACAAACGATATTTTGTTGTTAAAATTAATTTTATTGCTGAGTTCATAAAACGTGATGGCAATGACTGCAAAAATTGGTCGTGAGTTTTGGAATCATCTGGCTTATCAAATTCGATTTTTGTTGCCCAAATTATCAAACTAGAAGTATAAATACTTCTAACGTTGGAGGGATCAAGAGAAGTATCCTTTCAAGGTTTCTCGATGTGTCAAAAAACCTCTGATTTTGTTGGCGGAAATGCGTTTTCGGCAACCAAACTTAAATCACACCCATAATACGCGCCACTTTTTTTGACACAATTGACGCTTAGAACCTTATACCCCGAAAACACCCCAAATAACATAGGCCATGGAAGAGACTTCATACATATATTCTTACTTTTCATAAACATGAAAATTTATCAAATCATTCATGATTTCTCCTTTAATTTGGCCCTTGCAGTCATCTGCCGTCTACAGAAAAAAAGCGAGAATTTCAATATTGAACAATATACGCAAGAAATAAATAAATTGTTGACAAAGGTGAACGTCACCTCGTTGTTACTTGAAGCCACAACAAAACCATTCTCGTCAAGCAAATAACACTGATAATCCTGAAAAACAGGAATAGTATGACAGAGATAAAACCATTGATGCAATCTATTGAACAGAGAGAACACCTTGATGTCACGTGTTTCCGGCAAAAAGGAGCTTATGATATTTCAGACCGTACAGAGAGACCCTAACCTAACCATACAGAGTGTTTGCATGTGACGTCAAAACGATCATGTTGGTTGGTTGTTACACGAAGTGCCGTGGCTCAACAGAGCATGATTAACATAAATTCTTTTCATTGTATAAGATTTTCTTCCAACAAGACGACAGGTAAAAACACCCTATAGCTAAGCCTAAGTGTACCTTTCCAAGCCCAGGAATTTAGTACAAGGCATAACGATACAAGCAAGAAATAACTGTTTAAAAAATATAATAATTTTCAACTTCACATACCCCGTCGGCTTCTTCACACTAATAAAATAAACGAAAAACATTAATTAACCACTTTGTTTCGTATAAAAAATTATCTTGATTGAAAGACGTTAGTCCCATCTGACTGCTGTCCTATCTCATTACTGCATGAACGACCCAATTTCTTTCCAGTTCAAACACTGTTTTATCCAAATAAATGTCTAATCCAAACGCTTTGCTAACCAATTCCACTAGCTTTAAGACGTTTTCCATCGCAAGACTAACGTATCGAAACGTATCATAAATTCTCATCAAGATACAAGTTTTAGAGATTTATTGCTAACGAACGCCACCAATTCTTACAAGTGCCATGAATAATTTCAATGATTACGAGGTACATGGAGGGCACAAAAATAATTACATTTTTCTTTGAACTCTATTACCGTGTAGTACAACAAGTGACAAAGTTTCACTTTCAGTTACTAACATCAAAAGATATGCTTACAAAAAGCACGAAGCAAAGCTCCATTTTGATGAATTCGGCTAATTTTGGACATTTGCATCGATTTCTACTCATTTACAGCAATAAAATAATGTCAAAGAAATAATTCTGAAACTTGGCTGTTAAAAATGATGGTAGTTCGAGTCGGATATTTGCGAAACAAAAAATATTTCATGGCTTGCAAATGCAAAGGTGTCCGCCACTTGGACGTGAGCATTGAGCAAGTTAAATAACATCTCTCGCTAAACGAGATGTTCAGATTATTTGGTTTGTATGCAGAACCTTGCTATGAACAAAGTTACACGTTTCCAAGGCACCCTTAGCAGAACGTTCCCATGTTAAAGCTTTAGAAATATCTATCTATACATGCTTACCCTTTTGTTTACCAAATTATCCAATGAAGACGAAGTTACTTTCATTCCAGCCACTGTGAAAAGAATAGATCCATTTTTATTACAGTTCTTCATGAAAAAAAATAACAATCTATCAGGGAAAATAATTCCCTACGGCTTGCATGTGGTATGCTATTTCATCGATAGAACAGCTTTTCAATTCATTTTGTACCCTCTGGAAGATTTCTTCAAACAATATATTTTTTCTTTTCAAGACAAAACTTTAAAAATAGTAACTGCTTATTTTATTTCTATTTCTAAAATTTCGAAAACAGTAAAAAAAAAGTTCTAAAGTTTCATAGACGAGATCGATGATGTGACGCAATAACGTTGACAAAAAATCGTTTGCAGGCTCCGTTGACAAAAAAGGGAAAAAGCAAACAATCCAAAATAGTTGGCAACTGTCCTTTCATTTTGCTTTTCTTATATCACGAACTTTTCATCATAATTATTAATCAAAACATTTTCTACAAGCAATTTCTCGAAAATAACATTTGTACTCATTTATATCGACATTTAAGGACATTTCACTTCGTAGCAAATTACCTCCCCAAAGCACCTTTTCATTGTCCGAAGCTTTGCCAACAACAGCTTTGCTTATAGTCACTAGAAGAAGAGAAACGGAAAATAAAATAAAACACTTTATCAACATTTAGCAAGTGCATGCATTTGCCCTCTTGGGTAACACGTGTTAACGCTATAATATCACATGGCAAGGGTCACGCTTGAAAAATTTTTTGGCAGTCCATTAGTTTAGTCACTATGGTAAAATCCATTAAACCAAATTTTACAAAAAAAGTTAGCAAATTTTTGAATACAACAACACAACGCGTGCACTGATTGGTCAATAGCTGAGTTTGCATTAGCCAGTGAAAAGATGGGAAACCAACTTGAGCTCGATAAATTAAATCAAACGAAGAGAATTTGCACCTGAACACACGTTAAATGTTAAACATTTGTTTTGAATTTATCTGTTTCTCGGGCATTATCATTATTTTACTAAAGAAATAAAGGTGTTTTTCGGGTTTGCACTGGCTCATGCCATCCTCGGAGACGTTTGTTAGAACTCTTGATCAAGTGAAAAGCAAAAAGCCTGTGCAGCTGAGGAGACTAAACTTTTAACACTAAACGATTTACGATGTAAGTTAGAAAACCAAGCCATTGTAACATATATGTGCAACAACTACGAAACAAAACGAAACTCAACAGAGAAACTTTTTTTGTGAATTTGAGGCTCAGAACCATTTTCAACGTTTGACTGCCTGAATGAAAAAGCTATTTTCAAAAGTTATTTATGACGTCATATCGAGGATTGTATGATACCAAGAAATCGGTTGTACTGGATATTCACACAATAAGATACCTCAAAAGGGTGTAATGGAATGACGCAGCTACGCTTTCCACGAGCCCATACATATAAAATACAATGTTTTCTAAAAAGCGCGTTCCTCGTATGACGTCAGATCTAGCCTATCGCTCCATTTTTTTTAAGTTTCACTCAAGGTCAACCAAAAAATTACCGAAACGGAGCTCCATAAAATCTGCGAAGTTCAAATTTAAAAGATATATTGCAAACGTGTTTAAAAACTACCGAAGTATCTAAATAGCCCAATTAAAAGACATGAAAAGATCACTTTAATGCACAATGCCACAAGTGACAAGCCTATTTGTTATTCGTGACATTTGGATTAAAAAATGTAAAAGACGCGTCGTCAAAAATTACCTTCATTTTTCCGATAAGAAAATATTAATCGCGGGCTCATCCACGTATCGGCAGCTCGTTCGAAATACTCTTGTTTAATCGAAGAACCGTCGAATGTTTCCATCGTACTGAAATGCAACAACGCAAGGGAAAATAAAGACATTTTAATCTCAATTTTAGAGGTAACGCAAACGTGTATACTATAAAAACCAAGGAAAATCAACATGGCAGCTTTTTCGACAAAGCAATTGGAAAATTAAGGATTTTAGTAAGATGAATTCACCCCTCAATAGGATGAGAATAAGAGTACATATTTTCATCTTGTCTTGAAGAAAAATATAAAATTTGTGTTCTTACAATGTGCTCCCAAACTAAACTATTTTCAAGAAGAACGGGAACCAGGAATCTCGACCGCAATGAAAGGTAATTTAGACAAATGCAAAAACCTTTCAAAAGTAACATGCTTGGAAAAATCTGCATGCAAGGACGTTTCGAATTCGGTAGGAACGATAAGATCCATAACTTACTTGGAGTAGGTTACACCCGAGATTGAGCCAAAAAATGTAGAGATGCTGCTCAGTTCACAATTAAAAAGAAAGAAATATGACAAAATAAATAGCTGATTGCTACTTTTATAGAATTGATTGTTCTAATTATAGCTAACATACTTAATAATAAGCAATTATTGGATGTGGTTGTGCATGATATCAAGAATTATTCAGACCGAGGTCAATGTAAGCCGAAGCGAAGCTGAGGCGGATAACATAGACTGAGGTCCGAATAATTCTTGATATCATGCGAAATACGAATTCAATATTTGTTTTATTATTCACCTCAAAAAAAACTAACTGAAATATTATTAAAACTGATAAATGTAAAACATTTTCAAACCTTCGCTACTTTGTCGCTGAAACAAAACGGTTTTTTCAAGTTCTTTTCGTTTAAATATGCTGTAAATAAGTTCAAAACAAGCTTCGTCCCTTTTTTATTGTTTTCCACTTATTTTTTGCTCAAAAGCTTTTGCTTATCGTTCTTAGAAACTGTGGTGAACATAGGTTGTTTTGATTTTTTTCAAAACCGGCTTTTAATGGCGTCCATATATGTAGAAACTATTGTCTGTAGGTGTGACGTCAGATATCAAGAATTATCTGAAAGGTAGTTGACCAATCACAGCCAAGAATGCTCACATAGTGAATAATAATTCTCGCTATCTGTAGGTATGACGTCATATCTACAAATAACAGTTTCTACAATTATGGACGCCATTAAATACTGGTTTTGAAAAACATCAAATAATAGCAATGTTTTCCACAGTTTCTAAAAACGATGAGCGAAAGCTTTTGAGCAAAAAGGTGGCGGAAAACACTAAAAAAGCGACGAAGCTGGTTTTGAACATATTTACAGCATATTTGAACGAGGACAAGGACAATAATTGTTTTATATGATACATATAAAATCTTATTCATATAACACACGTGATACAAAGACTTCGTCACGTGATAAAGTGATTCATGCACCCGATGCCAGTTTCTAATGCAATTTATGATAACTCATCCAAAGGAGGAAAATGTCACATGACATGGGAGGGTTGGAAAAGTTCCTTTTGTGAACTTCCAAGTGAAAACAACAAAAAACGGCACCTTGATTTTCTTGGTTTCCATCCATTCAGATGAACAACATCGTGGTGAACTAGATGGGCAAGTTTTGCTTCAGGGATGTCTTTCAAACCTCAAAACAAAAATAAGCACGTGGATGATTAAGAGTAAGAGTTACTGCTATTGTCCTAGTAGTAGGATTAACAGAGCACTGGGGAAGAGGGGGGGGGAGGGAGCTGGCTAGGTACAGAGACCGCTAACACTTTTCCTGCCATAATTACATTTTCAAATTGGTCTCCGGGCCCTACTTGCACTCAACTTTGGCGACACCCCCTCCCGCCATCAATATAAAACTATGTTCCAGGATCGTTATTTTTTTCAATATATAAAATGTAATTGAGCCCGGTCAGTTAAAACACACGATGGAATAAAGAGTTGATGAAATTCAAATTGCTTACATTGCTTCAATTCGCTCGAATTTTTGTATTCGAAGGAAACCTCAGTGCAGTTGAACCTAGTGAATAAAACTGCAATTAAAGATAGAAATTTTTCCGCTAATATATGAAAATCAAACAAGTTCCTTCGCATTTTCCCAATTCTATTCGGGTTGGGCGTGCAGCATTTAAAGGATTTGACGATAAAATTTACGATTCTAAATCTAAGTGCTCAGTGCATTTTTTAAATTATAAGCTTCACAAAAAAAAACAATAAACACAACAAGCTTCACACATTGCGAAGTTTTCAGAGCAAGAAATTGATCAACAGAGTATTGATAACAAAGTAAAGTAACCAACCATTTTTGGGGAACAGAAACCTTGATGCCATTGTTTTCAAGTGTGTCAAATTTGACATTGGAAGCTATGTTAGATAATCAATGCAGAAAGTACTGATTAACAATCGAATTTCACGTATAGAATGCAAAAAAAAAACCCGTAAGTTTGTAAGGCTAACCATTATTTGAGTACTTGATGACGTTGGATCCATAATCAGTAAGTGCAATGCCAACGCTAACAAAAAGAAGAGCGCAATGATAACACTGAATATCGTATCATATAGAAGACCATCTTTTGCGATTTTTGTAAAAGAACTGGAGACAACTTCAAAATGGCTACACTGGCTATGAGGCCAATCAATGCCATATAGTACTTACACAAAAACAACAAAAGATGACCTTTCGTATGTTAGTATTCTGTGCTAATAGCAACCTATAGAAAATTTTGCAAACCAGAGCATGTTTCAAAACCTGAAAGTAGTTTTCCCACTCGAGTGGCGTAGTCGGCAGCCAGCAGGTTTCAGTCCTACTACGTATAAATTTCAGAGCATTATCCTAATTTATTTATATAGAAATATACTGTTTTGGCAAAGAGTGAAAAGAGAAAAATTTGCATTGCTAGAGCAAGATTGGCGGGCTCGCTTCGTCATTATAAAGGAATGAGTGGACTCGTCCTGAATTATTATCTAAACATTCATCAGTAAAATAAATATGTTTTTGTCCATTTGCATTCATATGTTCTACGTTGCTTACATCAATTCAAATTTCACTTGAAGACATTGGAAATGTATTTATGAAGTAATGGTACAGCAGTGAAGAAATTAATGTATAAAGCAGAGTGCAGATGATGTAGCCTTTTAACTGGAAATGAAAATCAAACTTTCGATAGCAATAAAAGTAGACCTCGTATTTTTCATATTTCATTGATATTATTTGAATGTAGGTTAGGCATGTGTTGGCAAACGTACGCGTCAAGTGAACGTTTTTCCGAGCTAAATACGGATGGGAAAATGGGAGAAGCTTTCTGCTAGTAATAAAACCTAAATTTGCTCTGAGATTTACGCGATGAAATCTCTCCATTTTAACAGCGGTTTGAATTCTTAAACAAAATATGCTGCAAATAATACCGTCGAACATTAAAGTATCAAAAGCTATTCTGGCCGACGAGGAATGCTCATGGAGCGGTATTTGATATGTACAAAACAGACATAATAATAAAATGTAAAATGATGAGAACAAAATAGGAAATAATGGAACGTATTACAACACATCATGTAATAACCATTAATCGATAATTTACAATCCTATATCATAAAAATCTGAGGGGTGGACGTAGCTACCCCTGTTCTACATCATAGATGGAAGTACTGATGGTAACAAAGTGTACACAAACCTAAAAGGTGTATTTTCCAAACGACGATAAGAGTAAGAAAGATTTCTTTTCACAACTCGAAACTATAGAAAAGAAGGAAAAATCACGTCTCGCATACAATTTGTTGCGACAAAATTGCTAATATCGACCACGCGTTCAATAAACAAATCCCATTTACCCAATTAAGAAATATCAGAGAGCTCACAAGTACCATCACAAAAAGAAATTTTATAAATAGAAATTGATGTATTTTATTTCACTGCGTAACATTTGCATTTTTCAAATCTATTTGAAAGTCAAAAGTTGAAGATCAGTTTCACTGAACTGAAAGGGATATATACATTTATAGAATAATATAAAATAATTAGTCTTATTTTTTTTGGAAGGGGTTATTTGCACGACAGCAACGGATGTGACTAAGGGCACGACAGCCACGTATCTAAATTGCCTGATTCACCTTGATTGTCAAAAAATTTTGCGGACTGCTAGCCCCAGCTACTCGTTTATAAATTCTAACTTTTACGTTGATTTTCAAGGGTCTTGAAACATGACGACATGGTCGTGTGTGACAATGGCGATCAAAATACCTGATTATACTTGGCGAGTACACGAAATTCTTTAAACTCGTGTACATTAAGATCCCTGGTTTGCCCTAGGATCATTTCCATGGTTATCTACAGTAATGAAAGTTAAGAATAGTTAGGTCTACGACAGGAGGAACGTAAAGTCGGCATGCGACAAGATTCCTTTCTTTAGAGGAGCTGTGGCAAACAAGATTATCGCTTACTTAAAAAACGTTTGTTGGGGAAATGTCGACTCAACTACGCACGTACTCATCTTATCTGCGCACTTTTGAACTTGAAACCACAGCCGATATTTTTAAAGTTGACAGCAGACAACATGCATGGCGTGCGAGTGTTAAAGCGCACGAAACTGTACCTGCTCTGTTTTACTTTCATCCTTGAAATGATGCAATAATTCGCGTAGGAAAACATCGGGAGGTTGTTTTAAAACTTGGCCTTCCTAAAAATATAAACCGTGTATTTAGTGACCATGCTGAAAGTTATGTTTATCACGCCAAGCTTCGTGAAAGTTAAGCTCATCTATTTTAGAAAAATTCACATACATACAGTGAAAAAGTGAAAATATAACTAGGCTAATATCTGCCACCTTTTATTAAACATAAAACACTCTTACTGGGCTCTGTAGAAAGGATGTCCAGGTGGCAAATTTGCTTTTCGTGCTAAAGATGGTTCATGAAAGCTCGTAGAGTGGCTTGCTATTTTTTTTGGTGCTCAAGCCACCTCATTGCCGCCACGTTGGATGATCTTAACAAAGGATTTTCCTCATTTCCGATGCAAACGTCATCCAACATGGCGAACATTTCATTCGTCTCTCACTCCCCGGGGAATGGTTGCATAAGACCTAATGATGATTTTATGAAGAAATTTTTACGTTAAATGCTGTGACTGTATACTACTGCCATGATTTACTCGCTCGGAAAAATTCCACAAAAATACAAAAGGAAATTCATACTTCTTTCTTCAAAAATGGATGAAAGAAAACCAAGCCATTGTTTGTAATGGAGAACGCATATCCACCAGCTCCCAACTGCAAACGAAAATATGAACGCGGTAAAATTTTCTCTGATAAACCAAGTTAAAAATTGAAAAGAAAAATCCTTGCAAGCCTCGATCTCATATCGTGTGATAATGAGATACTACTAAAATTATCATTCATCTAAGCATCTTTTAGCAGCAAAGGCTCGTGTGGTAATGAGATACTACTAAAATTATCATTTATCTAAGCATCCTTTAGCAGCAAAGGCTCGTGTGGTAATGAGATACTACTAAAATTATAATTCATCTAAGCATTCTTTAGCAGCAAAGGCTTGTGTGGTAATGAGATACTACCAAAATTATCATTCATTTAAGCATCTTTTAGCAGCAAAGGCAGTGAATTCATGGCGCTTACGTGATGTTCTGGAAAGAACGACAAAATTTCTTCCAAGGTGAAGTCCGATCCGATAACACCAAGATGTTTCTACACGGTATATGGATAAATATAGGAATAGTTAAGGCAGGGGAATGGATACACCATGTTTTTGTGGTGATAGTGCTCAAATCAAGACTAGATTTCAGTGGCAACTTGTTACCGTAGAATGCCAGACTTTAGTTTGTTAGATTTTGTACACTTTAATAAGAATGGGAGATTTTTGGAAGAGAACGTGCTCTGTTACTCCTAATCCGAACAATAATCCAAACTGGTGCAGACCTAAATATCCCTCCCATAAATCGATCCCTTGGTTAAAGTATTGAGTGAATTTGCACATTATTAAATCACGACCTCAAAAAGCATGGAAAAATAGTTCATTCAATACCACAGTTTTTCAATCTGGGATTGGCATGTCTTACATTGTTGATATAATTAGCACTATAGAATGATTTTATAAGTGTCTGCGGGTGCTGCTGTGTAGTTGAGATTTGGTTTTGCTGGCTGTTTGGTGGGTGTCACCGTGCAATGGAAGACGCTTTTTTTTACTAAAGTGGATCCTTCCTGAGCCCCCTCTAGCTAAGGCTCGCAGGGGTGTGAAACCATGTTCATGAGGTTTCAACATGTGGCCAGGGGAAATTATGCCGCGAGCAAAGATTTCGTGTTTGCTATATCATATAGTTTTATGGATGGCCAATAGCAAGTAATGATAAGCAAAAAATTTCTTTTTTCTCCAACAATTACCTTAGTTGTGTTATCAAAAATGGGAACTACAACGGAAGTTAACAATCCGAGACCCTAAAAAACAACAACAAGAAAAACATTCTGACCTCATAAAAGAAAATGTTTGTATGTAAAAGCATTATGTCATATTCAATAACCCAATAAGGGGAATAAATGATGACGTGATCATGCAAAACCTTGAGAGTTGAAACATAATATTTCGGTAGCATGCATTCTCTAGTGATCCGGGGTTCGTACAATGCTCATATAATGAAATTCGAGCAACTTCAAAAATTTTCCAGAGCATATTTTGAAAGATTTAAGGTCGAGGAGGGCACTGAATTGCACACAAAGCACAACTAAAGTGAGAAATCATTAAAAAAATAATCAAAATTAAAACAAAGGAACTTTTCCAATGAGTCACGAGAAAATGGTGTGTTTTCGTATGGCTTGAAAGCTGCCATGATAGTAGGTTACTTTAAAGACCTGACATTAACCCTTAAGCGCACGAGTTATTATTTTACATGAATTTGATTCGGTTTCGTTGTCGCCCAATGAATTGGACATTGTGCAATGATACAATTTCAACTCCAATTTTGAAAAGAAACTACTGAAAAGATAGTTTTCAAAAATTCGATCAAAAAAATTTATCTAAGCACTTTCAAGCGCATCTTAATAAATTCAAGTACATTTACGGCCTTGAATTTTCGATTCAAATTAAAGGACATTTAAGGACATTAAAGGACATTTCAAGTTTTGTTCGAACCCTGTATGATCACGTGAATGGAGAAATCTCATAATACAGTTTTATAAAGAAGCCACTTGGTCATAGAGGCAATCAAATCAAACTCATCTTGTAGTGGAAACTGAGTGTAATGTCTCACCAAGGCATCTACATATACAGGTGTCCACGCTGGCTTGTGATTTCTTGAACGGCTCAGAACTGAGACATACTTCTAATTATAGAAAGCAAAATGAAATTAGACTTGTTTTAGCTGATGGCAGAAAAAAGATCAACAAAGCAGATCAACCTTGGTATATACGTGTTAAATATTAAAAAGTCAAAGTTGCCTACATCTACATGAACCCTTTTAGCAGAAATCCATTCACAAAGGTAGACTTACAAAGTGTGCATCGCCTCAAAGTTACTATTTCAATGTGCTACATAATTTTCAGGGTGACTTCACACAATAAACGTTTTTTGATTACAATGACTGCAGTTACAATGAATTTTTGCTTCCTTGCATCACTTGAGACAGATAACAGTTTTGGCAAGCAAACAACTATGAGTTATGCAATCTTCAAAGTATCAAAGAGCACAAGTACGCAATCTCGTCTTGCCTCCACCGTAAAATATCTTTAAATACACATACCACAATAGTTTGACGAACATCACTTAATGTTTCAATGCGGTAAAAAAATCCTGAAAGACAGAAGAAACTGAATGTAACATTAATCGAAAATTGCACTTTTTGTTCTTTTCAGACATCAATTGAAAAAAGATTGGTGACAAAGATAAAATATTCACTATGTAAGTAAGTGTAGAAATGATGACAAAGAAAAAGTATTCACCATGTAAGTGTAGGAATGTTGACAAAGAAAAAATATTCACCATGTAAGTAAGTGTAGGAATGGTGGCAAAGAAAAAGTATTCACCATGTAAGTAAGTATAGGAATGGCGACAAAGATAAAATCTTCACCATGTAAGTAAGTATTCAACATGTAAGGAATGTTGACAAAGAAAAAATATTCACCATGTAAGTAAGTGTAGGAATGATGACAAAGAAAAAGTATTCACCATGTAAGTAAGTATAGGAATGGTGACAAAGAAAAAATATTCACCATGTAAGTAAGTGTAGGAATGGTGGCAAAGAAAAAGTATTCACCATGTAAGTAAGTATAGGAATGGTGACAAAGAAAAATATTCAGGAATGGTGGCAAAGAAAAAGTATTCACCATGGAAAAGAAAAAGTATTCACCATGTAAGTAAGTGTAGGAATGGCGACAAAGATAAAATATTCACCATGTAAGTAAGTGTAGAAATGATGACAAAGAAAAAGTATTCAACATGTAAGTAAGTGTAGGAATGGTGACAAAGAAAAAGTATTCACCATGTAAGTAAGTATAGGAATGGTGACAAAGAAAAAATATTCACCATGTAAGTAAGTGTAGAAATGGCAACAAAGAAAAAATATTTCCTATGTAAGTAAGTGTAGGGATGGTGACAAAGATAGAGGTGTCCAAAATGTAAGTGGATAGCGATGCACTTAATGACAATTTTATTTATCTGACTCAAGTGATGTGGTGTTCGTTAATTATTTGAATGCTTCAATTCTCTAAACTTGTTTCCATGTTGCGAAAGCTTGACAACCTCGATGAAATTACATAAAGAGAGAAGACACATGGGCAACCATGACATCCTTGGAATGTTTACCTTTGTTTTTACATGCAATCCAACGTACGGCCTTTGAAGGGCTCCCTTTATCACGACCTACCAAATAAGTGAACACTCGAATCTGAAACAAACAAAATTCCAATGTTAAAGACCTGAATTTATAAAAAGGAGTCGACAGTGCTATAAAACCTCACTTGGAGTCATTAGTGCATTGACTATTAGGCGAAGTATTCTTAAGCTTTCTAGAGGCTCGTCGATGGTATCTCGACATAATTCGTGTTGCGGGAAAATGGATTTCGTATTATCTACGGTTTAAATGCGCGATGCTAAAAACTCTTAAAACAGCTGGTTTCCTAGTTCCCCTGATCATGTCAGTATAGCTTTCAAAATTTCGTTTCAACTTTAAACTTTTCCCTATCGTTTCCACTAGCGCATAGTGCGCTACAAACACAAGCCAAAAAACAGAAAAGCATCGGAACGCAACGAACGCTAACGTCGTCATAAGTCTGAACTTGGTGGGGATTGATATCACTTAAAGGCCCACAACCTTACATTTGCTTACAGGCCACGTAATTAGCAATCCTCCACTCCTAGGAGTAACGATTCGAAAATTATAATGATTTTTCGCTCTCGGAGCTGTACAAAGAGTTTCTGCAACAATTTTTTTCGGTCAGTGCAACTATATAGAGGTGGCCTATGGAGATTTACAGACTTGAACAAAGGACTCGTATATTGCTGACAGCGGTATGGCTAAACTGGCTATTTACTTTTTTTTCTCTGTTGTTTTTATCGAAAACATCTTCAGCTACGGTGTCTCCTTCCACTCCATCAGTAAAGAACGCAATTATTTGAGAGCAATTCGACGTTTTGTTCTTGTTGGAGTTTCGCGCTTTCTGTAATGAGAACAAAAGTAAGTTTGAACACCTTTTTGAGCATTATCGCTGATACTACTTCAAAAATAGCCCTGTTTTCCTAGTCTTTTCACACAAAAACCGACAACTGAAAGCGATTTGGGACTTATAACGCTTCAGGTATTATTTGCATGTTCAGTTAACACGCAAAATAACACAACTACAATCATTAAAGTTGAGAATACAGTTCTGATGCAAATACATTGACTGTAGGTGTATTTCATGCTAACATTGGCCTAAAAAAGGTCGCGTTCGTACTTGTCACGAACCATGATGAAACAATTTATACGTAACAGTAGTGGACGGTGTGGACGACTTTTCAACCACAATTTCTCGTTTAATGTCCCAATCCACCTTTCCAACAATAAACACACGAGTCAAAAATGCGACATAATAATACAAAATTCGGGCAATCAAATGGTCGGACATAGTATTGTATATGTAGAATAGTGGCAATAAAATAAAAAGATGATGCTCTTGGGGTATTTGTAAATCATATTTTAGAAATCCAGAACGACTAATTATAAAAGTAGAAGGTGCAAGTTTCCGTCAAATCAAAGGAAAGCTTGGATATGACATGCAATATGCAGTTACAAAGTTATAGACAAAATAAAAACATTTCTAACGTTATCGCGGATATTACGAACGGCGTAACAAAGTGTTGATGAGTTTGATGCATTTGTCAAAGCAAGCTTAAGAAGACAAAGAGCATGCTAAAAATATATGATTGAAAATTTGCTCAGCTCATTTACAAATACAAATTTCAGAGCTCGCTCTGTCACAAATTATTTGAGAATTAATTTGAGCATGCGTAGTCAACTCCATCAACTCTCTAAGTTCATGGTCATCGCAACGAGCAAATGGATGTACTAGTAACGACTATGGTGTAAATAGCTCCCTCAGTCACAAATTTTAAGATAAATCATTTGGGCATGCGCAGTCAGCTTGAGCAATCCCAGTCAGCTTGAGCTTGCGCAGTCGACTTTACCAGCTGCACAAGTTCATGGCCATGGCAACGGGAAAATGCATTTAGTAGCACCGATTTAAGTAAATAGCATGTTTTGAACAATTTAATTGGGAAATCATCTGCGCATGCATTCGAGCATGCGCAGTCCACTCCACTAATTGTTCATGGTCATGGAAACGACTAACTAGATACACTTGCACTACTTTGGTGGCAATTAGCTCACTTCGTCGCAAATTATCAAAGAAATTATCTGGGCATGCGTGGTAATGATGTCAATCACACCACAACTTTCGTACGCCTTTGTGTAATATATATAATAACTGAATACTTCATATAGTAGATGTCAATTAGCAGTGGAAGCTGGATGCGGTTAGATATGCGATGGCTTAGGAGCCCAGACTTCGGTCGCGACCGCACTCTCCCTGCGTACCCCGAGCAAAGCCTATTGCAGGCAATCTCGGGGTCTGATGGGCGGAAGCTTGCTACGTATTGGCATCCCCAAGTAGGGTAGCGTGGAGGGACCGAAATCTCCTACCTGAAACGTTAACATGCAGCGTTAACATGCATGCTTATAAAGGTATCGGGAAGCATGGGCCGAAAACGGGGTTTTTTGCTTTCGAATTTATCTTTTTGTTTACAAGAGTTCTCATGAAAGAAACTAGAACATCCAAGTATACTGCAAAGGTTGAAACAACTTCTTCCTTTTAGACTTATGATTTAAACCAACTCTAAGCATGGTTATACGTTTTTTACTGGTCACCTTTTACAATTTAACTTTCTCAGAACTCTCTCATGATGAACGAGAGCCTCCTTATACAATATAACTTTCTCATCATGAACGAAAGCATCCATGTGCCTCATGGAAAAAAGGGATTATATACTTTTTTAAAATAGTTTCTACAAAGATAACATTTAAAAAGCCAAGCAATTTGTATCGTCTAAATTGAACCTCTCTTTCAACCCTTATGTTATGTTATAAAATTTTGATTCATTTTGGATAGAAAATTTCTTTTTACATTACAATGTTTTCATGATTCAATTTAGAAAATAACTTCACTTTTCGCGTAATAACAGTTCAAAAATTTGTATGGCTTGCTTTTTTGCGCTGTTTGCAGCTGGAATCCGTCCTGGATATTCTAAGTCACGCCGTAAAGGCCAGTAACAATCCTTACAAAAAAGTCATTAGCGCGACAACATGCCAATATTCAAGCTTTCCTTCGATCGTTATGCTTTTTTCTAACACAAAATGGTTAATATTTGCTGTTATGCCTTCTGCCTGAATAAATAATCGTTCTGAATAACTGGTATTAGATTCACAAATGCCCAGAACTCAAAAGCATCTCCTAACCATTAAATTGCCACTATTCTACATATACAATACCATGTCCGACCATTCGATTATCCGAATTTTGTAATTTTATCTCGTATTTTTGACACGTGTGTCTACCGTCGGAAAAGTGGATTGAGACATGGCAAATTCGTTTCATGCCATCAAAGATAGACAGAAGCGTTTCCATACCTGCAGTGCTTCGAAAGCTAGTCTGAAACCTTTTTTGACCTCAGCAATATCTTTCGCAGAAAGTGTTTCAATTGCATTCTTTAGCATCTGAAATGTTTGATGCATTCTTCGTTAGTACTTTGCCGTTGAAATGAATTATGGGGAGTATAGTTTGAACTACTTGAGGCGGGAATCGAAAAATCATGGGATGAGAAGCTAAATTGATTTAGATGTTGAGACGAAAAATGAGCACAAATTCACTTGTGGTAAAATTGCTTTGGAAATATGTACAAACCTTAATTTAAGAACCTTCACATATTTCTTAATAAATTCTATTTAAATGTTGTTCGGTTTTTTTTAAAACGAGCACAAACAATTCACATCAACGTGTAATTCAAGCTTTAAAAGAGAGGAAGCCAAACACTACTATCTATGACATGCTAGTGGAAACATGAGCTTATTTTCCCTTCACTTGCTCTCTCCCGAAGTAGCAATTGCGCTTGCATTTTGCTTTCATTTCAAAAGCCAGTTTTCGCTATTAACAGCCGGGTTATTGCGGGCAAATTCCATGCCAAAGTTTCAATTACAGTGGAACTGCTTGGGTAGCATTTTCATATTTGAAATAAGCAGCTATACGTTACTTTCCTTCGTTAGAAGAAATGATCGCGAGAAGAAAGTGAAAATACGTATAAGCGCATGCTCAAAAAACAGCGCAAGAAAAGTCTGCTTCCTCTTTCCTTTATAAGTGTTTTTCTACGTTAATGTACTTGCAACTCATTGCAATTCAATATGAAAGAAGATTCGCATTAATGCTTTGTGAGGAATATCGATCTTTAGGAAGTAAAACCTTTCACAAAACGAACGCTCACCCGACGTTCAATGGAAACCAATTTGACATCCTCAACAAATACCGTATTTCCTCAAATACACTCGTAGTATACATTACACTTCTCTCTCTACTACCCACTGGGTCAATTTACATACAAATGACAACGAACGTCTCGACCCGTTCAAAGCGGCATTTTATTAACATAATTGAAGGAAAATAACACAATATAAACCGATAAACAGTAATATAGATAAATGTCTTGCGAAATATATATTTGAAGGATTCATTCAAAGCACGCCGCATCAAATTTCTTAAAAAATCAACCAACGTCCCAAGCGTGTATTATAAAGGAAATACAGTAACAGTAGAACCCAGTTTTTTGAAGACATTCACATGCCGTAAGTGCTTCACAAATACCGTTTGCTATCTCACTAATGTCAAACTTGACCTGCACAGTAAAAGATGGTGATTGTGAAAATTGTATTTACCTTTTTATTTCTTTCTGTTGCTTGCACCAAGCCTTCATTCCAGCATTTTTTTTCAATAAGGTAAGACGCTCCCTTGTTGAACTAAAACAATGCATGCATAAGAGCGGGAAATTTTAACAAAAGTATACAATAACACTGTCTTCATTAATTAAACACCTCTGCAAAGAATATTTTGCCCACCCTACAGCAAAGAGTAATCACTCAATTAATTTGGTCGAAAGATACAAAAGAGTAAGTGTAAGAGGGGCAGTTACTCTCGCCTCAATAATCTAAAAGATGAAATGTCTTATTAACTATTATTGAGTAAGACAAATTGCCCCCCCCTCCCATAATCTCGCCTAGTGTCCGCCACAGTTTAATAGCCGTAATGACGTTCGTACTCTAATCCATTGAACATTACCTTACGTATCTTCAAATCTGACTTTCCATCTTATGGGAATAACAAAAAAAAAGCAGTATAAAATCACTCACGTATATGATGTTGACAAAATCATTTTCTTGCAAAGTATCGAGGAGTTTCATGACGGCAGACTTGATTATCAACAAACGGTTTCCGGTAACGCTGCCACTCCTAAAAATATTAACACATCGCACATTTTACCGCGACATCGAGAAAAAGCAAGGTCGCACTACAGCAAAAGGCCTGAACATTTGCTTCGCACTCACATATCAAGGAGGATGACCATGTCCTTTGGCGGAGATGATCCTTCGATGTACCTGTGATAAATTGCGAGCCGCTTCTAAGTATCTGATAAGGGCAAGAACCCAGTTTTATCGGGAAGAATGAGAGAATTGGATTTCTCGTAAATTTATAAGTGAAACATTATTACTTAGGTACAAAATACTCGACAAATCTTACAAAATAGCAATTTTACAAGTAATTATAAACGAAACTATACCACGCTCTTTTGTCGGGCAAATTAAATCTTAAAGATCCAACGTACGCCCTTTGTCTGATATCGTTTTCAGAAATCACAAAGTCCAAAATTAGACGCACATAATGTTTACTCAGCTTACCAGGATCTTTGACGAACATCGTAATACAGCAAGCTAGTTTTTGCATTTTCGCCTCCTGGCCATTTGATCCCTAGAATTAGGGTTCAAATCTTAGAGTATATCATTATTTTATGCCTCAGAGCCCCAACTGCAAAGTTTGCTCACTTTAATGTCCATGGAAACAAGACTCAGTAAATTGTGCCATATGGGGTGAAGAAATTTACAAAACAAAAGACATAAAGATCACAAAGATGAATTCCATCATGTGGAGGATGATAACGTCGGAAGGACAAGTAAAAACTACGTATAACTTACAGATTCGGAAAATCAAAATGTTTCTCGACTCTGTCTCTATCTATCTCTTTCTTTCTCCAGCTAATCAATACGGCTAACATTCAAAAGACAAACCTGGAAAAATGCGCAAGACACCGTCTGATAGGCCAATGAATTGCCACGATCTTATGTCGCTCGAATTTAAATACGAACGAAATTTCTCGTCCAATTTCCCCGTCCATTTGATAGAATTCAAAATGGGGTTAGCTATCAAAACAAAATGCATGTTTCATATGGATTTCGAGGAAAATAACATAACGTAATCCAAATCATTCCAAAACTTAGCACTTTCTAAAACAGTAAAACAACATTTGGTACACAGAACACACGCTGTCGAAGCAAGCAAACTAAAATGTGACTATTTACAACTATGAAAGTGAATACAGCAATAGCTGTGTCATAGCAAAAATGTTAGCAACGAAAACACAGTTTCCGCGCAGAAGACTTTATTTCTAGAAGAGGAATACATTTATCCCACGAAAAAACCAAAAGTAAATGCCTTACTGTATTGGTAGACATCTAAGGGCGTTTGAACTGTGCTATTATTCGTTAGGACACGGACAGTCTTGAAACCTTCCACAGTTGTTAGGTTGGAATCATCAATGTCTTTGGCGTTAGGGTAATCAAACTACAAATATGCCACTGGAAGTTAAGTCGGTGTTCACTAACTTCATTCAAGTTTTGTTTGTACTTTGTAGGCCTGTTGTCGAACAAGGATGTTTCTATGGCCCAATTTATAAAGTTCAACTATTTGTATAAGGTGATATGCTCGTGAAATTACCTCACTTCACACTGACTTTGATAAGAAAGAAATGCACAACTTTAGATTCATTATCATAAATAGACGCCAGTGATAACTTGATATGTCCAGATTTTAACATTTTTACAGGGGGGTGCTAAAAATTTTAGGGGAGTGAGCTGGAATGAGGTGACGTAAGACAAACTAAGGGTGCAAAATTTAAGGCGGTCAGGTAGTGCAGCTATCGACGGTGTATAAAGTTGAAAGTTTGCCATGAAAAACTTAGTTCAACGTTACTACTGATTTGTTTTACTACAAAATTGAGGACTAAAATTTTTCTTAGAGGGATGAACAATTTATCACGGGGGTGAAATCTGATGAACCCTGCACCCTCCCCTCAATAAATCTGTCTATGCTTGGTATAGTGGAAGTGTTAGGTGTAAAATGTGATGAAAATCTCGGACAGTGATAACAATTCATTACAATTAACTACTAACTTTTTTATTTTTGAGATCGTTGTCTTCTTTATGATTGGCGTAGACGTCCTCCGCAAATTTGGCAATTTCCTAAATCAAAGAAGATATGCAAATGAACCAAAGTAAACTCCGCAAAAAATTGGGGCAATTTGAAGTTTTAGTCAGGCAATTGTGTAGCCTGTTGCCATCCTCCCCAATTTTTGCAAGCCCTATGAAATATATTTTAAAAATATAGTTTGTAAAATTCGCTTGATGGAACACAAAACAATAACTGGAAATTAAAAAAAGACGTAATATAATCAGTTATTTTCATTGGCTGTAATCGAATGTCCCATGTCCCGTTTATTATTTATAGATAGAATATAAAAAACTTTAACAGATTTCATACATTTACATGCCAAAACGCAGTCATAGCAGAGGTGTAAGAACATTTGATAAACTAATTCAAAATTAATTTAGCGTCTGAAGATTAAAATTACGTAGTTAGTCACACCTCTCTCCCTGTCCCCCGTCTCCAACAACGAAATAGCGTGAGACCGAAAAACACGCGCTATTTGCAGTATTTAAAAAGCCCACGAGTTACATTTAGTTAATAATAATATACTTTGAGTCTTTCAGATTTTTCTTGACTGTACCGTCCAACTTTGTCTGCTTATAGCGTCTCTATACCCTCTATAGCTTCAGAAAGCCTCGTTATGAGGTCAAACTGCCAGAACATTCACTGAAAAAAACAGTACTTGCTATTTTGTTATTATTCTTTCTTAGCATTCTTTTGTAATTCCTGAATGTCAAACGACTCCAATGTGGAAATGAATTTGGATTCCAATGTGAAAAGAAGTTTGTTTGGCTTTCACTGCTATTCAGCAAATCAAGAAGCAGGAAACAGTCTTTAATGTAAGTACACTTTTCAACAGTGCTATTACAGCTTTTCAGAAGCGCAATTACACAGCACAGCAATCAACCAATCACAATTGAGAAATATGTCAATTTATAGTTAAATATATTATCAAACTATAAAATGATTAGTTTGTTGTGAAATACCAATTACCAAGACACATAGACTGCATCCATGTTAGTTGCATCTACTCTCATCAGTCATTCATGCATTTGGCAACAATTGGGTAAGTACTGTATGACAATTCATGAAGATGAAGATATGTCCTAGCCTTCGTGTGATGTCCAGTTATCAGTAATAAAAATGATGTCACAAAAATAAAATGATGAAATTGAACACTGACTCATGCAAAATATTTACAAACACATCGAGTACTTAATTATATTGATTGATAAAAATATATCTACTTTTGTGAGCTAATCACAGGTTTCCTTATGAAAAACAAAAACAGGTTTACCTCAATTCTCGTGATTCACGTTAGTTATATATATATGGAATTGTTAATAAAATAAAAAAATTACTTTTTTGGGGGGAGGTGGGTGTCCACACCATATATGATCCAATAAATGCCTCCGTCAAATAAAAACCTTCTACCTAATTCAACACTCCCCTTTGGAATGTGAGTTTATGTTAGAGGCCTCTATTGAATTAATGCCTTTCTTGAATTAACACCTTGCTTCTCACCCCCCATCTCAAAATAGTCAATTGTCAAATGTGCTCAGAAACTACATATTTAGTCTCAGAATCCAAATAGTTTAGTTTCCCTAAACCCAAAAATTCAACCGGATGGCTTATTTTCAAATCAACCAGTAATGTTTTGCGGGACGAAGGTGTTCCCCTTATGAAAAATAACATGGAGGGGAACATATTATATCATGGCTATCAAATATCAATTATATAGAGCCCATAGTTCTCTAGAAGATATTTGTTCCAATTTGCTTGATGTACGACTACTACATGGTACTGTGCTTTGATTAAAATTTTCTAGTTAACGTTATTCCGATTAAAAGTAACTTAAGAATGCCACAATGTGCACATTAGCTTTTAAGGACCAGTGACCACACCCTTAAGCAATAGGCTATGCCCATTACACTTAACAACGCGTCCCCCACTTCCAAAATTTGCAAAACATCCCTGGAATCAACTTGTAACTATCGAAAAACTCTTACTTTTGCAATGGACAATCGTTTATTGAAACGTTCGATCAATTGCTTAATGTCCGTTGTTATGACTGACGTGTTTCGCTTCTCCTGTTCGACGTTTGTCTAAAAACACGTATTATAAAATAAATTAAAATTGTATTATTTCTAGTACTTTTTCATACTTGACAGAGTTCGCGCCTCGGAGTTAAATTCTAGTATCGCGCAGCCGGCAAAATCATTACAACAGAATGATGACATTGAAGAAAGATACATCTGTTCGCTAGTTAGTAGTGTTGTTTGCAAAAATCTACGACAAAATCCATGATTGGTGAAAAACAAGCGAGCCAACTTCGCGTATTACGCGCTTAAAGGAAGAGCATTGTAGCGAGACAATGAAACTGGCTTTGGGAATTCTAATTTCTATAAAGGCCACCTAATTATACATTAATGCTGACAAAGTTTCGATCGATTTTGCAATAAAAAGAAAAGTCCTTTACTTTAGTCAATGCTTTAGTCAAATCCGTATAACGGGTCGAGTCGTCGAAATCTTTGTTAAGGTCTTGTCCAATTTCCTTTGCAATATTACCGGTTCTAGAAAGTTCAGACAAAATTAATAAAAAGCTTGCATAATACAATAAAGAGCTTTCGTTATGCCGAAGCACATCAACAACAATTAAACGGTACTCACTCGAGATGCGGACGGACCCCTATAAGGTCTGTCAAGAGTGTAGAAAATAATATCAACACGAAGCGGCACAAGTTCATTGTTTTTACAAGTTCTAAACAGCAACTCCACGAATTTTGAGGTGCAATTTGTTCACGAAATTAAACATTGAGTTTGAAGATACGACAATAGCTGTCGTTGCCTGTTGATAGTCAAATAAGCGTTATGACAGATGTGCGCATGCGAACAGAACGCACACGAAACGGATGTGGGATGTGGAGAGATGTAGAAGACATTTTTATCAATTTCTTACCATATAACGGTGAAAATCCATGAAACGCAAAGCTAAATTTCTTGCCGGAAATTTGTACAAATGTTTCGTTATTTTCAACTTCCATTATATTTTTGTCCCGTAAGTCCGTTGCCTTCCGCCGATTAATCTATCCCAAAAAACGTTTAAAGAAAAGTAGAATTTATAATTTGGCAGGTGGCTCACAAGTCCATCGTCAAGTCAATTGCTCCCACACGCATGCGAAATATCCTTCTAATCACAAATTCTCGATGAATAAAAGATTAATTCTTTCAAACAATTTCTTATCAGAGAAACAAAATGTTTGATGTTGCCTTGTTCCTTGATTGTCAGCTTCATAAAAAGATAGTCAGTTTCGAAATTCATTCATTAAAACATAAGTTTATCGACGTACTTTTGAATTGATGGTGAAGGCGTGAAGCCAACTCTTGGGTATATTATAGCGCGGGCCCCCGCGCTTTACTCAGTTCCAATTTTTTCGGCCCATTTGTGGACGGAAAAAAGCCCCAGTGTCGAAGAATCTGCTCCTCAGCTGGTTCACAACAGTTTTTTTATCTTTATTTTACCGTGCATGTACAGACTTCTTCTGGAGAACAATCAGGAAACTGTATTTCCGAACACTAATAGCACTGCGGATCTATCTTAGTCTCATTTAAGCTAATCTAGAATCAACTCCGATCATGAATGACGCAGAAGCGAGTAAACAGCCTGTTCTACTTAGCATTGTAAATTATCTGCTTCGCAACATTGACATGTCGTCCATAATGAAAGAGTTTGCTGTAAAGAAATCCCGCAAACACAACGTTTACTAAGCAAAATTTTAGTGAAAGATATGTCACATTACTTACACGTACATTTTACATACATGTCGAGCGAGCATGCATCGTCACATCAGAGCATGTATACTGAATCTTATGAACGTTTAGTTTGTTGATTAGGTTTAATTTTTACTTTATAACCAAGTTCTCTGTAAATGTCAATTAATGTTATTGGTATAAGCAAAGTTGGAGGACAGTTCAAAATTTTAAATTCATGAACATACGTTCTTGTTTCAACATACGGATATTTTTGCACATCATGGTATATTATTTATTAACCTTTCTGATTTCACGACAGTCTGAGTTTCAGCCTGCCTGGGGAGAAGGGCCCCGCGCTTAAAAAATGCCACAGGCCCAGCAAAAGATTAATCCGGCCCTGCTGCAGCTTCTCATCGTCGATGCTCCATGACCACAAAACAAGTTTCTTGCATCAGGTCTGTGTGACAAACTTTCTGAATAGGAGGTCATAGGTTTCAGATAATTTATCGAAGGATATTTATTTTCGTTTGCCGAAATTGTGTAAGAAAAGATGAATTGCCATCGCTGATAAAGCTTTCACATACAAATTTCTTGATGTAGAAGTTGAATCGGATTACACATGTGTTCGATTTGTTACAAAACCGAGACAAAACCGTTGACAACAACGAGATGCTTAGTAAAGATGGCCCGACTATTCACTCTAGCAGGCAAATTATTTTTTGCTCATTCAATGGCTAGAAACAATTGTAAAACATTTCTATTGTTTGAACAGGATCCATGTAACTTACTAATTAGCTACAGATATTTGTTTTTATCTCCCCTTCGGTTATGGGCTTTTAGACATCAACAAAACACTTTTATTGAGACAAAATTTCACGGTAATTAATGGTCCAACCCAGCGCTGTATAGAACTAAATTTATCAGATGGGTGGCCGCTTGACGTTTTTGTCAATAGTGCCCTTTTAAAATTACCCATTTCAAAGGTAGAAGGGGCTCCTCCCCCAAGCGCCCCCACTTCTACAGCACCGGTCCAACCTTATTATTACAGGTATTAATATATGTATAAGTTTTAATTGCTATTATCGTAGAAGTTTTAAGACTATTTTAAGCCATGTTAAATACTGAATTTCTAAAGAGATTAATGACAATTTTGCTGCAATATTTTGACATAGCCGTACTCCCAGACTGTCCAAAGGTCGGTTACTCAGATTTTATTTTCCCAAGATCCCCTATCACATCCATCATTATATCTGGTGCAGTGGTGAAACAAGATTGATTATTTGGTCCTGCTCTGTAAATTTTAATTTGTTCGTTGACCGTGAAAACAATAGATTTCTAAATAAATAAAAAATAATTGTTTGAATTTTACGAAGCAGGAATAAAATTTGCTGACAGGTTTTGTCACTGATCTCGTATTCTGGCATACACAGAGGAGGCAGCAAGGCAGGGGGGTGGGACATCCGAGAAAGGTCATCTTATCATTCTGCATCAGATCCAGGTTTAAGCAAAATAAATTACAGCCACTACTTTTGATCTCAAAATATCTTTACCACATTTTTAGTTTTCAAATAATCAGTCACCGAGGGGTAAATATTCGTACACTTTATGGAAAAATAAAAGAAAAATCACACAATCTTCAAAAATCTTCAGTATCAAAGTCTTAAATGATCTCTATAAGTCTTGAAAAATCTAACTTTTTTCGAGAAATTCCTTAAAGTACAGGGAAATATCCAAAAGTCCTAAAAATTCTTTAAAAAATGGAAGAGAAAACTTACTGCAAAATCTCTAAATATCTACTCGAAATTCTTATAATCACCTTTTCATCACCAAATTATGGCGAAATATTATATTGAAATGAAATATTTGTTTTCTTGCTTGCAAACATCAATTTCTTTGTCTTTCAAAAAGTAGATAGCTTATAATTTGTAAAAATACGCATGAAAGGTTAGGCAGGATTGAAAACACATCGGAATACAATGTGCTTCTAAAAAACTCTTCTAAAAAAGTGCTTCTAAAAAACTCTTCCGGTTAATAAAAAAATCTCAGGAAATTTTGCAAATCCAAAAATCCCATGAAAAATTACCAGAATTTTCAAATCTAGATAATCTTCGAGAGAATTCACCCTTCGCCAGTCAGCAGACTCACCACCAATCAATGGGTTTATGTAATTAGTTTTACTTTGAACGCTGCACTAACCACGACTTGTATTAAAGAACTGAACATTATGCAATCATTTCTCGTATCATCTAAGATAATATTGTATTCGTGTAAAAAGCTTTCAAGGCAACTGACGTGGTTGTCACGACTTAATTGAGAAACGCTGGACACACGATGGTTTTACGGGCTGTGGGAGAGGCTGGTTTGAATTGGATTTCGGTGCCTACTTTGTGGGAGTCACCGAGCCATTTCAAAATTTATTTTCTATGACATCTTTAGTTATGGTTGGGAGATATGTTTTGGAAGTGTGCTCCATTTAACACAAGTCATAATTGCTATGGTTGACCTCTCCTTAGCACATTAATATTTAGTAAGGAATTGGCCATCTCCCATTTTACCAAGGCTGAGGGGCGTCCAGTCAACCACACCTCCCATAGTAAATCTATCCACGATTGAACAACTTTGTACCTTTTACCATATATTTCGCTGATCAAGCAAACAGTTTAAGGAAGTCCGATGATTAAGAAAAATCACGTGTCCAAGCAGAAACAACTCGATACAATTATCTATATTAACTCAACATTCACTTTGACAAATAAATTTACATTTCAGAACACTTAACCCAATATGTTATTATGTTATGTATACACAATTCATTTTCCCTAGTGAAGGACGTTTGTGAACCGAGCCTGGGAATGACAAAATTGGCTCGGTCACTAATTTATTAATTATATGACTGTCGACAAATCGCCAAACACCGAAATTTTCAAAAGAAAACATAAAGGAATGCTTTGCAGTACTATTGGATAAAAACCAGGGGAACCGATAAAGAACTATGGCCAAAAAAATATCGAAATAATGTTTTGAGTAAATGTAACGATGCTAGATTGCGAACAAACTAAATCGCTTCATTTTTGCAGATGGCTAGAATAGCTACACAGCAGTCATATAATCAATATCTGTATAGTTTTATGTACAATGTGATCAACTATTACTTTAATGCTCTTACACGGGATGTGAAAAACGATTTGAAAACTTAACGATACAAACACATTCGCTGCTTTAATAATAGGAGTTTTGGTTTGGCGTTCACGGCAAACCTCGACAAAGGCATATTCATGTTGTATACTCTAATAAAAAGAAAACATTTAGCCATAAACGTCACTTGGTTGTATTAAAAGTACGTTAAGGCTTGCTGAACATCACCTACCGCAAGAAGTGCCTCGTTTAACCCTGAACCGCGAACTTCAACATGAGCCGCAAAGCCAAGATCACGTGACTTTTGGCGGTTTGCCGTCAACGCCAAACTTAAAATCTCTAATGTTAAATTTCAAACGTGGGACGCTTCAAAGGCCTCGACAACATTAATTTCTATTACTAACATCAATACGCGCATTAAAACCTTTGCCAAACTATTAACGCCCCTTTGAGCAACAAATAACGCTCACACCCATAATTTAACCCCACACGAACCATTACGCTCTTCGATATCAAAAAACGGGAAGTCCTGGCATATTTTCGTAGATCTTTCTCTTCTTTTTAACAATAAAATTGTCGTCTTCATCGTCAGCAAGTCTATAAACACGAAACAAGACAAAAAATTGAGATCGATAGCTATCAACAACGGAGAATTTCACCCCGAATTAAAATGCCCGCGTAAACAAAGGAAAAAAGCACATTCTAACAGATGAAGGCAAGTAATTCGAAATATAGAACATTCCAAAAATGGCCTGGAAAATACTCCTAGAATGCTTGGAAAACATTTTCTGAATGTATAAATGAAAACAATCAGCGATTTAGTGGGTCGCAGTAACTCTTGGTGATTGTTGATTGACAACTGGAAATCCAACGGACAAGTACGGAAAAGTAAAAACGCAATTTAATGCGCATGCACTAAATTAAGTTCGTAAAATTACAAAGTATATTCAGTCCCTTCAAAAAAGTACTTCAGCCAGCACATAAATCTGATGTAGCCAGTGTCTATTTTTCCTGGACTTTATTTACGTAATACCATCATCTTTTAACCGGATCAACTAAACGCAAAGAACAGAAGACTCGCTCCTCACATGCAGAGTTTTTTCGTTTATTTTCAGCAAGGCTAAATATATCGAGTGCCCTTGTTCCCGGAGAACATGCATAACAACACGGTGCTTCCACTTACGTCACGGAGGTTGACATTCCTTCTTGTAACTCGCCCACCATTTCTCGTAATCTTTTTGCGCACACGAGTTTTGCTTCCTCGTGATCAATGATTCTCTTTGGGTAGTCCTTGCCGATGACGCAGCCTGCTTTTTCCTGTACTTCGATTGGTGCATTCCAAGGCTCGTAAATGTACTCGTCGGGATAGTTGCGCAACTGAGGTATATATTTCCTAGATAAAATGAGATACGAGAATTGCATGGGAACTAAAGTGACGTGATATATGGTAGTCAACTGAAATGCAGCCTAATAAAGCACTAATCAAAGGACAGAAACTTTTTTATGTTTTGATAAGTTTTTCCAGTCGATGTCCCAGCACTCGGCTTGCTTGTTTTCACTGAACTGACTAGTTTTCGGGACAAACTGTCAACAAAAGTTAATCAACTATGCCCTGTCCTCGTTTTAGCTTTATATTGTATGCCTGTATATTTTATGACTGAACATAGTATACAGGTGTATATTATATACCTGTACATAGTAAATCTTTGTATTCTATACCTATGCATAGGGAGTAAGTACGTAAGGGTGAATGCTAGATTCCATTCCTCTTGACAAATGCCATCACTCCTTATCCTAGTGTTTCCACTTGTTTACACAGTATGTAATATGAGATACCTTATAAAAACTCCTTGTGGATCGTGTTGCTTTCCCGTGTTCACTGGACAATAGTACTTGTTGCTTTTTACAAAGAAAGAGCTGCACGAAATCATCAGCCAATTGGCAGCACATAAGCTCCATTCGAAGTCAATTTGCATCTCTTGACAAGCCTGAAAGTGAGAATCGTTGCTAAATATACTTGCAAAAGCCAACACCTCTGAGTAGAAAAGATGCTCATGCAATAAAGACCATTTTTATCATTGGAAGATGCAATCATCATCATATGCACGGCATTAAAAATTTCACGGGAATTGCAGCAGAGTTCGCTTCTAGTTTTTGCAATGCAGAGAATGCACAGAAAAAAGTTGCTTCGTCTGCAACTAGTCTCTCAACACAAACCAAATTTACTAATTTGCAAGTAAAGCAAAGCCAGAAAACACCAAGTATAAATCGTATTACATACAAGCCAAACCACACAATTATCTATGCAAACTGTGCTTCCCGTAGAAAGCATACAGTTAAGTAATTCACCTTAAATCCTTCTTCCCAAGACACCCATAGACACCCTCTTGTCAGGAAACACGCTGCAGCCTGTCGGCCAAGGTGATTCGCCCATCCTTCTTTGCGAAGTTGGATTTGAACAGCGTCAATCCACGGAAATCCCGTAGAGCCCTAGAAGCGAATAACAAATGACATCATTTTCAAAAGATAATCGTCAAATTGTGAAAGCAATGAAGATAATTAAGAGCGCTTTCAAACAGTTTCTTTTTTGATTAATTATTGCATATGCTTCGAAATTCGCGATTTTCGTGAAAAAAAAAAGGCAAAGTGCGTAAAGATAAAGTTTTCATCCAACGACGTTTTGATTTCAAAGTGTTCAATACTTAAATGGAGCGAAGCACTGAAACTGCAGCTTGAAAAAAAATCTTTAAGGAAATGGAACGAAAACACATTGGACTAAAATAGCATGAGATCCCAGCATCAGTAAAACAGTAAATATACTGGCCGCATGAGGTTAATTTGTCAGTGGTGATTTTTTGGCGGTACGTATTCTTAGGAGGGTCACGTGGCAAAGTTTAACGAAGACAAAAAATACATCGACTGTCACGGAGAGCAATTCTCGAAGGCGCACAGCCGATAGCGTTGGGTACTTTTGTTTTTTTTTTGAAAGCTATATTGCACTATTTCACAGCGCGTAGCAAAGATAATCGAGCGCCTACCTCGCGCCATCTGTCAATGAAGTCTCTGTTGGACTCCCAGGGTATTTGCAAACACACGGGATTGTTTTTCATCGAATCAAAGAAGAAATTTCGATGACCAAGAGTGAAAAGGAAGTCGCGGAACATCAGCTTCATAAGAATATTCAATATTTGTTGGCTATTATTGGCCTAAATGCAAAAAAAATCACACAATTACTCTCAATTTTCTTCTGATGGGGACTGGACATGGGAAGGACATAATGGGCGTTGATTTAACGAAGAAAAGATTGAAATGCGAGCTCACAATGTCAGTCAATGCAAATCCACGGTTTAAATGGTCATAATACCATTTAAGTACGTTAAGTGACATTAATCCAAATTATCTGAATAATTGGCATGAAAATTCCTACCTTCTTGAGTAGCTTATTTAGCGTGTGATAAATCAAACGCGTCGAAATGCAACCAAAACGCATGTACGGCGACAGCGCGGTGGATTTAGGAAATGATATATCGCCAAAGTTCTCCACTTCGACGTGTCCACTCTCAATCTAAAACATAATGCATATGAACCATTATGTCAAAACCATACGTGCGCATGCGTTAAACTACGATCAATCAACGAAGAATTAAATGATAAGCACATGCCAATTCACATGCCAAGCATAATGCACATGCCAAGCATGATGCAGTAGCAATCATTTTTATCGATAAACTTTAATTAGGGCAAACAGATAACGCAATGAGTTATACATTGCTCAGAAATTGGAACGACCGCCAACATTTCTGTTTAAAAACGTGTCTCGATTATAGGCATATTTCAGGCTGTTTTTTTATCCGGGAATGATCTTGAGGAATTTATGCTGCGAACTGGATGATGCTGTTTCGTGAACTAGATATATTTTAAGTACAAATTTAGCGTAAATGTTCTGCTAAATTTACTGTTATTTTATCACTTTTACAATCACAAACAAGCAGATAAAAAGGACATACTATTTTCGCAACAAGAAAGAGTCATCACTAGTCATTCGAATCATACCTACCTTTTCAACAAGCAAGTCTAATCTTTTCAACGCTTCGTTTTCGCCACCTTTCCATATATTGGGACCATCAATGAAATCCTCATCGGACATGCCGAACTCGTCTACACTGGGCATTTCAAAGCCTGGGACCACGGGACTCAGACAACCGTGAAACGAGACAGAGTCTAATGGTGGTACCGGCATATCCGGTTGACCAATTTTCTTTACAGTAGTGATGAAACGTTTGAACGTGAACGGCTGTAAACTATTGTTGTACTTTATCACTCTAGGTACAAAAATGAGAAAAATGATTATGAAAAAGATCTTTTTCCATCACATAGCAATTTTTGAACAGAAATAAATGTCGATGCCAAAACGTCTCCCCGTTTCTCGCAAAAGCTAAAGTTGACTTACTCAGGTATAGAATAGAGCGTATGTGATACTTTAGTAACGACTTGAATGTCACACTTTTTTGCTAATGCAACGACGGAGTCCTCGAGTTTCTTGCCATAAGGTTCCGTGTCGGCTTCCATCGTTAGCTTCGTCACACGCCACTTAACGAAAAGGTTCTTGAACGCGGCCATTGGTGAGTCACGGATCACGTACAAGTAAGAGCCGCATTCGCGCAATTTGGCATCGAGATCGCGCAGGCATTGGAGCAGGAACTTGCCGTGATTCACAGATGATTTACCATCCTGGAAAACAAGCGGATCGAAGATGTACACGCCATAGAAATTTCCACCGTTTCGCCAAGCTTCAACAAGGGCTGGATTGTCATGTAGTCGCAAATCTTTGCGGAACCAATGCACAACATTTTGCCCCGTACTCGATACTAAAAGAAAGCAAGAATGAGTAGAATGGTGTAGTCGACCAATCAAAATACAGACGAGTCCTTTTTCTTACAAAGCTAACATGTAAACTTTTGAGGGATTATTGTTCTTTTGCACAACTGTGTTTTTCAATGCATTTACAATGAGTGTGCCAAAGTGGGGTGTTTATACTCACTTGGGTGAATTAATTCTTTGTGGAATTCTCGCAATTTCTCCAAGCAATCGAGTCTCGCTTTAGTATGATCTATCATCCGTTTTGGATAGTCCTTGCCAATGATACAATTCGCTCTTTCTTGTACTTCTTGTGGTGCAAGCCATGGTTGGTAGATGTACTCGTCGGGTAGATCTTGCAGAACTGGCAAGTATTTCCTAAATGTGAACGTTGTAAAAAATATTTGATAAAATGGTGGTGTGCTGACCAAAAAATATCCTTTCCAGTTTCTTCCCTTACAGCCCACATGGCATTTTTGAAGAGGCACCATGCAGGGTTCTACAGGTTATAACTATGAAATTCTTGACATGTTACGTGATCAAGAAGATTGAAAATACGTCGCAATTTTGGCTGCATGTCCTGTAGCTAGTAAACAAGTGTATGTATCCAACTTTCCACCTGAATAAGTAGTCAAGCCAACAAAATAAAGCATCACTTCTTACCTGATATATATTCCATGTTCGTCCAAGCGTTTGGCCTCTTCCACTGGACAGTACGCATTGAAATCATGGTTGAAGAAAGAGCTGGCGGACGCGCATAACCAACTGCCAACGTTTAAGCTTCTTTCAGCGTCCAGGCAGTAGTCTTCAAATAACTGCACAAAGAATAGAGCAACAGTGAGATTGTGCATAGTATCGGAACAAGAACAATGTTACATGCAATAGTAGAAAGTAACGGTACAAGGCAAGGCACGTGTGGAAAGCGAAACTTCAAGATACCAGCACTACCTGATCATTATACATAAGACATGTAAACAATCAATAACGTGCACTACAGAATAGGGTGATCTTTTTTACCAAATAAAGCAAGTCCATGTGAAGCGCAAAACTTAAGCGTGCCGACAAAATTATACAACGACATATAAACCAACCTTGACTCCTTCTTCCCAGCTGATCCACAAACATCCTCTGGTTAGGAAGAACGCCAATGATTGCCTCGACTCGTAACTTATCCATCCTTCCTGTTTAAGCTGCGCAATGGTTGCATCGATCCAAGGAAATCCTGTTTTGCCCTACATTGTAAGAAAATATTCTTGTTTAGCTGCAATTAATATCATGAATCAAAGCCGACATTACCTCATTTACACCGTTATAAATACTATGCATAATCCCTCAAATACTTTGTACAACACAGTTATTAAAAAATACGTGAATAGAGCGCGTACCTTTCGGAACTTCTTCAAGTACTCTTTGTTTTCCTCCCATGGAATTCCCAGACATATCGGATTTCTTTCAATCTTGTCCCAGTTGCTGATGCGACTCGCAAGCATGAAGAAGAAATCCCGAGTCTCCAAACCTTTCAGAAACCGCGCGATTGTGACGTTCTAAATGAATAATTGACAATGAATTAAAGATCTGATGCAAAAAAAACTAGCCAAGAGTTTTTCACAATCCTCCACATCTGCACGCTACTAATAGCAACTATAAAATTCAAAAAGATAAATTCGTTTTCTTACCTCGTGAACATATGAATGAAGAGAGTGATAAACATATCTCACAGAGAGACAGCCATATCGAAAGTACGGACTCAATCCGCTTGATTTCTTTGATGACACATTGGATGATACAACCTGAAACATCCAAAACGGTACATGTTGTTGATCGCACAAAAATGAAATATCTAAACTTATTTAAAGATCCGTTTTTTCTAAGTGAAAAAATGACAAATACCACGCAGTGAAGCACTAACCATTTCAACGTAGTTGTTGTAATGTTGAAGAGCTTCGGTTTCGCCCCCTCGAAAGGACGATTTCGATGCAAATGATTGATCCACGAAGCCGAGTTCTTCCAGTCGTGGCACATGGAAGTTCGCATCAAGCCACTCAGAGTTTGGCGTCCGACAGGTTGAAAAATGACGTTCATTAACACACTCGACCGGACAAGGAAGCTCATCGAGAGAGTGGAACACTTGTTGAAATTCCTTAAGGCCGAGCGGAACATTTCCATTGTTACTTTCGATGTAGCTAAAAAATAAACAAAAAAGATGATGTCATCACTCTGGATATCAGAAATTCCACAAGAAGTTAATTTGGATGGAAACATTATCGAGGCATGCCGAAATGGTTACAGAACATTTCCGGTTTTTCATTGAACTCCAGGTTTTCACAATCGCCAATTAGATGGACCTTGATAAATGGTCGGCATAACACGACGTCATAAAGCAATCCTTACATAAAGGTGATCTTTTAGAAAATTTTGAATTTAGAATTTTTAACTAATCTTATTGCTAAAATTACGCATTAGTGCTCTATGGGGTCTAAAGCTCGATGGAGACTTGTTTGTAAATGTTTCTTTAATCAAATATCACCGCAAATTTCGTCCAAATAATGCTAATGACGTTTTACAGACACTATCACAGTCAGGAACGAATTACGACGTCACCGCTGTAACAATTACAAAAGCTGCTCGAATCGAAGGCTCATCATCCAAAACATGACTTGACAATGTCAGAAACATGACTGCGACAATGTCAGACAAACCTGAGACGGACTACTCGCGTAAAATAATAAATCACGTGACGTCATAAAAAAGGTAAAGTCACAAGATCACGTGACGCATATGGAACGAAGAAAACCGACACGATTTTAAGTAAACCGCGAAACCATTCCGGTTCTCGCGTCCCCAGAATCGCGTGAGGCGATGGAACGATCTTGTGTTGGAAAATCTATGATTGGGGGAATGATGTTTGGAAAATTTGCGCCATTATGACACAACGAGCAGGAAAATTACGTTGCTAAAGTTGAACTTTAGTAGTCGTTGGTTTCATTCAGATGTCACGACTCGATAAAATATTACAATGATAAATATTGCAGCTACCAACGTAGAGCGAAAGAAAGACAAAAGCACGTGTGAAACTAGAACAAAATCACTTTATTCTCAAGCAATTCGTTGACAAAACTACGTGCCTACAGACAATGGAGGAAAATAGCAAAGGGCTTAAACCATGCCTGGCCGTCGCTAAGGTGAAACAATTCACCCGCCCATGACACATGAAACTGCGTTTGGTTAAATTTCACGGGGAAAAAGATACGGGGACATTGATTGCGAAATCTTTAACTGTGGAATGTTGATTTATTCTACCACCCACTGCGGGTAAAATTTCGAGTTGAAAAATTTTGGCTTGAATGTTGTCAGGGTAAAAGCTTCTCTATGAAAACCAAAGTGAATAGTTTTTTTTCCTCAAAACACGAGAAATAACATTATTCACGCGGCAATTTTGTCGCTACAACCAGATGGCGCAGGATACACAAGTGACGTCATTTCTAAAATATCCAAATTTGCCCATGAAACTGAAACGCGCCTTTGAGTTAATTGAAAGCATATGAAAGTTCAGTGACAAACGCATGTGCTACCCTGAAGCTCGATGTCTCACCGAGAGAAATGCCAAAAACTAAAATTAGCTGACCAAACTGTCTACGGCTCAGCTCTGAAAGCTGAGTCGTTGAGAATCAAAATCAAGTTTTTGTCTTATTCATTATACAATATGCGGTTAGCAAAACCAGAGCACAAAAATGGAAATACGATAAGGTTGGCCTATTTGGCTTCTCGCATGCTATTCACACCCTTCATGTGCTTCACGGCAGGATGGCTTCATAATTAAAATTCCATAAATTGTACGACATCCATGGGAAGAAATATTCGGCATGAAAGCCTGGAAGCCGTTGAAATGAACAAAAGAGAATTCTTTCGAAACTTCTATCTCTTGCATCGCTTACGGGCAATTCAAATTACTACATAAAACTATGAATTTCAAATTGCGGGCAAAATTGCTACGATTGAGATTAACCATCGATTAAGTTATTTCAATTCGGAGTTATTTCAGTCGATATAAAAATAAGAAGCGATGTAAAAAAAAAACACACACAAAAAAAACATCAAGTTGTTAACATAAAAATTCCCCTCCTTTTTATTGTCATATCAATGACTTATATTGCTAGTGTCAATATCTATTAAATGTTCGGATATCTCTACAATCTTCTGAAGTGAAAAATTTAGCTGTAAAACATATAAATTGATTTACAAACAACGAGGTAATGACTATTTATATATGTTATAAAAATTGGGCGCTACAGAAAGAAATACGTAAGGCAGTAAATTGCATAGTATGACGAACTTCTCTTTGGATTCGATACAAGAAAATATGACGAAATTTCGCGAAAGGTTCGGCATGCGTTAACATATAAATTTCTTGTGAGATTAAGTACTGGAAAATGCGACAAATTTCTTTAACCGGTACGACATATAAATATACCTGCATTCTAAAAGCTCGCTTACTCTAATGAGAGAATGAGGCTTCGCAATCATCCTATAACTATCTCAAGACGGTGATTTAACGCAAACTGATTGCTTGATTTGAAATATTTTGGTAAAAATCTTACCATTGATATAGAAATAATTTCGCAATTGGTTAATGGGAGCCAGATGTTTATGTGGCACTCGGTGATTGCAGAGATGCTTCGAGATTACGGGTATTACTGTTGGAAACCATGAGAACTTTTAAGCGAGATTCAAGATAAGAAAATACGATCAATGTCATGTAAGATTCAGCACAAGAAAACAAACCAAACCTCCAGCGGACAAATTTGATTCAAAATTCATGAAGTACAGCGCAGAAGTTGCTGCGATCAATTTCTAGCAAGATTCAATACGGGATAATATGGGCAATTAAATTCTCGCAAAATTTTCGAAACAAAAAAAAATCAGGGTAGGGTGCTGAAAATACCTCCAAGTGAAAATGAATCACTGATGTTTTGAGCGGAAAACCCGTCAGGAGAATTAAAATTTAGAAAGAAAACAACGAAGACAATGGCTCATTCAAAGCAAGCTAGCAACAATTCGCGCTCGAGCCAATATAAATAAAACACTCGATTACTTTTTTTTGAATGATCAAAACATACAGTTTAACGATCGAAAAGGTTTGGAACATCGAAATTGTGAATAATTTGCATATGCAGGTCACTTTCATCGTGCCAACAAATCCTCGTGAATGCGCACGTGATCGAAAACGAACCGTCGAAGTTGAGCGGATTTTCGGAAATTCAGTCGATCAAGCTAACGCGATGGCTTATAATCCATTCCATTATGAGAAAAAAAAACGTGACGCCACCAGGCAGCACAAAATGTACTGTTAAAACTCATGGAGGGCCGGGAAAAGTCTTCAGAATATCCGTTTTTCACGAACTCGACAGAAACTAAACCGAGAATCCTATTGAAGCGGCTAAAACCCTTGAGAAAGAATAGCCTTAGGGTGGAGTGTTTTTTTAAGTAAATAGGCTAGCGCTCATTTCTTGCAAATATGACTACATGACCATAAAAATGATAGAACGAAATCAAAAGAACTGGAGGACTCTCACAATTTCACGATAGCTGCAATGACATAATTTGCTTGGTACGTAGTTTTGCACGAAACAAAACCATATCTGTGAAAATGTTGCATGTTCAAACACGCTGAAGTGAATAAAAATAGCAAAAATTGCAATTATTGGCATTAATGTAACATGATTAAACAGAAATAGTCGCTTAAGTGCACCGCTGTAAAATCTGATGGACGCTATCAGTCAGTGAGGCAGATGTTCATTAAATAATTCATGATACGGACAGAATTGAAAAATCACATCTCTCTTCACAGGATTGTCTGAACGTAAAATGTGCCATGATTTTATACAGCCATGACTGCGATCTTTTAGCATTGAGCAAAAGCAAGTTTAAAAGGCTGAAATGTCTAAATCCTTTATCAAACAAAATTTTTCCAAGTGAAAATTTAAGCACAAGACAAGTTTTTTTAAACATAAAACCTCATTCGGATTGAATTTCATGGGAAATACTGGCTTTTATTGAAGCCAATTATGGCTACTTTTGAGAACAAGCCTTAAAAAAACTGTAGAATTAAACTGTAAAAATATGTAACGAAAAAATAGTGAAAGGTGTTTGAGAGAAATAATAAATTGAAAACATACAAGCAGCTCAAATAAAAATCTATAACCAAGAGAGTTTTGCTCGCATTCTATAAGTTTTTTTAGTGTATGTACAGTAACATCATCTTGAGCTTACTAAGTGTGTGTATGTACATCATCTCAAGATTACTGAGTGTGTAAATGCACATCATTTCTACCTTACTCAGTGTGTGAATGTAAATCATCTTGAGCTTACTTAGTGTGTGTACGTACATCATCTCAAGATTACTGAGTGTGCAAATGCACATCATTTCTAGCTTACTCAGTGTGTGCATTTAAATCATCTTGAGCTTACTTAGTGTGTGAATACAAATCATCTCTAGCTAACTCAGTGTGTGAATGTACATCATCTCAAGATTACTCAGTGTGTAAATGCACATCATTTCTAGCTTACACATTGTGTGAATGTAAATCATCTCTAGCTAACTCAGTGTGTGAATGTACATCATCTCAAGCTAACTCAGTGTGTAAATGCACATCAGGCAAGCAATAGTCACTGGTATAACAATTTTATCACCATTGAGCTATACAATGGTCAGATCTTAATAAAATTTTTGATCTCTCAATGCCAAAGACATATGAGGAATTAAGTTCCCATCTTATACATTGTTGTGAGTTTAACTAAAAATCCACTACTACGATATCATGCTCTTTACTTAGAAGTATTTTGATGTCCGAGCAAGGAAAAGCACCAGTTATATACACATTATATGATGCATGTTTCTAGGAATAGCAGATGGCAAATGCTTTTGGCTCAATGACAATCAGTGGCAGATCCAGAGTACGTCAAAATAAATTACTGCAGCACATTTTGGTGTATACTTACATCTCTAAATACCTTAGAGGCTAATCTATTGGTAAAATTGTATTCTTTAAAAATTAAAAACCAATAGTGTTTTTCTGAAAGTAATTTGAATTTAAAGTTGAGGAGCTATAATTTATTTTGACGTACACTGGATCCGCCACTGATGAAAATGGTTAATATTTGTGGTGATGAACATCACACATTCTCAAGGATTTTGAGGACCCTAAAATCCTGTCATCCCCCATTCAAAACGATTATACTGTTGGCATAAGAATACTTGAATAGCACCCATGTTCAAACATGTCAACATGAGCTATGTCAATCACAAACTTGAGAACCATTTCACAGAATGGAATTTACCAAATGCAAAGACTCTCCGAAAGAAAATTTACAAGTTTCATCCAATGCTCGCCGTTGCCGTTTCCCTATCTTAGAAATCGCATGTCTATTTGACTCCCCATTTCAAAACATTTGAATACGGTGTGACAGAAAATTTTAAAACTTACCGATTAACATCATGCAAAGTATGAGATGAGTGAACAGCAACTTCTACATTTGCAATGCAAGCCAAAGAAAATACGACTTCCTCTCGTTCATTTGATTGTAGATCGTGATCAGTATTAAAAGTCAAACGTGAAATATTCCATTCGTGAAATAACTTCGGCAAAACCCGAACGGGAGAGCCTTGGACAACAAATAGACGGGAGTTCAGTTTTCGCAGCTTATCGTTCAGATCGTGTAGGGTTTCAAGAAAGAACCTCCATATTGTCGGGCTTGCGTTAGGATTCAAACGAAGCCAAGCCTCTGTATCAAGTATATAAACTCCGTAAAAGTTCTCGCAGTCCTCTAAGCACTTCAACAAAGCTGGGTTGTCGTGTAACCGAAGGTCCTTACGAAACCAATGCAGATGATTCCCTTTACATCGAAGAGCGTCAGTCTCCATTTTTTTTTTGAAACCAACACTAGATAGACTACATTCACAACCTAAGAAGGATTTAACTAAATATTCCGTCAATCTGTAGAGAAAATTACGGCCGTTTATCTCCCCTTGTTGTTGGTTAGCATCTGATGTGTGAATGCGATGCACTCAAACATTAAAATACGCGTGAAAGTACACGCAAATTTAGTTATACAATTGCATAATGATTTACGTAACAAGTACATTGCAGTGTCCCGGATGTTTTATTTAGCAAATAGAAAATATTTGAATTTCAAATTCCCAAGGAGATAAGCGGATAGTGTTTGGTAAGAATATGGGGCCTTGGCTGTGTGCCTCGGTTTTTTGTGTAAGGATGAAAATATCGAAAAGATGTGCCGACAAAATATCCGAGTCGAACTATTGAATCTACACCACGCTAAGGAACTTTTAGTAAAGCCAATTTACTGAACCAAAACGAGATAAAAAAAATCTCGAAGCACATAGTTATTTGAAATTGTTCATGTCGTCAAAGAAGCAGCAAAATAATGTCTTTAGGCTTCGTATCAAATTTAGTCTCACTGTCTAAGTTCACAAAATGTTTTGGTTTGATTCAAATCCACAATTATGTCACACATGACATCACGTCACGTGTTTATTCACAACACACAACTTACAAGTGGGCTGTGGGTTTTGTGTGTCGAGGAAATCTTCGTTCAACGCAAATTCAGAGTGAGCAAACTTGAGCAGAGGTCTCGACAGTGAGTTTATCGCTATGAAAATATCGAGAATATTCGCGTAAACAGAGTCGTTTGATTAAATAACAGTCGTTTTCTTGTTTGCTATACAAACAATTCAAATCGTTTTTATTTTACCGAACTAAATATGATTCACAGATAGAGCAAGAATTTTCTCATATAAAGGGAAGATAACTCTTTAACATTTAAATCTCTTCAATACTGACGGACCTTTTCAATGATGAACTCGTTCATATCGTTGGCTTGGTGCTCACAAATTTTTTTACGCTGATACAGGTTGAATTAGAACAAGATTGTATAGGAACAGCTACACTTTTAACGTTGATGATATAATCGCGATGATTTCAATACTTTCATTTCACAATATGAAGACACGTGTGTCGACCGCGTTCAGGCCAATGGTTCAGGCAGTGACCTCGTAAAGACCTAATTAGGGGACTGGGACGAGGACCCCGACCAAACTTTGACCACCATCCCCCGACACACTCCTTTCCCCATTCACAACAACGTTAACGCCTTGCAATATTTAAAATGTTGAATACTTTTCTAAATACACCACACCAATTCTAATCGCATAAGATTTTGAATATTGAAGTCAAGCCATTTGTAATCGATATCAAAGCAAACAAGCAGCCAATGAAATTATGCAGACAACGTATGAGTTTTGGCAAGGTATATTTAGTATGATTTTCACAAAGAATAAATTCTCCCCTTTTCTTGACACTTGGTATTCAATTCGACAAGCAACTAATTTGATTTTATACCGCAAAAGTCAGCTGCACAAATCGCTCTCCCTTTTTCAAATTTTAATTTGGCGTCTTGAAAGTTAAATTTACAGTATAAAAATCTTGACAGTTGACGCTTAGGTGATATATGTATTAATATTATTTGACATATCACGCATTTTACCCAGTAATTTTATCTAACATAAATTTATTTGAGCACTCTCAAATTTGAGCCATATGAGATAATTATGTTGTCAAGTAGAATGGTAGAATATAATTAGGAAAAATTTATGAAGAAACAAAGAGAGAGTCGGAAGTATCTTTTGAGTGATGTGTATTTGGCTATAATTTAACCGGCTGGCTGCATAGAAATGTGGTTTCTCTAGACAAAGACGGTGAGCTCTCTCTATGTGATACTTTCTGAAGACCCAATACCTACGTACCGACCTCCTGCAGCCGCAGATACAGAAAGTATGGAGTTGTCAATCCAGCAAAGTGGAACAAGGTTTGTAGCTATATGTATAAGAACAAGCCAAATCGAGGAAGATGCTAGATATAGCTATAATTGCTACACGTTTTACAAATAAATTTTGTTTTATTCTTATTGATATGTTGCCGCTATTAGTTCGAAGAAAAAGCACAGAATAGATATCTTGACAGAAGGTCCACTCGTGTCGGAACCTCTGATGTTCGTGTCCCCCACTTTTCTGAAGCCAATTCTAAGCAAGACACGCCTTTCAGCAAGATACTTCCGCTAGATCGCAATAAAAAATATAGTTTCTTTTTACAAATATATCGTTTTGCAAAACAAAAGCTTGGAACCTTATCTCCTTCCCAAGATGACAACTCTTTGTAAAAACTTCGGCAAACTTTTGCTTTAAACGTGAATTATTAGTAAAATAACATTCTCGTGCAATAGTATTCCATATTGATTTTGTGAAAGTATCTTGCTGGGAAGTTACGCATGCGTAGTGAAAAAATACGCCACGATTTTAGCCGAGTGGGCCTTCTGTTAGGCCTGTTTCAAACGTCACATTTTACATGAGCCGAATGCATTTAAAACAAAAGATAATGAGGAATTTTATCTCATTTTCTATTGTTTTAAATGCATTCGGCGCATGTAAGATGCGACGTTTGAAACGAGCCTTAGATGTCTATTCTGTGGTAAAGGAAAAAATAAAAGAATAAAATTATCAATAAATTACAGGCACGTCGCCAAGGGGGAGGCTGGAGGGAACTTGATACTCCCACTTTTTCCCCCCAAAAAAGTTTTTGCCAATATTTGTAGATTTTAGCCTAACTTGAGGCAAAGTAAGAGGCAGAAAATTTAGTAAGTATAAAAATCTTTCAGGTTTGTGGTTCTTCTCCCTCATTTTTCGGGTTGTTTTGAATAGAAATCGTTGTGTATCATAATTTCTTAGTGAACATATAATTTTTTAAAGCCTTATATTTCATTTTCATATATTTTCGATTCTGCCATCCCACATTTTGTTGCATAGGATAAGACCTCTATAGCACCAATCAGAACAAAGCATTGTTTGGCTTCATCTTGTGCATGATGTAACAGGCCTCAGTGATGCAACCACCTTTTCAAATATTTTTTAACATTACATAACAGCATATTTGGCACTTGTTAATATATCTTCATTTTAGCAACCTACAACTGCATTTCGAAAATGTGTAAGAAGGTAGATCGTCGTGTGTGTGCAGCTATATAGGAACTCAATTGGTACTTAAAAAGGAACCTAGATTCCCCAAGAATAACTAAAATGAATTCAGGAGTAACTAGCGTAAAACGCTATTATTACTAGTCTAATAAAATGAGTTTATAATTATTATCTTGTATTTGTTAAACTCTTCTTACTGAAGATTTGTCGGTTTGAAGGCCTCGTCATTGTGTTTCAACATCTATTTTAAGATCGTCATTGTGCTGCACGTGAAAAGGACGAACTCTTGCGACAAGTTATTATCAAGCGTTACGAACTCGTTATGACCTAAAATGAAGATAGCAAACTCAGAATAAACAAGAGAATCACAACATGTGAACACGTGTATAGTCGATACAGTAGCTATTCTTTGAATGGTTATCGCTTGCGTTAAATAAAATCTTTAAAATAATTTGTATTTTTCTTCAAAATTGTGTCGTTCGTTATGACTTAATCGAACGAGGAAATGGCTTCATTGGACCGGACTATTTACGTCAGCAATTCTGAACACCTGCTGAAAAACACGCAGATGCAACGTGTAGAAATTATTAGTTGCCCAATATTAGAACAGTCATTTTCGTCGCCGAGACCGAGGCTTTAATACCACGCAACAAGTAATTGAAGTCATCGAAGTTTGCGGAAGAATTTGCGGAAGAAATAAGTTTTCTTAAAGGAAATTGTTCAGAACGTATTTGACACACTGTTATATTATATAACAATAACATTCCAAGCACTAATCGGAAACTGTTGCATAATAACCGAAGTTGTTCTTGGAGACGTAATCATGTTTTCGTAGACAAAGTATAACAATCTCGTTGTATCATATTGACAACACGTAAAAACTATTTGTAATATGAATTTTGTCGCATCTTTAAAAGATCGGATGCTATTGCAATTCATTTTTGTTAAAATATGAAAAACTGAAAATCAAATATATATGAAAGGCGAAAGTTAGGCCTAACGAAACCATTGGTCAGCCTTAACGAATGTTTCTCATTTCAGAGTTTTGTTTGATTGTTTTTACACTTTATTCTTGCCATAAAAAGCAGCCATAGGTGGCTGGATGAACTAACTGCACCAAGAAAAACGGGCGGCGAATCAAAGAGTAATAATTTCCTATTTCTATAGACTGAAATGCTTGCAAAACGTATTTTCTTCTTTTTGCATTCATGCAAATCCCAAACATAAGTAACTGCTCCTTAGATAGCCACAAAATGTAACACACGAGGCCAAGAAAAGAAAAGTACAAGCTTCCTTTGAAATATCCTGGCCGCACATTATCAAAATAACGTTTGAATTAAATACTTTTATCGTTTAAAGTACGGCGGCTACTTAGAATTCATCATGCACTGCCTACAGTGACCGAATAATGTAACAGTGATGGTCAATGGTCATTAAGCCTTTAAAACACCAATGTTGTTTTCCTGTTCAATCAATAATCGTCCTTTTAAGGCAGTTACTCTTAAACATCCATTCTCGAAAACTTCGAATGTATCTTTTACTTTAGGAGCACCATATGTTCTACCCAGATTAATGAGCGACATATTTGAAAACGCCTGAAAAACAACCTTAAACATTTTAACTCTTGCAGACGATAAATATGCCCTCTTCGCTAAAAAAATATTAATGCGTCAAAGATGTGTCTTAAAGGGCACAACTGAATATATGAATACAAGCCACCCAATTAATGTTCTAGTTACGCCTCTCTGACCGCGACTAAAGTAAATGATAATGTATTAAGTAGCTACATGTTCGTTTTCATGTGGAAAAATCAAAATGGCCTTGACTAGTCTTTTGTCTCAGTCATGAGTAATGACATTTTATACTAACATAAAAAACCCAAATGCTTTCTCCCAGCCTTTTTTGCTCCAATATCTCGCAACATTTAAGACACGATACGACATGCTATTTTACAATATTTATGCTTTGAATTTTCAATTGTATGTCACACAACAATAAAAAACACATAATGTTACAGCCAAATTGGTATTCACCTCCTTTTATGTCTTTTCAACACCCCCGAAAGTAATCGAGGACAGTGTAAATCTGGTTTCAAAAGTTCAACTTATCATGTACCAACTGAAAGGGCCGTACCTAGAACGTTAATTACACCGCGAGTGGATTAGAGTTAGAGTTAGGCTTATAAATACTTTTAATTCTGCCTGGACTGATTTCTTTTGAAAGTGAATTTTTAAATATGAACACCGCCCTACCCCCCCCCCCTTTTGCAATGAACGTTCTATTTACTGCCCTGGCCGCAATACTTCAAAGACTACGGCCAATGACTTTAGATCACTTATAACCCTTTTTTCCTATGTGGATAATTTGTACAAGAAGAGTTTGAAGTCAGCTAGAAGCTGATAAACGGGGGCTTTCAATTGACTAGCAGTAAATAATTAGTTTTTCTTAATAAAATTGATTATTTTACCAATAAAACTATAGACCGCGAGTAAATTCCTCCTTTAAAGTGTAAGGACAAAATCTTGTATGGTGTGCAATGAGCGCCAATTTTATAAAAGTTCACAGCTTAGATGCAGGATCGTTCAAAAAAGTTAAGTCTCGACTAGATTTTGAGCAGGACAAATGACATTATCCAACATAGGGTTATTGTGTAGAGTGATAGGTCTTTGTGATACATATTCATGAATCATTTAGCGCCTACTTTGATAGTAACAAACTACATGGCAAAAAAGTGAACTAACATTAAACATTCTAAGGACTCAATACGCGTCGACCATTTGTCACACAAGGGTCACACCACACCACTAACTTGCAACTAATTCGCAATCCTTCTTCCTAACTTTTAGGCTTTCAAGGATTCCATGTGAACGATCAAATTAAAATGATTTTTGACATTTTTCATTCAAAATGAAAACATCGCTCTGCTTGCAAATCCAAGAAATTTTTGCTAAAATCAAATGACACAAGCGACATTATAAGATGAGAACGGAATATATTTTGATCCTTCTCTCTAAAAGACACATGTTTTCGTATAAAGGACACATTTTTGTCTTACAAGGACCCAGGATGTGCGAAAGCAAACTAGTTTATGTTGATGCGTGCACGAAAAGCTCGATATTTTACTGGGTCGATTCCATCGCACTTTTAATAAAAGTTTAACGATTGTGACGATAATTGATATTCAACATGCAGGAAATCGTTGAAGTGAGCCTCGTCACACTTTTCTTCTTTGCAGGAGGCAGTAATCAGTTCAACTAACTGCGCGTAGAAGCAAAATACATCAACAAACTAAACACAGCTGTAACACTTTGCCATAAAACTATATAGCTCAGACGAGAGGAGTATGTGTCAGTTTCATTAAAGTGTGACCTACACCTTATGATTGCTACGGCTCGTTGTATGACAACACACCTCAATTACGTCATAATAAAACAGTTGGCACAAGGATTCTTGGGCCAATTTTGATAAACACGCTTTTCAAAACGGGAGATGTTGATTGCTGTTTGAATTCACCGCGATCTGAGTTGCATAACCGAAATCATAACTTTCAAATCGGTAATTACATCACCTCTAGGTTGGGAAAATATGAACATGGAGAACACAACGCCATTTATATTAGCCCTTAACTTCCCAAGTTTTTTCGGCCGTTTGGGTTTCAGATGGTTTCCTTGATGTTGCCATATATGGCAACGCCAGGAGAATAACAGTTAATAAGCTCGAATGTTTGCCACGTGACAACACAAGTGAACAAACATTGTTACGTAAAGTTTCGTTGTCTCATACGCGTCGCAATCAAATATGTCCCTTTTGTTTGAAGAACTCGCAATTAATGTCACACGTTGTAATTGATGCTTTGGCTTTCACGTGTGAATTTGAAACGATGTTGACATTTCAGGCAAATGGAAGCTAATTCAAAGCTATCAATTTATCGCAAAACCGGTAGCGAATCCTTTTCTACTCCTACAATTCAAATATTTTTATGCTCTGACTCGATGGAAAAACAATGAATGGTATTAGTTTTCTAGTCTCAGTGACATTGCTCCCAGTAACAGGATTTTTTCTCAATATTACGTAACACCTCTCCCTACACGCAATGCCAAAAAATGTTACATAAGACTTGAGGAAGCAATGCATAACACAAGTCTTCAACAAACCGATCAACGACTCTGCTTTATTCGTCATTTTATGTAATGCAAATTGCTCAGGTTTACTTGTAAGACACTGAACACATCTATAATAGTAGCCATTACTCGTCAAGTTTTGTCTATCGGAAATTTGGAATATTTACGTGTGATGATAAAGGGCAGCCGTTTGTTATGCCAAGTATCCAAACATTTTTGTGTTCACACTTCAGTTTCACAGACTGTAAAAACACAACATTTCTAAAGAAAGAAACACAGGAAATATTCCTCGAGCGTTTTTACGTTCATATTTCAACTATAATATAGTTTTAAATCGCTCGTCATATCGTCTAAAAACTTGTTAATGAAATAACTACTGGGTTAACGAAATATTGCTTCTCTTCGAAATCAACCGACCTTTGGATTCAATTATTGCGACAATATATTTGTTGTTTCTTCAATTCGTCTCCTAAACACGGAACGTGCCCTGCTTTTAAGAATTGGGTATTGCATAATATTTATCTGCAACGCAACTACTCGCGTTTCTTTCCTTTAAAAAATTCTGTCAAGACAAAACGCACGTTCCTTTATGGAAGTAGTTGTGGAATAGCTTGCCACATACTTAACAAACTACAATCCTCAACCAAACCCTAAACTTTTTCTAATAATAATCCAGTCGGATTGTAGTTGGGCAGTTTTTGTGCCATTTAATGAGTCTCAACAATACCAATCTGCCAAACGAAAGGACCAAAGGGTTAAGTTATGTCAAGTTGTTTTGCAAAGTTGAAGTTCATCTGTGAACGTGTTATTAGATCACAGAGACATCCATTTGGGTCAACACCAAACACCCGGGGGCAGATTTTTGTATCAGCTGCTGGTATAATCATAAGATAAAGACTGCACGAGTCAAGTAACTCAAGTTGATAATCAAATAAAAGAAAAATAGAACTGCACGAAAGTGAATTGTCCCTTGGAGGTCATACCTTTATTTTCTGAGTGTAACAACTTGCCCCAAATTTAGAGGCAGACGATCTTTATGAGAAATAGTATACTGAATGAAACTATTATTGACATAAGACATGAAATCTTAATCACTGTAGAGGACGCTGGAAAACTGCACTGTACACAATGTGACGTATTATTCGGGTTTGTGGCATAACCATGGCATAACCAGGAGGGCATTCCCGCCAAAAAAACCAAAAACTGTTGGGGCTCTATGTTGAGAGGGGTCTCATACTTTTGCAGTATCTTAATATCATATAGGAGCTCAAAATTCTAGCTGGACCGACTTTCTTCGTCGTCTATATTAGTTTATGGACCAAATTTTATAAATATTTCACGAAAGCTGGTTGACCACTTCTTGGACAATCAAACCTTAAAATGTGTACAGCGCAGGTGTACAAGCTAGAGCATGCTTTTGTTTTTTGTTTTTGACATGTCTTACGGTTTTGGCGTACTCTTTTTGAAATTATTCTGTATTTTCTTCTATTTTGGCGCTTATAGTTGGATCGTTTACATCGCCAGGTTGTTCAGACTGCAAGAGACGATGCAAGCCCGAAAGTGCCGCGATATACGCCAATGGAGGTTTTAAAGAACGGCCATAAAAAATGTTGATTTTTATCGGTTATTCAACTCGATGTTATCGACATCCATGATCGAATATTGAAAATCATATCAATTACTTTGTATTTAACAGTTTACCTTCCTTATTTTTCTTCACATTTTGAAAAATCTCAAAATTCTTTTGAATGACTGTGGAGTTCTTCCATGGCAATGCCTCTCTGCCTGCATAGTTCACCTTGTCGAGTTCCTGTGCCTTCAGGAATTAACAGGCCATCATATTTATAAAGATCTATGTAACTATAAGTTGTTGCTGTTATTTTGTAAAAACTAAAAACTAGCATGGTTTTTTCATCCGTGTACAGTGTTTTCAAGTAGGATATATTTGTATATACAAATGAGCCAAGAAATCAAATTATATAAATTAAATAACGAGAATAGGTATAAAATTATATATATATATGTTCCTGTTTTTGTAAATGGCGATATTGAAATCGCGCTTAATCACTTTGGAAGCTAAATTAGTACAATAAAGACTAAAATAATAATTTAGCGCCCGCAATACGATCTTTTATTTACAATATCTATATACATATATGATTATATTATACTATATATTACTCCCTAGTCTAAGTGCTGGCGCTGGTTACCAGTCCCTCAACTTTTCTTTCAATCAGATCTAGAACAGCTAGGGTAAGAATTACTTAGATCTGTATATTCCTGTGAATCTTAATTTTACTAGTCAGGAGCGAAAGTACAGACACAACACGCATTTCTATGTTTTCAGTAAAATCTCATTTCTATACACGTTAGTTTGCCGAGAATTGTTGTATTAATCATTGGAATTAAATCAGAATCAGCGACATAAAATCTCTATAGTTCTCGCCTTTCCTTTGAAATGAATTCCACAACGATAAACACTTTTTCATCAATTATTTTGACATATTTAAGACGATCCTTCGGGGCAATAATTGACAATTTATGGACGCAGCTTGTATATGCAGCTATTGAGAATTCATGTACAAACCAAATCACGCTATACAAGGCTCTCGCAACCCTCACCTTCACTGGACCAATTTCCTCTGCCATCGTTGAAAAATCTATTCATAAGTGCCGTTCTCCTTTCTACGTTTGAACTACGACTAGAAGTACTGTAGTGAGACGAGCGAGGTAATGTTTCTGGACGATAGCTGGTGTGATTAAGGCCCAACGTAGACGTATACACGCGAGCCTTTTCCTTATACATCGAACCTGCAGTTTTCAGAGTGTCGTGAAGGAAATAGGAACCGGTATTCTCGCTGTTATTCATTATCCCCAGTGCAGCAGGATCATTATATCGAGCCTCGACGATTGCAGGTCGACTGCTTGTCGACGTTCTCCGCGAACTCGTTCCCGATTTATTACCGTATGAAATGCGCGCCATCGTAGACGCGCGATTGTTTGTGACGTCATCGCTGTTATAGTCGCTGTCGCTTTGCGATGGCGTCTCTTTGCTACTCACGTAGTGAACCTTCGTGACGTTAGCAACAGCATGTGAGCGATTGTTTCTAACTGGAGGATGGTTGTATCTCTGCTCAAGGCGATTGCTGTATTCGTGAAAAATACCTGGGGCGGAGCCCCGTCTCCTTGATAGCGGTGGGGTAGAACTTTGAAAGAGATCTCGTCTACTATATCGGCTTTGTGAGTAAGATGGGGGAGGTGGTCGATGACTGTCAGTGAAGACACTGGAGATGGACGAAGTCGATGAGTTCGAGCCGAGTCGACTCATTAACGCACTAGAACTAGTTAACTTATGTTTCAAACGATTACTATAGAGCATCTCGTTGATTTCACTAGTCGATGCAAACGCTGGCGTCTCAAGCGACGGTCTTTTTTCATGAACACGAACACCAGTTTCCTCGTTCGAAGACGTCGAGCCGGATGTGAAGGGCGTATCTCTATGCCCATGCGTGGTAGTCGTGCTATCAAGGGAGCCGTCATTGCTTGGTCTACGCTGTCCAGTGGCTGCCTCGAAACTGGACCTTCGTGACAATGATACTTTGACTTTGCTCTCCACTTCTGAAATTACAATATCAAAAACCCATTACGATTTTTAAAAAACATAAGATCAGAGCACAATCAAATAAAGGAAAATATTTTCGTCGCGTTATGAAAAATCTTACCGTCCTCGTTGGATGTAATGCTGGTGCCATCTAAAGATTTCGAAGAAATTAAACACGTCAATGAGTGCTCAATATCACTTCACTGCAAAAACATCCAGCCCCATTCTCGACTACTATTGTGTATATACACATGATCTGTTATGCTTTTTTTAATTCCAATTTCCGTAGGTTTATACAACAAAAGGCTCCCAAATGATAAAGAATTTACATACCTGAACTGACATCAAGGGTAAATTTTCTGGTGGGGTGCAGGGGTGCGCACCACCCTAAATTCCCTAGCACCCCAAGAAAAATCTTAAATAATCTTACTTACGGCCTTGATCCGCCCCTGACCAGCATGCTCATTTGATTAGGTATCACTTAGGCTTCAAGCACAGAGAACCATCCCTCTCACTGCGCCATCCCTTCCCAGAAAAACACAACAAAATTATTCAATACCTGATCCGATATTGCTATTGTGATTCTCCTTCATTCGCCTTAAAGCATCTTGAATTGTTTTTAACTAAAATGAAATTCATAATCAAAATAATCAACCTGAACAAATGAAGTTTGTCTGTTGACAAAAAGAGATGAATAAAGATAAAGAGCTTGAAAAAGTCACATGTTTTCAGTGTAAAAGTGTTTCTTGTTTGTAAGTTTGAAGTTATCGATGAATACGATCATTAATTTCTATAATATCTGGTAAATATCCAAGACAGATATACGACAGCTAACAATTTATCACTCGACATAGCTATACTGAGACCAATTTAACAGAATTAGCTGAAAATTCTGTAATTTACATCCTGAAACAAAAACCTCACACAATTGATGTATATATAGAAAACGACACAGACGAACAGACTGACGGATCAACCGTTAGTCAACAGAATTTTTGCGGCAGTTCAATTCTAATCTAAGAGACATCTTCACAAAAAAATATTAAATGTGTAAATTAATCCAAAAATTAATGAGCATTTATGCATATATATAATATGCACTTTGTTGCACGCGAGATTGTGACGATAACCAAGAAAGCACTTTGTACATATGCATATTGTAAATATACAAATTCAATGGTAGGAAATGCTGAAAGTTCATTTATACTATCAAACTATCATACTTGTTTGTAAATGTAGATCGTCCAGGTTGGTATAGTCCTGAGAAGGACTGTTTTTGTCGTTGTTGACTGACGTTTCGACAACCTTAGCGGTATTCATCTTCAGAGTCAAATGAGGAGTAAACGTCAGGTTAGCCGTATTTGTTATCTGGTTCTTACGTCATTGTATTGTGTATACAGGAAATGCGTATTGTCATTGTGAATTAGTATGAAGTGAAATATTTTTAGTTGTGATGTGTGATTTAGGTGTGATGTTTTTGGTTTTAATGTGTGGGTGTCAATTGTGTATTGTCATTGTGAATTAGTGTGAAGTGTAATGTTTTTAGTTGATCGTTTGTTTGTATTGTGAATTAGTCGTTTGTAAGGTGCCGGTAATTGCTGTGATCTGTTCAGGGGGTTTGTTCCAAGTTGGTATACCAACTTTCTAATGTAAGCCGTTGTCTATAGTCAGTACTGTAAGTAATGCATTTTGCCGAGTCCCAGTCAATGTTGTGCTTTGTGATTCGGTGATGTTCGGCAATGTGATTAGTTTTGTCCTGTTTCTTTGTAGCTCGTTTGTGTTTAGTAAGTCTTATGTTTAAGTTCCTGCCAGTTTCCCCGATATAGGAGGCGTGACAGTCGGAACAGTTTATTTGGTAAACTGCACCTTGTCGTTCGTTGGACTGTTCTTTGTCCTTTATGTTCGTAAGTACTTGTCGTAACGTTGTGATTGGTTTATGTTCGACACGTATGTTGTATGGTCGTAAGATACGCGAGATAGTCTCAGACGTACCTTTGATGTAAGGTATTGTTGCTGTTGTCACTGAGTTGTTCGTTTCGTTGGATTCGTAAGTGTTGCGTTTCATAAAGTCAGAGTTATAGTTGTTTTTGTCAAAAACACGTTTGAGATAGTTGTTTTCGTTGTGTAGAGCGTCCGGTGAATCACATATAATTTGTGCACGTCTTGTTAATGTTCTGATTGTGGTGGCTTTGCGATGTAGGGTTGTAAGATGATTGGTCTAGTAGTCGGTCAGTATGTGTTGGTTTGCGATAAACTGCTGTTCGTAGTTTTTGATTGTCATGTTTTACCAACCAGTCGAGAAAGGGAAGAGTTCCGTTTTCTTCGACATCTTTGGTAAATTGTATGTGGCTGTTCTGTTTGTTGATGTGAGTGTGAAAGTCATCAATCTCGTCTGCATGTAGTGCTGTGATTGTGTCATCTACGTAGCGAAACCAAAAAGGTAGTGCATGTTTGTAAGTCATGAGCGCCCGTTCCTCTATAGATTGCATTACAATTTCAGCAACTACAACAAAAACGGGTGAGCCCATTGCTGTTCCATGTAACTGGTTGTAGTGTGTACCTTTGTACTGGAAGTAAGTCGAGGTGAGGCAGAGCTCCAGTAGCTCTATAATGTCTTCTGTCGGTATTGGCAGTACGTCCGTGGTGTTTGTAATGCGAGTTTTTGTACAAGTAAGTGCCAGATTAAGTGGAATACTGGTGAACAGCGATTTCACATCAAAAGACACTAGTATATAGTTGTCCGGTATTTGTATAGTGCTCATTTTTTTAATGAAAGTTTCAGTGGATTGTAGCTTGTGTTTTGATTTGTTTGTAAGTGATTGCAGTATGTCAGTCAAGTACTTTGAGAGTTCGTAAGTAGGCGAACCACAGAATGATACAATTGGTCGCATGGGTATTTGTGGTTTATGAAGTTTTGGTAGTCCGTTTGGTCTGGGTGGTCGTGGTACTGAACATCTGAGTCGATAGTAAATACAATCAGATATAATGTTCGATTTTCTCATAGCGAAGATCTTGCTGTTAAGTTTGCGTACTAGTGATGGTGTTGGGTCTAGGTTTGAGTTGTTCGTACGTTTGTCTGTCGTTAACAAGGGTGTCCATTTTATCGAAGTAATCATATCTGTCCATGACCACAGTCACGCGTCCTTTGTCTGCTGGTGAAATGACGATGTTGTTGTCCTGTTTTAGTCGTTTGAGTGCTTGTTGTTCGTCCTTTGTCAAGTTGTTGTCACGTATAGAGGACGATTGTAAAGTGGAGGCTATCCTGCTTCTGATCTCGTCCTTGGTTGTCTCTGACAAGTCTCTTCTCTGACAAGACTAAGGTTGTCGAAACGTCAGTCAACAACAACAAAAACAGGCCTTCTCAGGACTATACCAACCTGGACGATCTACATTTACAAACATGTAACGATACTCCCAGGTTCAAACCATTTACTTTAAACTATCATAATATCATTCAAACTTCAATAAACTCTCTGCTTGTGAAAGAAGTCCGTTGTTTGTGAGTATATTTGGTCTGTCTACTACAAACAATTCCTTTGATATGTCATACCTTGTAAACGGACGATTGGTAACTATCCTGCCGAGACTTGCGTATATTCTTGCTTGCCGTCGGATCGTTAGCCAGTTTCTTCAAAAAATTTTAAAAAAAACTGTTCGTGAGCTAAATCTGGTTCCCATACAAAGTGGTTACAAGTATAATAAGTTCGTTGAATCTTAAAGATGCCATAGTGGAGTTTAAAAATTGTGTTAAAAAGGCTTAGCTCCAACTTACTTAAAAGAAAAGTTTAAACAACGGTCAGAGTTATATAATCGTTTAAAGAGGAAAAGACGTTTTACAAATGCCGTTCTGCCATAATGCCTCGTGCCAAAGTAGTTTTGTAAAAAATTGGAACTATCAAGTAGTTATCATAAAGTTCACTGATTCTGTGACTAGTTTTTAATCAGCACATAAAAGGATCCGCAACGAGTTGTAATTTCCAGGGGTATTTTGTAGCATATTGATAGCATTTGTAGCATGTGGATATTTTACATTTTGTATATAAATTGGTGTACCTAAAAGAATTCTGAAAAGGCAATAGGAAGAATTAATAATAAAAGCAGAAGTAAATAAAAAAAGAGAGAGCGTCATTCTCGTTGTTAAAAATACAAATATGTCATATGTAGCGTCTGTAAAACAATACTTTAGGTCCGTCATAGTTCTTGATCCAATTCTTTTCATGAATCCCATGAAAAGATTGGCAGGAAGAGGTGCTAATGGTGAGCCTAACGCGACTCCGTCGATTTGGTCGAAAAATTGTCCGTTAAATAGGAAATTAGTTTGTGATGTGGCAATGAAAAAAAAGTTGTTTCAGGTCTGGTTTTTTAATGATAATGTTAAGCTGGTGTGAATAAATAAGATCTAATGTAATATCTATGGTTTCGGATAAGGGGATGTTAGTTAAAATATTTTGGACTTCAAAAGCAGAAGTATAATAAGGCCCTGTTTACATGAGACCGGAACGAAGTCAAACCGGTATCAGCTCGTGTCGGTCATAGTATCATTTATAGTAGATGTCTACGTGGGGCCGTTACGAAAATAACTCAGAGCGGTCTGAAGTCATACCGTCTGCTGAACCGATCCGATTCAGACTGAGTTCAGAGCGGTATGAATTAAAACCGGCATTAATGTAAACTCAAATTTACGTTTAGACCGTTCTGAAATTGCAGCAACGCATGCGCACAATATCGAATTATAAAACCAAAATGGCCAGCAAGTGTAAAACTAGCCTGCAAAGAAGGCACTAGGCGAATAAGGATTTTTCCTGATTTAGTGCTGGTCCCATGTAAACATGCAACAAACGTTGATTTTCATTCCGGTCTCATGTAAACAGGGCCTATAAGTATAAGTAAGCGAACTGTTTAATAGGGAAATGTCAAAGCACGAGGACGCTGGCATTAATAGTTTGACTAAATCCAATCTGCGCAAAATAAATTTTCCGAAGACACAATAGGAAACAATTGTGATTAGAATGGAACTATGTGAAAAACAACAAATGCTTACCATAGCAGCATCCGTAATTTTCGATTGAATTTCAAGATCTACTTCTAACTTGTGAAGCTTTTCCTCCTTTTCCTAAAATGATCACAAAGCTTCAATAGTTGAGCACTAGATAAAATAAACTTGCACTAATACTAAATTATCGGTACGATTTATGATCGATCAGCAAGAACTATCGACAGCACGTACGTTGATGTCGGAAAAAAGTGAACAAAGTCAGATCGTCTGTTGGCAGACGTACATCCGTTGTGAAAAACATAGCGTGGTTTTTGGTTACTTGATTGGAAAACACGTAACGCGTACTTCAACCAACAAGTAATTGCCAATTATTTTGTTTAACAATAGCTTTATTTTCATATTTTTCAAAACCTCTCCACTCCGTTGAGAACATTCAAAGTAGCTATTTCAATTTCAAATATAAACAAAGCAAACTGATTTCAGCCGTACCTCGGAATCTTTCACAATTCCAGATATTGGAAAGGATGTTCCCACTCGTTTTCGTATCGGTGGAGGCGGGAAGTTGGGATTATGCGGGTACTCAGGTGGATATTCTCCTATGATCATCTTCAGTATAACAAAGGGTATAATATATGATTAGGTTGAGCATAAACGTCGTCAAAATTCCAACACAAGCAGGGGGGGAAACACACAAGCAAGCGAGGATGCCATAAATACATTTCATACAAAAAACGTGCCCTCGTACATCGACAATTGATTAAAAAGCAACGAATATCAGCAATAAACCATATGAAATCAACGTTTTGAACATATCATACGTGCTCATAAGCCATTTTGCTCTCAAAGTAACTCCCCCAACCCCACCCAAGGTAATTTTCACCTTCTCGCACACGCTCATGCAACATTATGATTTGAATACGCTTTTTCTGCAGGAACTATATCGGCACTCATAGCAGGGGTTTGAACTAGCGACAGCTTGCCGTCGATAGCCGTGAATTTTTGCGAGCGACTTTTGAACAGGAGACATTTTTGGGTATTAATTCTATGCCCAAAATCCTCGAATATAATTATCTGAGTGACTTTCGATATTGGATTAGGGAAACTCTGAACAATTTTTCGTTCATTTACTCTCCCCAATCACAGGAAACATAAATAAAATAGCCGGTACTAAAATGACACAGCTATATCTTATAAAGCCGAAGAAATATTTTTTACATATAGTTGTATTGAGCCCTTAGAGCCACGACTGAAAATGGGTGTACAAAAAATTACATCCGCATAAAAAATAAAAATTGCTTGATAGGATTACTTGGTTGTGACGAAAATGTTTTATTACAGCGTTGTTTGCGCATAGTGTTTAAACTTGAAAATTTATACAGTATTTATAAGATCGTGAGCGTTCTAACACGAAACACACAACCGCATGGAATTGTTTCAAAATATCTTACGATTGAGCCATATGTAAATCCAATAAGCCGAACTAAATGGCTTGAAAAAAACTGAAAAGAATCAAATGATAATGAGCTTTTAAATACTAGTAAACAGATGGAATGAATAAGCAACGAAGCTTTATTTGAAAAGATATCTAGTTGTCGCATTTCTTGGAGATGCATGAACAAATCATTACTCCTGCTATTTCAAAATAATTTTTTATTTCTACACATTCATCTGAATTTCACAAGCTAAGAACCTACTACGATAATTTTTTATGGGAGCTACTCTTTCCCCACCAATTGTACTTTACAGGCAATTGCAGCACTGACGTCGACCAAAGAAAACAGAAACACAAAGAAACACAAAGAATTTTCAATACTCAACAAACTACGAAAGAAAAAAACCTACTGCTTCTCGAAAACAAATTTGTCGCAGCTCCTCCGTCTTCTCTTTCAATCGCAATTCCAAAGCTTCCTTCCTAGCCGTCAGCACGGCGATCTTTTCTTTTCGTGCGATCTCTTCTTTGCGTGCGATTTCTTCTTTGCGTGCGATCTCTTCTTTGCGTTCAATTTCGTTAGACGTGTCGTTTTCAACTAGAAAAAGAAAATACCCACTGATTTAAAGTAGCAAAAATTTTTTATTGGCGTTCATAAAACTAGGGGCAATTTCTAACGCATCAGTTATAAGACTTTTCAATTTCGTGAAATCGTCCAATCATAACCGTGATTTTAAAATTGGCTTTCAATGGATCTTGTCCGTCGTGGTATGAAGTCTGGGTCGAGCAACATTCTGACGTCATCTTAAGGTAAGTAGCCCATATATTTTGTACTGAAAAGTCCCTTGAATGACGTCACAATAAGAATTCATTCCAGACTTTTCAGACGACGGACAAGGTCCATCAAAAACGACATTTCCACCATGAGCATGGAGGAATTTCATAGCACCGATAAATTTTTTTTGCCGGTGAGGGTACTTTGAAAACAATGCTTAATACTTTAATTATCGCGGGGCAGGGGGCAGGGTGGGTTTTACTCCGTGACGACCAGCAGTAAAACATATTAATTGACAGGACGTTAAAACAAAAACATCAAAAACATACCACCATTTGATGAAAGTCCACAAAAACATCAAAAACATTCAAGAAAAACATACCACCATTTGATGAAAGTCCACAAAAACATCAAATACATTCAAGAAAAACATACCACCATTTGATGAAAGTCCACAAAAACATCAAAAACATTCAAGAAAAACATACCACCATTTGATGAAAGTCCACAAAAACATCAAATACATTCAAGAAAAACATGCCACCATTTGATGAAAGTCCACAAAAACATCAAATACATTCAAGAAAAACATACCACCATTTGATGAAAGTCCACAAAAACATCAAAAGCATTCAAGAAAAACATACCACCATTTGATGAAAGTCCACAAAAACATCAAATACATTCAAGAAAAACATACCACCATTTGATGAAAGTCCACTTTCACTGGGCTCACTCAAATCGGACATCACGGATACCATGGATGAATTCAAAGATGCCGAAGTTTGAGATAAATCATTAGCAATATCCTCCAAAGTTCTTGGTGTGATCAACATGTCCTGAATGCGATAAACAGGAAATATTCATGCAGGTCGAAAGGTACTGTTAGAATTAACTAATGACCTAGAACCCAATAAACTGGATATCTGACTCCTCCAGTTATAAGTGAGGCAAGCCGCCATCTTGAAAGGTGGGAAAACTGACAATATTTACGATTAATATCTCCTTTTCGTGAGATGATATACAGTTGCAAAGTTGATAGTCTAGGTTTAATTTTAAAATGTTTGATAGGATCTGGTTTTTAAACCTTCTTTAAGCTTATATTTCATTTCGAGTTTTGCTTTTTGCCAATTTTTCAGATGGCGTCCTTGCCTCGCATTGACACGGTAGTTAGATATCTAGTGGGGGATTGGGTTCTAATTCGTTGGAATTAACGTATAAAGAAAGCACCATATATCACGACAATGTAGTTACACGCAAATCTTACTTCTTCATGCTTTTTATTTAGATAAAATTGATGTTGACTTATCGCCATAGTCCACATTGCCTTTGCTTGAGATATCGTGCTCGCATACCAAGTAAATATGATAACACGCTGGCCATTTACTCTTCGACCCAAAGATTGACTTCTACAGGATGAAAATTACAAAGAAAAACATGTCGACGTTTCTCGGCAATTTTTGTTTCAACAATGTTGTTCGAAGTATAAGGTATAGAAAAATAGAAAATTCCCATTTTTCTCATAACACAATGATACACTTAGGCCTAAATTGCATTGCAAAAATACACTTTTTATTGATTTATGAACGCATAAAATGATGCATTGTACATCAATGCATCATTTACCACACTTGCAGTCCTTTCTCGTGTTCAGAAAAGGTTGAGAAGCCCAAAAACGTTCGTTCGAGATTTAAGATTTTCCTCGATATTGCAGAAATATTTTCCAATGAACATACCTTCGTCGAGGCTCATCCTTATTCACATCAGAAAGTCTGAAAAAAACCCGGCAAAAATGTCAATCGGAAAAGGTAATACCACGCAATCAAGGCCCGGTTTACATTATACCGGATTACTATCATATCAGGTTAATTTTTCTTTGTGTTAAAAGGCAGTGAAATTGTTCAACGTCAGAAACACAATGAAACAGACTAAACCTATCAACTTAAAGCTTTTACTCCGAACAGTCACCCCTTTAAAGCAAATGAAGATGTGGTGATGAGCGAATCTGGTATAGTGTAAACGGAGCCCAAAACTTACGAAAGTGCAGAAAATATGCATGTGACATTATGAACGTTAAACGCGATACACCGATACACAAAAACATACTTGCGATGGTTTTTGACTTCAACTGAAAATTTCCTGTCTTTGAAGTAAAGGTTCTCGATTTGGTGCCATTTGTAGACCTGAAAGACAAAAAAATCATCGTTTAAAATAACGAAAGTTTTAGTTTAGCAGAAACAGTCTTTGGTTGCGTTGTGAATAATTTGACTACTTTCCACAGTAGCTACAATGCGTGTATGAATAAAGCAACAACACTTGGGTGAATGCCAAACAATGTTCCTCACTGCCGCGTCTCAATGATGCTTTCCACTACTTTAAAACATGAAGACGATCCCTTTAACTGCAAGTTTTTGGCAAATTCAACGCACATAAGGTGCGTGTTGTTGAATAAGATCGATAGTTTTTTGATTACCCTTCAATGTTATTCAGCACATTTCGCTTTTTATTTCAAATATTTTGTGGTCTTTTAACAATTGCTCGTGCTGAGGAAGTGTTTTTGTTTTTTATATGACGGGCACAATATCGCATAACTCCAACACAACATTATGCAATTGTTATGATACTGGTTTTATCGATTGCTTTGCCAATAAAACTTCAATATATGACATAGAAGCAGATTTGCATCGTAATTTGCATCCATAAGATCTATTCAAAGAGGGTGGATTATAAAAAAAATGAGTACGACATTCACTGCACATTATATGGCTCTATTTTGTAACTTGTGTGATAATGGTGCTGGGTTTGTTGTCAATATCGAAAAAAAACATTTGAGCTGCAGAGTCAAAATATTGCAATATATACCCTCATACCTAATTGGCCTCCAATTGGAATAAAATAAAAAGTGACGTCATCGTTCCATCAGCTGGGGAAGAATGAACTAGAAACTCCCTTAAATCATTTTCGCATTAAAAAATGATTTCGAAAACAATTTCTCCCGATGCATCACACCGCAACGACATACTATATGACTCAACGTTTAAAATGGTGAAATACAAACATTTCACGAGATTTTACGTTCGCGCAATTCAATCTCAATGCTAAGTATGAGTTCACAATTAAATGCAAACAACAAGTTGCTGAATACTGAATTCATTCACACACCTTTCTTGGTTTTGTTTTATCCGAATGATCATAGACTCCGACACCTTTAGGACTCATTCCAATCCACCAAGGAATGTCTCCCTTATCCTATTGAACACAGAAAAACCCATTTTCAAATTATACTCGGTACATCCATAAAAATCAAGGAGGAAGCAGTCGACGTCATACCTTGACTTCATAGTAATGAACACCGTAGGTAGGTAGACTTCGAAATTTGTTTAAATATCTGCGTGAAAAGAAAAGATCGATACACATCGTGAGATAGAGATGGGAAAACCCTCTTTATGAGAATCAGTCTCTAGAGCATGCCCATAGGCGTACGGGAGCTATCATTTCTGGGGGGAGGGGGCAGTAAAGATTTTTCCCAACTCACAATGAAGTTGCCCAACTTTTCAATCTTTAAACTTTCTTGGGAGAGCAGCTGCCTCCCCTGTCCGTTCGCCTATGATTGCATGCTTTTCGCGTTTATTGTTTCTACTGTACAATGAGAGCTTTCGTGGAGAAACTGTATTCAATTGGCATTATGAAGTTGAACATGTGCGCTTATTTCACTGAACATATTGTGAAAGATTTTTTGACTTCGGTTGAAATAGATGGCCTAAGTTTCGTAGGCTAAAAATTCAATGTTCACTCATCCTTCGATTAATACAGTTATGCTTCAGTTCTTGAAGTAAACCTTAAAATATAGTGTATCTGATCTTTTAAATGTTCCTCTATACTCCACAGAAAACGTACTTGATAAAGTTACTTCAAAATTTCAAACGAAGTTTACGAAGAAAAAAATTTTCACTTTACGATCTTTTAGAAATTTCATCTCCATTGAAAACACGGCATTAGACGCACGGGTTTGAGAAAGAAGACAGAGTATGACGAATATCTCCATTCTCCAGCAAAAAGTTATTGCCGATGAAGTCGATACCGCAAGCACCCAACAGTGCTAGCAAATTCAACGATAGGCGGTGATTGCCACATTTAATATTTCAGAAATTTTTGATTCAGACATCTTTGTCCTAAAATCGTTATCGCTTCTATAGTTCTATTAAATGAACAAAGAGACCAGACAATACCACTTATTTCTTGTCGTTAAAGGAGTAATCTAATTGTTGAATAGTTATTTTAGCAAGACAGCAAGACCAGTAAAAAAGGTTTTCGAGTAGTACCATTTAGTCTTCCAAATTTAAAATACTACCGAGCAGGTCTAGATTTTCGCATGCCTCTTTTATGCACAATAATGTGAAAAGCTCTTTCAAAAAGAAGATACTTATTTTTTTAGTAAAATAAAGACTTTGTTGTGGTGACATATTTAAAAAACACTCCTTTAGCTTTAAAGACAGTTCTTTTAGAATTTTTGGGTTAGTTTTCTGGTTTTAAACAACTTTTTTTAAGAATTATTACGTTATTATTTTGACCATTCACCATGGTATTTGCTCTTTTTAAAACAAGGTTTTCACCTTGAGGTTATTCTTTGACGACTGCACGATCGACAACGACTGATTTATGAACTACATCTATACAAGTACATTTATTTTGACCACTAAATCAAGTACATATACATTATATACGAGCAATGTACATGCAAGTGATGCAAATTTGTTCAATGGATAAATGAACATAAATGAACATAAATGAACATAAATGTACATAAATGTACAATATCACAGGTTTAGATCACACAAAATCAGACATTGCGTCCAGAGGTTTGAGTAAACCGCTTTATCCGTTTTCAAAATTTCGTTTCCATTTTTTCTCACGAGAATAGGAATTGAAATCAGTCAATTTTTTCTTTTTTCCTTTTTTATGCATGTTTTGATTTGTTTTATTGGTCAAGAATTTTTTGTTTTGGAAATCATGGTATTAATGTATCTGTGCGTTGAATCACCGTACAATTTTCAGTAAATATGATATACCAAATGTATTATGTGTAATAATCAGAAACTTGACATATTTTGAAGACATCATGGAAATAGATGATAGATGAATAAAAATCATTCCACTCGCCCACGACCAAAAACAACATGGCGGACGGGAAACTCGAATATGAAGCTTGGTGTAAATTTCAATGAAACCAAACTAAACAGTAAAAGATTTCGATTCTATGAAGTGCAGGGAATGTTTTCACGTCTTAATAAAACGCTATGAGCAGAATTGCGACTCACGTATCGAAATGGTGCGTCACCTGCGTGGCAATTAACATCTCTAGTTTTAAGGGCCATTTGCCAATAAAAGAAGCCTTCAGACTTGTTATGACGCACATTCGTGAAGTTTAAAATTGTTCCGGTCAGAAGTTATTTGTAAGTGTTTATTTGAACAGGCAATTACTAGCTATCATAGTAAATAAAGCAAAGTTGAGAAAAAACGAAAGATTGACTACACGTGAGGGCTTGCATATATAGAGTTCTCGGAGATAAAGTTTTCGGACTTGCTTATATGCAAAATTATCTTCTATCATTCGTTTTGAAAGATAATAAAAATACCCTTTTCGGAAGTTTTTGTCCAATTTTTAGATTTTAATAATGCAAAAACAACTGTACAGTAAATAAACCGATGTTTTATCAACAGTTGAAAATTCTTTCGAATCATTTACTACACGCCTGGCAATCTAAGTATGAAAGACTGTATGATAATATATGATGACTTTCAATTCAAAGAGAGACACTGGTTGAAAGAACTTTCTTAATTATACAAAGATATTGCTCGCGAAGTGCTTTGAAAGCTCAAGTCGATAATTTATGTTCATTAAAAAAGGCATAAATGGTGCAAATTAGACAATCAATTCATCATCAAGTAAGTGCGTGTCTTTTATCTAAGCGTCTCAATGCGTCGAAGTAAATTTTATGATTCAGCAACATTGGGTAAATGAATTCTATTTTGTAAATAAAATAACAAAAATACACCAGATAAACTAAGAATGACGAGTACTCGAGTAGCATTTACCAGCGCGGACATACCGTAAAGATTTTCTTGTATTGCAATTGATATATCGTTGACAGTACGTATTTTATTAAACCAATTCACGCACACTCGAGGCGTGCTTGGTTTTGCTTGGACAAATGTCGGAATCATAGCTACCAACGTTAAATTTCAATGAACTTAAAAAGCAAACTCAAATAAGAAGTATCGAGAAATTATTTCGTGAAACTAAGCCTTTGTTGGCCTTGCTTACAATCTCATATCGCTCACGTCTTTCACATTTCACCAAGATTATTCATTATCGTTTAATACTGAATTCTAACCCACGGAATGTATTTGTCCCGTCGGACCAAAGGGTTAATGCACGAAATATACAAACGTACAACATTCCTTCTATTATATTTATAAAATTGTGTGTGGGTTACCTTAACGAAGTCCCGTACACCATCTTCACAAAGAAACCTCACAAAGCAGCTTTTGTTGGTTAACGGTTATAGTAATACCCAAGGATGAATCTTTTACCGCGACGGTATCCGCAACTAGTTTATTCACTATCTTTACTAAACTGTCCCATATTCGTTATTCCTCGTTGGGCACAATCAAGCAATACAGACATCAAAGACTTTAGTTTCCTAATATATTAATGTTAAACGCACTTGAGTTCGGCCCTTTAAAGAACTCGTAGTTTCCATAACGACCATTGAGTGCAATTTCCTCTGTGTATATATATGCAAACGAGTTCATTGGAAAATGACTGGAAAGACTTCCTTGTGTCTATACTCACATGACATCAAATGGTTCATACAAATAATCAAGTTACCCCAGGAACGACGAACTTGACTGTGAGAAACGGAAGACTGTGTGATTGATCAAGTGAGAGAGCAGAGCTTTTTGCAACCGATGACTGATGGTGAGATACGGGAAGAGAATAATTATTGTAACATGTGAAGGATCTAATGTCTGAACAACCCGCTTCTTGTTGCATCATTTTATACGCGATGCTCGGGTTTTATGACGCCAGAAAATCACAGTTGGATAAATATATTTGGAAGTGGCAAGTTTGGATGCAGTAAGTACAAATAGATAGCTGTTAAAGTGAAGAGTCTTGGTACAGTAAGGTACCACAGTTTCTTCATTTCAAGCGTCGACTGCCATAAGACCGGAAAGGAGGGGTAAAATACATTATGATCTTATTTATTAGAATAACAGCCAAAATTATATAACAATATAGTTATAATGTAAGCTCATACTATATATGGGGGTCGGAACACAATATCGCTCACACTGTTTATACTCGAGGAACACGCGGGCATCAAATAGAGCGCAAGACCAAACCGTATTTAGATGTACTTAATCACTAATACAACTTATGTGTTCTTATACAATAAGCACTTAGACGCAAACAAAAAATTTCCCATGGCTCAAAACATCATGTGACTGATTCAGACTGAATGCCACACCATTGTCAAGCACATCATGATGAAATACACAATGAATAATTCCATTTACAGGATATTGGGCATCAGCTATCACTTGGATGTCAATCCCGATAGACAGAAAAAAAGAGAATACTACGTATATTGTGATATCAATGCCACTGCTGGCAACAAAAAGGTTATTGAATATGTCAGTGCTTCATGTTGTGAATCCTGATATACTTGGAACTTTACACATTTCACCATAGTAATCGAGACTTTGCCTGTTCAAGCGAATCTGAAACCGTACAAGTTTAAGTTTTGGTGTACGAAGTTGCTCGATTCGTCCGTGAGAGAATAGTTCCACGCGATTTTATAGATATTGCTTCCGACTAAAAGAGAGCTCAACATTGAATCTCTTCTTAAATCATCTAATTGAGTCGACAATTTAATACTGTTGGCTCAAGAATTGTAAACGTGGCATAACTTTGTCACGTGCAACGTTGAATGTAAGCTCACGACATAGCAGAAAATGAAGTTTTAGAGTGATTTAGCAAACACGACGTTTCGTCTAAGACGTCGTAAAAATGGCGTGATATGCGCCTTTTACTTTTTAACCTTCACCTTTTTACACGTTTTAGCTTTTTTAACGTTCACTGTGATGTTGCAGAACCGTTTTGCGAAAATATTACAGTGAGCAAAAAAGTTAAGTATTGCTCTTAAAACAGTAATTTCGACATCATAGTTGAACGGTCGTACGTTCACCAGCAAAAGTTCTCAAAATAACTGCCGTGCAATTCCGGTTCGACGACGTAGCATTAAGTTATCATAAATGAGGCATACTAAAGACCACTATAAGTAGGACGCTTTGCTCCGATATCTCTAGGGTTCATTTTTGATACACTTCATATAAGTATGCGTATATCGCTACTCACTCAACAATTGCTTGTCCTCTTTTCATCCCCTTCATTCCACGATAATGATCAATAACCTTATCCTCGCTAAGGAAAATATGAGATGATTAACACGCGCAAATACTCGCAAAAGTGCTTTAGAAACTATAAATAAACGTGATAAGTATGGATACAATACACTCTTATGCATTTTCAACCATTGCAAATCTCTTATTAAACCGTAAAGATCACGGATTCTCAAACCACTCGAAAAATTGTTTCCATATAAACTAGCACAGATGATGAGTAATGGTAAAGTCGTGAGCACGAGGTTTTCTATTACTATAGGCGCGTTTCGTAAAGCAATTTCCTATAGCTAAACTCCAAAAGAATCAATTTTTACACAGACTCGATTCGCGCCCGATTCACCGAATTAACTTTCTGATTTATCTTATGCTTACCAATGTGTAAGGGATGGATGCTCTTTTAATGTTCTTATTGGTAGAATCGGTACTCTTTTCATGTCACTTCGAGTTGTTTCATCGCTATAAGCACACAAACAGAACATGGTAACTACAGATTGCAATAACACATTGACAAAAGTGTGTACACACGAATGGTTAAACATATACACTGATTTAGCCATGCTATTCATAAAAATAATTGCAAAGTTCAGGTACCGCAGAGTATTTTCCGTTGAGGGAGGAGGGAAACATAAAGCGCAAATAGGGGTCCGGGGGCGAATTTCAAAAATTCAAAATGGCGTCAAAAATTAGGAAGAGACTCTTCCCCAAGCCCTGCTGTACTCGCAATTTATCAGACAAGACATTCAACGCTATCATAGATTATATCCTCGGCAACTTTGTAGCAACTTTTAAAGTTTTGAGCAATTTTTGCGTTTTGACAAGCCTCAAGCAACTTTTATCGTTATCTTTACAAGTTTTGAGCTACAAATGAGCCAAAAATATTTTAACTTTTATAGCGTTAAATGCATGACATAAAAAAAGTCAAGGAAAATCAAATTTTTGCCTAATAAAATATATTGCAAGTGTTCTTCAAATCTTCAACTCTATACAAAGAAATAGTTTCCTGGAAGATGATTTAACATTGTTCGGTTGATTCTCATGGCCAAAACTGCCAACTATAGTGATAACAATTTTCAAGCCATGAATTTACTGGCGCAATCTCAAGGCCTACACATGTTGTCTATGACAGCATTAAAATGGCCTTAAAGTGGACGGCTTCTTGTCATTTTGAAGACGTTGTGTTCGCTAAATTATCTGATATGGTAAGAACGAATGGGCAAGAATTAGCAGCATGGGTACAATGCGACGTCACAAACACGTCAAAAACGACGTCACAAACACTCTCATTGTCATCAACAACATCTGAAGAAAGTTACTTACTTTGTAAAGTCACCAAATGTTGCCTAATAAAATAATACAAAAATAATTTAAACGAAATGAATACAAAGCAAAGATTTATGTCAACTAAAGACGACAAAAAAGATGTTTTGCAATTTCGAAAAAAGAGCTAAATCGAATATCAAACTAATTGATCAACCTGTTCTTCATGACACAATTAACCGCTGTTTCCAATTTGCAACAATTTGGAAACGAAATTTATATGAAACTCGACGAAAGAAAGAAATTGCTACGAAGCTAATGGGTTAAACAAAGCTGTTCTTGTCGTAAATATGTTTAGAGGCTGATGACGTATCTCGATGGCACAAATTATGTTTTAATCAAACCAGTATTTATCGTAAAATGATTGATTTTGTTTGTATGTTGCTTAGTAGGTAATCTTTTTATATGTCTCAACAATTCAGACATGTTGCATATGCTTAATCAGAAAACATGTAGTTACCGGTCAATACTGACGAACAGGCTTAAAAAATGTATGTATTCATGAAAAGAAATACGTATTGCATGAATATAACCTCGCACTTCAAAGTCATTTTTTCTGTTCGAAGTAAATTATTTTCCAGTTTTGATCTTTAAAACAATACCAACTCGAATTTTTTTGCGCGTTTTTGGCATGTAGCATTCAAAATAAACGATTTTCATTGAGAGTAAGGATGTGCGCTTGGAGAAAAATTTGAACGACACGTGTAGAAGGAGAGGTAGTCTGGGTCGAATCAAGTCTCTTCCTCTGCAGCTTAATTCATTCATGAGCTTGAAAATTGAAAACATCAATATTCCAACATACCTGTAGAACATAGGCGCCAAGTTGAAATACGACATTGCTGTCACAATGAATGTTTCCCTGCGGAAATTACAAGAAAATTAAAATGGAAGTTGAAAAGTAGCTACACAAGAAAAGAAAATGTTAGTGATTATCAGTGAACTCAATATTTAAATAACTGGATGATAACTGAAGCCAAAAATTGAACCCAAAAATATTTGTCGTCATCATTCGTCATCACTCGTGTTTCTCGCGTGTTTATAAACAATTTGTATTTTTTCAGATCCTAGATCTTTAGTTTGACCTCAGTTTTCATTTTACTAGTCAGTTTTATCTTCACGAAGAAAATCCTTTGAATTATATTTATTTCAATTCTACATCATCCTCAGTGCAAAAGTATATTACGTTTTCAAATAAACTAAAAGGATTTGTTGATATGAATTTTTATTCGACAAAATTTACATATAGTATGAAAACATCTTTAATATAGGTACTATATATTTTTGTCATACACAGTCGATCTGCTCTTAAGCTGCGATGTTGTTTATATGTTTATGTTTTTGGAATTTGTATTCAAATTTATATTGGCCGTGTATGTTTGGCACTCAGGAGAATGAAACTGATGTACAAACCGCGTGAATATTCTACTTTGAAGGACTGGAACTGACGTACAAACCGCGCTAGAGACTAGGACTTCAATTTTATATCTCTAAAATGTATTGTCGTTATCATTCCATATATATATATATATATATATATATATATATATATATATGGAGTTCACTGGTGATTACGAGTGATTATACGATATCTCGAGCTAAAAGCCGAAAGAAACTTGTTCTGCATATGGTTTGTGCAGGATTAGGTTGTAGTTTTTCACTCAAAAACATCGCGTTGTTTTTGCGATTAAATTCTTCGGCAAACGGAAAAGATAACACGCAGATGAATATGGCCTCGCGAACGTCACATTGAAATGTCAAATATTTAATGGAAACAAAGCGACATAATTTCGACAGGAAACGACCATTAATTTGTTTCAATGACTTCGCAAGTAGAAACATATGTAGCTGTTACATTACAAGCATTCTTTAAGTGATAGGCGTGTTGCTTCTTTAACACATTCAAATGAACTTTACTGCCGTGTGAAAACGTGGGGAGATTAACACCAAACAAGCATAAGCCATACAATGAAAGAAACTTACAAAGAATAAAGAATGATAAACTTTTTCTTTCATCTTAAATGGTACGCTATGATTTGTGAAACAAAAACCCATTCACAATTTCTAATCAAGGAGGGCATTTCATATCAACGACCACAATGATTGACTTTTTCATAGGCGATACGTATTTGGGCAAAAGATTGTATTAAAAATTTAACCTCAGCCGCCTCCGCCGTGATTATAGAGATGAGAAACATTTACAGAATCGATAAAAACGAGACAATCAATCAGTGCCTCCGTCCATGAATTTTATTATTAACATGCAGGAATTCCACGATCAACTGTAGTAAGACTGTGTCTGTGGCAAACCTCGATATGACTTATGTCTACCAGAAATTAAAAAACATCAGAATAGGAATGTGATGAAAGATGTAATGTGCATTTGTGAACTGTAAGAACAAGTTGGCATACCCTTTAGGTGGCGAAGTTTTTCAAAGTTGGTTCGTATTTTTTGGGGGGATCATTGCAGACCTGCTACACTGCCACTTAAAAGGGGTTGAAATAATCCAATAAACTGAATGAAAGCTGAGGCTAAATCACCGGAAGTCAAAATGAAATGTGTAAAAACATGGGCTCGAAATAGAACAAATATGACTGTTGTTAGACAGAATATACACATTGCATGGTTAAATTGCAAAGAACGGAAAAGATATGTGTCTTGGCATCTTAATGGGTTTATATTTTTTGTTGGGCTTTGAAATATGTCCGACACGAAAGGAATGAGGAACCAATGCCAAATTAACTGCAGTATCAAAAGACATTAATCATATATCAGTGTCAAGTTTGTCAGACGACATCGGTTCCCCGTGCTTGTCTGGTAGAAACAAGTGCGAGTTTCATATAAAATGCGAACGACGTGCATACTAACACAGAAATTAAGCATTTTTTGCTGTTGCATAGACTTTTTCGCAATTATATTTTGAATTGTAGATTAATTCTGCTTGTTAAAAATAAATTCACATTCCTTTGTGAAGAATCGATGCAAATCAAAAGAATTATAGTACACAGAAGTATGATGTGAATTGAATGAAAATAATTTAAACGTTAACAGAACGTTGATCAAAAACCGATAACTGAAATAAATGAACGAACGTAATGTATGTTTTGGGAATTGAAATCGAGAATGGATGTAAGGTAATGGATATTTGGTGAAATAAGATGTAACAAAAATATTTTTTAGTTGATCGACTTTTTGAACGAAGAACAAAAACAAAAACACTCACCCTGAAAATCAAAATTTTCGCTTGAAGATAAAATAACTCGACTGTGTTCCTCTCCCTGAAGTAGGTTATACTTGGTACGTAAAACCTTTTAAAAAGCAGAACACAAAAGTACGATCATCTGGAAGATTTGGATTCAAAAATAGTACATATAATCTCTATTTGAAGAGCCATTTAACTGTTTGAAGAAGTCATCTGATAATATGTTGGGTCCACGAGTGGATAACATTTAGACCTTATCTTGCTGCATCCTTTGACATGATAAAAAGCATCATGCAGTTGCAAACACTGTATTTTTATTGCACATGTATTTTTAAATGTAAAGTCACTACGGAGAAAGATTCACCATGTTGGTTGACATTTATATAGTAAACTTAACCAACATAGTGGCCATTCCATAACACGTACCTTTCATAAACATGTACATGTTTTGCAGATAAAGATATAAGATATTGAAGGTAGCAAAACTTACCACAAAATGAACTTGCAGATCTGATAATACTTCACATACAAAGTTCTCAGACCACAGAATAATTTTACTTGCAAGATTTATTTACATTAACAACTTATTATTTCTTCATAGGGAACAATATTTGGCACCAGCAAATGATCTGAAAGATATGCTGCATACTAAACATGACATGAAGTACTTACTTGACAGCAAAGTAGAATAAAATGGGATCAGCATATCTTGGTACATCATGATCAAGAACCTTACGGTCGGGACTCAACCAGTTAATATTCCCTCTATCAAAATAAAAGAATGTTTTTTATCAGGACATGCATTAACACACGCTGAACTTTTAACACCAAATAATGGGGAAGGTAAAAAAAATAAACAGGTGTAAATGCCATCATATAGTAATAAATATGTGGTTTGAGCTCTGTTTGCCTTGTAAGCAACATTATACGTAAGCAGGCGAAAATTATCTTGAAGACATAGCAGTACCGACACAGAAGCTGCAAATGCTGTACGCACGATTAAGCACAATACACAAAGTTTCTTTGTCAAAGAAGAACACATTATTGCAAACAATAAAAATCATTGCAAAAGATTATTGTGCCCTTCAGTCAAAGACAAATCGCATGAGCATCATTATTCTCCGCGCTATGTGAAACAGAAATACTCAAGCTTATCGATGTTTTTATGCCAAGCGAATACATGATTTATAAGTGCAGGAAGCGTGAAGACCTTATTAGAATATTCGAAGCACGCACACTAGCTGCTATCGTGTTTGAACTTTAAACCACAGCCGCATAGCGCCAATTGCTTTGTCCGACTGTTGTGACAACAGAACATTTATATTATAAAAAAGTAACGATGAGATGTTTTGATTCGAGACCGCTCATGCGAGAGTGGTAAAGCCCTAATAACAGAGTTGAGCACCTTTGGATTTCTATCGAAGTAAATATGTAAGGCAAAGCAACATTTATGGTAGAAAAATGTTTGAAGAACACACTTCCGTCTGAAGTGGTCGAGTCATGCTAAAAACAACAAAGAATTTGCATTCCTACTCTTGTTTCGAAGACGTATAAAAAACTCGAAACACGGCGTCCTGTGAAAGTTTGTTTAAACGTATGTACGAAACACACTGTTTATGTCTGCTAAACTGTAAAGTCCATCAAATTGATATTTACAAACGTACGTGAACAAAAATGCCTAGAACGTCATATTAAAGGTCTAGAGATTCTTTAAAACATACACCAGTTAACTGGACAATGTATCCTATACTGACAACCTCTTGTGAAAGTATGTCTAGTTGCCTCAAATCATAAAAGAACTGCCCAATATCAAACGATTAGTGATGTCAAGTGTCGTTGGAGGAATGTCATAGATTATAATATTGCATAAAAGCAAATCGAAAATATGCACAAAATTATACAACGTACATGTCATCCGTATGATACAATCCGAAATATACTTTCTCGCGAAGATTAAAATGCGATGCGACCATGTCCAAGAGATCTCTTGTCAGAAGTCCTGGCTTTTTGACATAAACAGAAAATACTATTAGTCCAACAGTTCTGTTTCGCTCTAAAGAAATATAACTTCAATCTTAAACGTACCTGTACAAGAAATTCGAGTTTACGCTCGTTTAGTAACACAACTTGAGCTTTTCGCGGCACGCGGGCATCGGTCATTTTTGAGTATATAATTTCTTCGACAGAACATTAAGATATTTCATTCTGTAAATTTCAAGGAAATTTACAATGTCTTATGCTAGAGCCAAATACTGCGAGAAGAATCCATGTATAATTGAGACAATACAAAGCATTCATAACAACGATTGCTGACTCGATCGCATCTTTAATCGTTTCCGTTTCTCACGAAAATATGCTTCATTAGAATTCCGTCCCAGAACGCACTGCGCTCGAATTAGCTTAAAATATTTTTGCGCCCATCCTGCGTTTGATCAAACCGTATCGAACACATTATTCACACCTAAAAACAACATTCGAATTTTAATTATCGGCAAGTTGCAGCTTCAGCTTCCTGTTCTTTATTGCGACAAAACTTACTTTATACTATGGCTACGATAAAAGTTTCAATTATATTCTCTTTTCAGAAGTTACACTTCTTGCACACTTGTCATATATGACGACGAACAACGGTGATTTATGCAAAGATGATTAAGTTATTATCCGAAAGCGACATAAGGACTGCTATAAAGCGGTGTTAGATATGTACGTAAGTGCTTTAACATATGGGAAATCCGTATTGAAAAAATACTTGGATGAACTCTCAGATGCGGTCCACCACATGAAATTACTCTCAGTGAAGACAGAAAAAAAGTTGACATAATCTTTGCCGCCAAAGTATGTAAGGCACCCTCCACAGCAGCCAATCAGATTACTTGACACCTTAAACTCTTGTAGAAAATCATCACGCGGCCTCTCTCGGGAACTTCTTTACCTCAGTAAACGCGCGATACAAATGGCGATCAAAACACCAGCTTTCATCCTGAAAATTAATCGAAAGCAGAAATTGAAAAAATAGTAGCGACATTACAGGTAACTTATACACATAGCTATTTTAATGCTATCGGGTTACACCAACTTCATTATACGACGTAGCTACATAGTGAATTACTTTGCAAATGTACCACCTTCAAAGCATAAAAAATACATGCTGCAGAAGCCATAGAAGAACACGAGAAGAAATTAAATTGTAATAATATGAGTTTGCAACCATTTTGTCCGTGGCTAAGCCAGACAGCGATATTTACTCCTGCTATGCAAGTATTTTTCTTTCCGTTTACAGGAAAACAATGAATGAAATTACATTTCTGAAGAGATGAACACGATAAAAAGATTTACATAGCTGCAGTAAAACTTCGGTAGGCTCACCGAAAGATATTTTGCACTACATATAGCACAAAAGTTTCTTCCATAGAACTTGCTTCTAACATGGCTAGCCTGACAATTGAGTGGTGTTGGGGGGTATTCAATACTCATACATGCATGTTACACTCATTAAAATTAAAAAACAATTAATTTTAATGGCTTAATAAAGCTAAACGTGTGTTGCATATGAATGGTGCACCCACTAATTAAAGAGCTGGCAACGCTACAACTTTAAAATTGAGACCATCAGAACAAGGTGTATGAACAAGAACTTTAGAATTGACGTATTGTGACAATTTCAATGGCTATCATTATTCTAATCCCACTGGTGCATGAAGTATTATCAGCAAACGTGAAGATATATTACTTATTTTTCTTACTAACACTAAAGCTCGTGGGAATATAATGGCAATGTAAAAGAATTTCTAACAGCAAAACACGGACATTAATGCGGCTTTCGATACTTAGCATAAAGGTGGGTCATTGAAAATCCACAATAGATAATTTTTTTCCTTATTTTTATATGCCTTGCCCAGGTTAACGCCCGCGTTTCCTTTTTGCCACATGCTACTTACAGGTTCGACAGTATAAATAGCTTTATGTAAATAATGGAAAAAAAGTAAACTATTGCCTTATATGCCTTCTCACGGTCGCCTACTGTTATGTTTTCTTCAAATATAAGCCTTCATGTCTCTTTAAGTCTAATGGACGTGGCCTATAATATGAGGTGTGGTCGCTATTAAAAGGAAAGGCCAATGTGTAAATTGCGATATTTTAAAGTTACATTTAATTTAACAACAACTTTCTTTAATTTTTTTATTGCAAACATGTTTCGGCAAACTTATGCCATCTTCAGTGCGGTATAATGAATGAATATTTGAATGGATTAATACAAAAAGAAATCTGATACAAGACATGAGTATAGACAAAAGGGATGGAAGCGGAAGTTATTTACAGTTATGTAGTGATTAGAGGTGTTAAGTATTTACAAGTTAAAGATAGTATTGACATGCTGAATTTGTTTGTTAAGATTAGGCTTGAGTTTTTTTATGTACAGTGCTTCTTTTAGTTTTAAAGAAGAAGGAGTGTGGGCATTGTCTAATATATGAAAGCAGGATTGTGAGTATTTAGATTTGCAATGAGGTGATGAGAGGAGGTGTTTAATTATGTGAGAGTTTTTATCGGAAGTGGTATGCTCTTTAATCCGTGTGGAGAGGTGGCGGCTGGTTTCGCCAATGTAGCGAGAATTACATCCCGAACAAGAGAATTCGTAAACCACATTGGATTTTGAAGAAAGGGATGGGGTCTTTGAAGCGGAAGAAGTTTTTGATTTTAAAAGAAGAGTTTTATGTCTAAGTTAGTGCAGTAACAAAGTAAATGGTTTGAACCCGGGAGTATCGTTACATGTTTGTAAATGTAGATCGTCCAGGTTGGTATAGTCCTTGGTATAGTCCTGGACGATCTACATTTGGACGTTTTTGTTGTTGTTGACTGACGTTTCGACAATCTTAGCGGTAGTTTGTGCATCATAAAGAACATCGAGAACAACAAGAACATCATCTTACATTTAATTATAATAAACTAAGAAGATATTAAGAAGAGGACGCTATGCTAATACGTTGTTGTACAACAAGCAAATTTAAACAAATTATTTTGAAGACTATGTGTTGTATATAATTGATATTTACAAGCTACAATATAACATTCTATGGCACTTTGCACCAGTAGCAAAGCGAGCTCGACTTTTTACTCCCGCTGTGAAAATATTACTTCGTTCACTGACCGTGAGAACTATACATTTCTAAAGACATGAATAATGTGATCTTTCAGAATTAACAATAAGCATTTTTTACGCAGCAGTCGTTATGTCGAGTTTAGAATCGGTTTCTAGCTTTACCGAGGGTTCGTACGGTTGTCCTGATTATAAAATGGAAGACGAAACATTTGAAACGATATCAAATTTGCGGGTGAAGTTGGGAAGTCGCATCTTATTTTTGAAGATGAAATTATCGCATACGCAAACGAGCCTCTAGCTGACGAATTGTGGATTGAAGAATATGAAAGACGAATGGAAGCGCGACGAAGAGAAAAAGAAGAATTAAGCCATTTAAACACTATATATACTTGGTTCGATGTAATATGCCCGTTACATCGTGTCGATGAAAGTTGTTTGCATCACAACATAAACAATAACTAAACATCGAAATTACTGGTTCAGGTGCACATGTTTGAATTGCCTTTACGAATTGTTGGTTGATCAGTGCTGCTACTCAGTATATGCACATTTCCCCCAACAAAACTTTATTTCCCCCCTACTTCCCCCTACGACCATTTTCCTTGTTTTCCCCTATTTTCCCCCTACACAACAACATATTCCCCTATTATATACCTATGTCGGGTCAGACCACTTAATTTTTTAGTCTGTTTGTAAAAAAGTGAATACGAAAAAAATTCAAAAACATCTGGACAACAGAGTTAGTAATTTGGCGTAAGACGTTGTGACGTAATGACATGCAAGTGACGGAAATGACACATTGTGTTTATGCTAAATTCTAATCGTCTATTGCCATATATGGTCACAAAATGTTCCAACAGTAAGTTTCTGTTACAATTACTTCTTAAATAGTGAGAACACAGGTATAAAAGAGTATTTTGGGCAAAAATGAGAATAGACATTCTCATTTTTAAACAATTTTCTTTTCTCCCTACAATCCCCCTACATTTTACAGGTCTCCCCCAATGTTTCCCCTACCACCTACAAACCACTAAATCCCTCTACTGTAGGTGATTTCCCCTACGAGTGGTAGCACTGTGGTTGATGCAAGAGAATGTCGCTGCTGTGATGAGATACAGAAGCTCATTCAACTAGTCCTAAATTTACAACTTGAGTGCGTGACACACGAGCGTATGTACACAAAGGTCTTCTTTATCTGGCAACATTTGATGTTGTTGCATACAGTCTCATTTGTTTCATTTTCTATTTCATATTGAGGACAACCGTACGCGTCCTTTTGAGCTCTAAATAGCGACCGTTTATTAAGAAAATGCAATTTCCCCCACTAGTTACCTCAATTGTAATTCAATTTATCTTAAATGACGAAGGACGGGCTCCTGAGACCCAGTCACCTAAGACGACGGAAATTTTTACAATTTTCCATCTTTAAAGCTTTGATTTTCAAAAACTATTCAAATCAATCAAAATATATTTTGAAACTTTTTACGCTCTATTGAAAACCATAAAAATCCTGTAGGTGATATAGGCATTTTAACAGATGTTACCTATGTTGTCACGAAGTCGGAGGAATCCAGTCTCATGCCTGACACGGTCAACTTGTCTTTGATCACGGCCATATCTGAAGAAGACATTCATAAAAAAATAAATATTAAATGACGAAAACAGTAAAGACTTAAAAAAAATTCCGATCAATGTTGTCTTTATGTTTTATGATGACTTTGAAATAAAGTCAAAAATTTATCAGCCAGCAAGATGTAGCCCTGCTACGTAAATTCTACAACATAACCATTTTTCTTTTCTTTAGAAATATATTGTTTTATTAAGTGAGTGAACACAGAAAAATTTCCACCGCAGGACGCTGTAGGGAACCAGGCAGAGCGCTGAAGACAAAGGAGTCTGAAGTTTACGACATCTAACTTCACATTAACTCGATGAAACAGTAAAAAATTCCACCTCATTAGAAAGAATACAACCTTGCTTTATCTGTTGATTTTCAAACATAAGCTCTTGATTTGTTGCCGAGAGGAACACAGCGTCCTGTATGGCTTCTTCCAGAAGAGATCTGTAACGTTGCTCGATCGCCGTCTTTTGCTCTTCAAACACACTTCGATAATTCCGAAAAGTCTGTGAAAAACACGAGCACTCAATGAACGCTATACACCGACCGATTGCGTATGCTGTGGTGAGCACATATTTGCCGTAAGCCACTTTTACCTGAAAGTTTTGTAGTTGCTGTATCTCAGTTTCTTCCTTGTGTTGCTTACAAGCAAGCTCAAGATCGCTCTGTAATCTTTTCTTCTCGTTTTCAAGGGATTGAATCTGAAGAAAAAACAAAGATATCACTAAAAAGATCTACAATTCGACAATGCACCTGACTTGCCGTGCACGTTTTAAGTGACTTGCCGTGCACGCTTTTAAGTGACTTGCCGTGTACGTTTTTAAGTGACTTGCCGTGTACGTTTTTAAGTGACTTGCCGTGTACGTTTTTAAGTGACTGCCGTGCACGTTTTTAAGTGTACAATATACACCTTTACCAAATAATTAAAATGAGTTATGGACAAAATATTGTGTGTAATGTAAACCTATAAACATGTAGCAAGCAAAAAAACTCCTGAAGAATCAAACATTCGAGTTTTTTCATCCATTGACACAACTCACGTCATAAGTTTGATTAAACGAGAAAAAAGAATGCACAATACATACCTTTAAAGCCATCACAGCTCGTTCCGCCTTCAGCTCCACAATCTCCATTTCAAGTTGAACGCCTTCTTCAGTGCTGTATGCCGTACCTTCGGCACTTTTCAGCTATATTTCAAGGTAAGAGATAAGTCATTGGTACGGGGTCCAGGTGAGGTGGCACACGAAGCAATCTGGGACTGCAGGGGGCAAAGCGTTGTTGGCATAGCAACAATCCAAAAATGCTTTGAATGCTGCAATTATTATGCTTCTCATACTTCAATACAATCCAATAAACATAATGACGAAATAGTTTTAGAAAGCTCCGCCAAATACTTATTTAACAGCATGCCGGACCCGAACCCTAAACTTACTCCTAATCGTAACCTAGCTTGATTATTGTTGGAAGTCTTTGAGGCGAGGTACTTTTAAAAGTATGCCTAAAAATGTTCGAATGCAACCAGGCAAAAGATGAAAAGCTTCGTTCAACCATATATGAAGCAAGGAGTAGTGGAAGAAAAAGAGTGGAAACTATTTGAGTAGTTAGACCGAGAAGTATAACACTTAGTGGACATTCATGTAATGATAAAAGTCAATAAAAACACAAAAATTTAGCAAATATAGAGTCATCCCAATGAGTAGCCGTACGTCTATGTGGTAGCAAAGTTAAGTTTAAATATAAAAAGCAGAAAGGTGTCCTCAATTGCTTTCGTCCTCAAAGGAATTCGAGGAAAATATATAAAATAATTGCAGCACCTCACCGTAATCTCCTTTCAAAATACTAATGCATATGCACAAGACATTGTCAGAAAATATTATTGTACATGGACAATGTTGTTCAAACCATAGAGATTATAAAATTTGAAAAGCATATTTGTTTACTTCGTGTTTGCTAAGCAATACATCTTGGACTTAACTTTGCCCCCAACTGCTCCAACTCTCGCGTTCCCTAAATTCGCCATCAATGCTATCACTAGTATTATTTGTAATCTCTATGGCTCCATCTATGTACCAACAAACCTGTATGTCTGCTTTTTCTTGTTCGCTCTCCATTTTAATGCGGTCAGCTTCTTCCACCAAAGTCGCAGCGTTGTCCTTCTCATATCTCTCTCTGTTTTCACTCTGTATAAGAAAAACGTTTTGAGATAGCCGTGTGTAGGGCTTTTCAGTATAAGAAACTAATATTTATTTTTCACCCTCATTACTTTGTTAGGAAGGGTGTCGCAATCCATGTTGTTTTAAGGAGGGATTGACTTCAGACTTTTATGAATTTGTCGAATAAATAGCATTTAGACAACAGCTTCAAATTTCTCGTCTGCACATACCTACATACCTAATCATACATACCTGAAGACGTTGTCGCAGTTCTGTATTTCCTTTCAAAAAAGATGTTTGATTTCTCGCCTCCTGTCATAAAGCAAAGATTTGACTCAGTTCTTTATCGTACACGTACCTAATTTTTTCATTCTTGAGTCAACAAGAAGGTGACGTTTGATTATAAAAACATAGAAAGTTTGACTGTATAGATGGTTTGCCCGTTACGCCACGGCCGCCATGTTGGTGGTCAAATACAGAAGAATATTTTATCAAGTCTATCGTGGGCACCAGCAGTCGTGGGCACCAGCAGTCATGGGCACCAGCAGTCATGGGCGAGCCACATTATTTGACAGTGGATGTTGGTTGCATTCCAAGAATTATGGCCGAATACTAAAAGATCAATTACGCTAACACTCGTTGAGTGCAACATAAAAATCACGCTCTCTCTCATAATTGGCAAAGTCATTTCTCTAGCGAAAAATTACTTTCGCCATAATACTTCAAATCCAGCAATCGGAGTAGTTAAAATACAGTCTTCGAATAGTTACTGCGAGTGTGAGTGAACTTTTAGAATGCGTACGAGTATTGCAGACATTAAAATTAGAAAATTTTGCAAGGAGACATTTTAATCCCCTAATATTTTATCTCATAAATTTCAGTTGACTTTCATAAAGCTCAATCTTTTTCACACCAGTGTAATCCCACAAATTTGCACCTTATTTACATTAGTCATTCTTCCTAATTTTCCAGCTTTCATGAGCAAACCTTGAGAACAATCGAATTAAACATGTTTTTCAATATTTTCCCGATTCTAGGAATCGCTCCATTTTTTGGGGCAAATCGTAAAAATTTTTTGCCAAAATCACATGACAAAAGCATCAGTTTTACAGCTATGATATGATAAGAAATTAAGAATAGAATACGTTTTAATTATTCTTTTTAAAGGACACATGTTTTCATTTACATGGACGCATTTCACTGATCGACAAGAACACACAGTGTGTTAAAAAAAATTTACTTTCGTGCCTCGCGGAACAAGCCTAACATATAGATTGTAATAAAGTAAACGTCAAGTTAGCCGTTTATGTTCTCTGACAATGACGATGACGAATGAACCAGACAACAAATACGGCAAACTTGGCCCTTACTCCTCACTTGACTCTGAAGATAACTACCACTAAGATTGTCAAAACATCAGTCAACATCAATACCAACAGTCCTTCTTAGGACTCTGACTAACCTGGACGATCTACAAGTACAAACATATTACGATTGTGCATTACGATTGTGTAGGCAAGATGACTTGAATGTTTGAAATGACGAATTCGAATAGGCACGTGACGTCTGACGTCTGTCGCCTACTTAAAACATTACGTCCAACTGAACGTGTTTTGATGTAGAACTTATTACTTATGTAAGTACATGCAGTAAGAATGGAAAACTTGCACCGTTTGGAAAAGCACTCAAATTTAGAAAAACTTTCGAAACCGTGCATGAATGTAACTTCGAGAGCAACGAGTTTAAGTGTACTCACGTCTTTCTCGATTCTTTGCTTTTCCTGATTTTCTTTCAATTCATTTTTGATCTTTTTTAAGTTATCATTCTCGTGTTTTAATCTGTCCTTCATTCCTTGAATTTCGACTATTTTGCTTTTGCTTTCTTCCTCTTTGTTTTTACCTACACAAACCGCGATATTCAATGTTCAACGTACAACGTTCCAAAAATTGTCAAACGCCTAACGAATCCGAGGAACATAATAAGCAGATACCTATTTCGACGAGTTTTGAGTATTCCGTGATTTTGTTTTGAAGATTGTCCTTTATTTCGTCCACCGTTCGTCTACGTTCTTTATATTCAATCGTTAACTTTCGAAAAGAATAAAAATGAATTCGATCAATAGCATCAATACAGTTTAATCATACAGATCAGTGTCATACTCTTCAATGTCCGAATCGAAGCAGCATTTGAGGAGTTGAAAAAGAAAAATTCATAACGAAAAGAAACGAATTGCTGTTGAGTACGATTATTAAGTAAATGAATTATTCAATTGTAAATACTACAAAACTCCATGGATTAGAAAAAAGTTGAATGATTTTCTTGTTGAAAATCGCTTCATTATCATGCTTGCTTCACAAGCGTTTCTTTCAATAAAACAAATTATGTTATATAGCTGTACCCGATCTTTTTCCTTGCGCAATGCAGAAAGCTTTTCTTGTATTTCTTGACTCTCTTTCTTCACGGAATCGAAAACCCAGCCGAGAATACCCTTTAGCAGAGAGAAAAATTCCCCTGTGTTAGCACATTCGCAGATAAAGTAAAGTGAACATTTGAAAGGTATATTTCACGTAATATCCTCTAACGTAAACATTTTGAGGTTTTCAGTAGGTTTAAATTTCCACAAAAGAAATGACCAAATAGTCAAAAAATTTTTTAAATAAAACAATATACAACGTATTTCAATAAAAAGCAGCTTTTGTGGGTGCTACTTTATAAAAAACTGATGCGCCGTTTAAAAATTTTGTGTGGTCTAGGCTAGCGTATGTCGGGAAAAATAGGGTAACTCTCTTGAGCTCGGATAAGAAATTTTTGAATCTTTTAACGGAGAAGTCTTTTGTTGAACTGTACGAAAATAAATCAGTTGCCGACTGTGTTCAGTGAACTGTGAAACAGCACTATTTCAGAGATCAAACCTCGTACTTTGATGAATAAACTGAAACCAGGGGCGGATTCGGGTATAGGCAAAATAAATCACTTCAACTTACTGATTGGTTAATCTTTATTCTTTTGAAATTTGTAACCAATTGCGTTTATATAAAGGTACTTGAAATTTAAAATTAGGAGTTATAAATTAATTATAATTTATTTTGCTTAAGCTTGGATCCGCTACTGACTGTAACCTGTACCTTGTTTGCTAAATGCATTCGTCTCTCCTCTTCATAACGATGAGAGAGACGTTCCTTCTCCTCCCAAGTCTGTTTCTTTGCAATCTGAAGCTCGCGAACTTTTTCCTAACGTCAGATAGAGCTATTGGTATCACGTGATCAAAAACATCACTGAAATTAATGCACACGAAATGCATCAATTGGATCGATGCTGGAAAGAAGGATTTCTATTAAAGCATACGAGTTCACCAAAATAATTCATCAATGCAATACCCCGGAGCCTGGAGCCGCTTTCACAAGCAATGTTTGGCGCTACATATCCTTTAGATTGATCAGATAGACAACTTATTTAATATGATAAAGGCAAAAGTAAGAAAAATGTCACTTTTACGCTATGTTCATTTCAGAGCATTATCCTTACTCATTTTTGTAGAAATTCATTGTTTCCACTGAGAGTGAATAAACGAATGGACCTGCGTATGCGGACCATATTTTCGGGCGGGCTATGCCACAGTTCGGAACAGCATTTCGCAGTCAGAAACCAAATCGCGCATTTTTTAAAATCTTCTTGTTTGTTGAAAAGGTAAAACCTTATTGCAGCTGTTTGTTGTTTGTCATTTGAGTAAAATCATCATGGAGACATCCAGTTGTATATGAAGTTCAGTTAACATATGCAAGTGTAAAAAATATATTATGACTGTAGCATTTGATACCTACCTCCATATGAAGGACATCTTCTTCATCTGGATTCCTTCCAAAAGTTTTATCCATTAGCTTATTGCGAAGACGCGAGATCTCGACGCGTAGCTCCTCAATAATCTTCGTGCTGTCAATCTGTGCACGAAAATAAAAGGTTAAGGAGAATTTAATTTAAAGTTGAAAAAGAATGGCAACATTATACACGCGAGGAACATTTTCACTTACCTTATTTTTCGTCAAAGTGTTTCGTATCTTTCTTATTTTCGATGCTATCTGTAAGGTCGAAAGGCTTTCATGGAAATCAGCATCTGCATAAAATATAGGAATAGAGACCATAATAATGTACAATGGAGGCAGGATTTACTAACTACTTCACTTGTGAAAGATACTACAGCGATGGAGACTCGTATCGACAATTCAAAACTGATACTGATACTAAACTAATTTTTCAAATAATCGCTTGTAGCCGACAAAAATTTGCTTAAAATTTTACTCCTTGCGTTAAAAATATAAAATCGAACGCTTCTTAAAAGTGAAATTGAACAAGGCTTAAATGATTGCAAATTCTTGTAGCATTTGTAGCAAGAGGTCTGGAGTGCTTTTCACTGGATTCAGTAACGTCGTCAGCTCAATAAGTGAGGGGGATTTTATTCATAAATGCATGTTTTTCCCTATTGAGTTCTTTTGAAAACTATTATTTCTAAGCTCTTAATAACCGAGCGCGAGGTCTTTACGGAGAAATAACAGACCGAGGTCTTTTTGTACAGACCGAGCCCGTAGGGCGAGATGATTGATTGCTGATTTAAACTCGACATGTAATATGAATAGAAGCACCTTTAGGCGTGAAGAGTCTACGATTATTTATTATTTTTACTAATCAATACTAAAAAAACCGGACGACACACAGTGTGAATAACCACATACATATGCACTGCGTTTTGAAAAAAGGCAACGACATGGATGTTGAACATGTGGAAAGGAGTATATATTTCACAAACCTGCTGGTGAAATAGCTGCGATGAAATAAGTCTGACTATTGCCACCAAACGATTCCTGTAAGAAAACTGGTCATTCTGTATTTTGATCCCATTTTTTGTTGGTTGAAAACATTACATGATGATAACGATTAAGCACAAAAACAATAACCCAAAATGATACGGCCCGCTGTAAAGCAATTATTTTGCAAGAAAAGGTTTTCACCATATTTATTGGCTTCAAATGCAAGCGATCTCCAGAAACGATCGCACATAAAGTTGAGATTTCGATTATGGCTTCTTTTCGATGGTGGTCTGCATATGCACAGATAAGCCACGGTAGGAATGCTGACGCTATTTGCTAACACTGATATTTCGCGAAATTTTAAAGACAATGCTCCAATACCTGAAGCACATTTGTAAGTTTCGCTTGATCGTAAGCAACTTGACTGGATTCATTCAAATCACAAGTAGACGATATCACGTTGATAAATGACGTCATGCTGAAAACAAAGATATAAAAACAAAATATTGAAGCAAACTTTTTGCACATGACTAAATTGAGCACCCTATTCCACTCGTCTTGAGCAAACGTTCACTCACTCACTCTCTCTCTCTGCGAAGCAGAATCGCTACGATTTTAATGTCGAACAGGTAGCTTCAAAAAAATTACCTTTTTTCCACAAAATTTTCTTCTTGCTGTTTTTGAAGCGTTTCAGGAAGGTGATCGGAGTCTAAGAAAGCAAATACAAACGCATTAGGAATATTGACAAACACTGCACCACCCGAATTCAACAAAACAACATTTTGCGATTATTTGCTTGCAAATATTACTTGCACACTGATCACTTTAGCAACGTTTCCTGTTCAGTTTTGTTTTTATAAACCCTGTAGTGTGTAGGTTCAAAGTAACATTTCACTGGTGTTGTTGAAATAAAAAAAAATCAATCTTTCTGCAGGACGATACAAAATGATTTAGTAGACACCGTAACAGAACTTGGGTAAGTGTAAAAGCCGCTTGTACGTACCGTTGTTTTACCACACACTCCACTCTTTTTTCAGTATATTATAATATGACATGCAGCTTTAAATGTACAAAATACTGAACTGTAATTTTTACATTGAACGCTGAATGGGGAATGGGTGCAGTCATAAAATTGAGATGCAAAAATGATAAATGGCGGTGAAGGGTGGGCACTGAATGACACTGTACAGTAACTTTAAGCTGGGAGGATAAGTCGGGAGTGAGTGTCGTATTTCAACAGTCACTCAAATCTGTTTGAGCAAACATGAAGAAAAAATAACATTAAACGGGTCTTTTCACGCTTCAACAAGGCGCATGCAGCTATCATTAGTCTTACAGTTCAATATTTTAGTTTCAATCTCCTTTAGTAGATTGTTATACGCCATTAGTTTCTATTGAAAAACAATCGTTATTATGAACAAAAAATACGTATAACTACATAATCCCCCTTCCCCAGACTATATACGTTGGCTACGCCATTAATCGCCACAGTTTCGGCTTCAAGAAACGACAACGCATTCGTTTTAACCCTTACCTTTTATTACGAATAAAATTTATTTTCTCCATAATTTCGCAATTAACGGTTGAATAATGCCATTTCAATCATTCCGATAGCTTTTGCCGACTCAAATTTTTAGGAAGCGTTCACTGGCCTTTGCAATAAAGCTTTGTTTTCGACTCCTTAAGCGGCCAAATAGTTACAAGAAATTTTCCGTTATCAGTACGACTGAACAAAAAATACTTTACTCGCTCAAGGTAATCAATGAATCTCCACGTGATTATCCGGCGGTAATAATCATCTTAAGTCCGGTTTTCATATAATCGTCTCGATCGTCCTAGTCGTCTGAAAATGTGCTGGGATGATTAGAGCGATTTTATGCAAACATTTTCGAGACGATCGAAAAAAACAAGGCGATAAAGTGAGTACAATCGTCTGGACACTCTGTTCTATCCAGACGATTGCGCGAAACGATAAGACGACCCAGACGATTATATGAAAACTGGGCTTTAGTTTACCTCAGCTTTAGGTAACATACTTGTCAAACACCCTACCTGCAAGGTTTGCAACTGTTAATTTAGCTTTAAAGCCAAATTGTTCTTGTTCACTAAGATCTTTGTGTTGCACGTCGACCATAAATAGCAAATTACCACGTCTACACACGAGAAATACAACTACGTTCGATTACATACATCACGCAGTACTTTGTAAGGTGTATGCTAGGGTTTTCGATTGAGCTTAAATTTACAAATGAAACGTACACGATATTGTGCCGATACCGATATTTTATGCCATTTCACGAAACTCAAACATCATAAAGTATGCCACTTTGTGCTCACCAGTGACCACATAATAGGAAATGAACAGAAGGCCAACTTAGTGTCGTAGCCTTCGAAGTCAGTGTCCCCGCGCATGTCGCATTGCGCATGCTTGAAATTCGACGGCGCCATTACTCTGGCAAGTACTGGCTGAGGAATTTGTATATAATTGTATTGTGCGAGAACATTAATTTACACATTGTGAAGGTTTACTTTTGAAATCTGCGTTCTAATTATCAGAACTTCAAAATACATTGTAAATACTGTCAATTTGTCTTTAAAAGCGTGATTTTCTTACACAAATATTCCATTGTACTGTGTAATATATAGTAGTTGGCAAACGCAGTACTTGCCTGAGTAATGGCGGATCTGACGTAAGCGCATAAAAAATATGCGACACATTGCACCCCTGAGTTGGCCTTCTGTTCATTTCCTATCCTGTGCCAGTGACTGTCCATTTAATAAAAAAATGTATAGATCAAGTTATTCACCCTGCAGCCATATTTCACAACACAATTGTCAAATGAAAATTACGTAATATCATGTGGAACTAACAAATTTTAAGTAGTAATTGTTAAGGTAATGAATTTAGTATTGTTAAACTACGATTCATTTCAATTGCATTTTCAAAATTTCTAAACGTCGGTATTATGAGCATAAAAAATACCGATACCCATAATTCTATTTTAGAGCCGACACGCCAACATCGGCGCATCACTATTTAGGTTTACTTCTAGCTTTAAATATCAAAGCAAGTTTCAAGTACAAGATGTGTAGTCCCTGCGGATCAAAAATGGATATAATTGGGCATGTCTGCCAAGTTTTTTTCTTAATTTTCACGTCAGTGATTTTTACAAAATAAAAGTTTAGCGCCAAAAATTGTACTTTGGAGTTCACGAATAGCGTTAGAAAAGGTTCAATCCTCCAGTTTTGGTCAAAAATTTCTGTTCATTCATTGGTGCTATCTCATTAATTTGAATTTCTAACAGGAAGCTTGTTCTTGTAAATAACGTGAAGGCCGAAATGGTGACAAAACTGACTTTCGCGCAGCAACAAAATTATTCAGAAAACATCACAACAGCACTAGGCAAAATGCAAAAGATTTTGTACAGATCTTGCGCGCTTTCTGATCATCATTAAAGTAATTATAGATGTATAGAAAGAAACTCTAGATGTAGCAGTGCGTGAAAAATATAGTAGCTAAGCTTAAAATTTAAACTCATTCGCGGTTTCATGAAACACGTCAGGAATTTCGTTTCCAGGCACGCATTCTTCAAGCATAGACACATGTATAGCTACGTTAAATGTTTTTACGAAAGTAAGCCTTCCAACGTTTTATTTAGTCGAGCGTGTGTAGCCAATACCTGTACTGGGTGTTCGGCTGTTGACTAGACAAAATCTTGTGCACTCTGTTGCCTTGCTCGAATAGTTCCTGCATGTCGTCACTATTGAAGCACACGAATTCCGCAAGTCCTTCGACATATCTAAAATAAGAAACAGAAGAAGACTACGATCCAGGAAAGTAAAAAGATATGTTATTCTGTCAAAAATTCTCCAGTTTAGTTTTCATGGTTGGAACAATTTTGTAATTGATTTGAACCAAAACTATTAGTTATTTCGTTTCGAACATTTGACACAGAAAAGTTTAGTTTCCATGGTGGAACAAATTGTAGTTGATTTGAAACAAAACTATTAGTTGTTTCGTTTCGAACATTTGACTCAGAAAAGTTTACTTTCCATGGTGGAACAAATTGTAGTTGATTTGAAACAAAACTATTAGTTGTTTCGTTTCGAACATTTGACGCAGAAAAGATTAGTTTTCATTATTGGAACAATTTTGTAGTTGATTTGAAACAAAACTATTAGTTGTTTCGTTTCAAACATTTGAATCAGAAAAGTGTCTTCGAACGCAATCAATTCAACAGTAAAGCAAGCTTACACTCCCAACTGGCTGTTCTTGCACACTTTCAGATTTTGTCCACTTGGATTTAAAAGATCGTGAAGCATGTCATTGTAGACCTAAATTACAAGTGAAAAAACGAGTTTATCGAAAATACTTTAGCATTGAGCATGTACATGAATGGTTTGATACTATGACAAATATTGCCATTTTGCGACCTTTGTTTAGAGATACTGCGTTATTAAAACGAATCAAAAAATCCAGATATTTCTAACAGGTTATCCACTCCACAAAATGTGATGTAAGTGAAACATTTGTTGTCATTTTAAGAAAATATGTCACCCAGAATACACGGATTATCAACACCATTAACAGGGCGAGGTAGCCAAAGGGTGCCCAGGGCGCCAAGCCCCCCCAGAAAAATCTTAGCGATTCCAAAATGTTATGATTTACATATATAGTACACTAAACTGTAATTTTTAGATTGAATGCTTAATGGGGAGTGTGTGCAGACATGAAATAACATTGAGATGCAAGAATGATAACGCCAGCTATGGCCCCACTTTCCTTTTGACTTGCCCCCCGTGACAGAAAATCCTGGATACGCCTCTGCTGATTAGCAGGAATGGCGTATCATCTTTGTGTTGTGTTCAGACATCCTGACAGCCAACGATGAGCATATGTACATTAAAAAGTGCCCTGCATAAACATAAATCAAATCTAAAAAGCTGCTGAGGGAAGTTCTTTTACGCGATACCAAACGTTTGCATAAACGGGGGGGGAGAGAGAGACAAGGAGTCGCCGTTTTCAGACTCAAAAACAACTATCACTTGAGCTGGTGCCTGGATAAAAAGTTTTTGAATAAGTATCTACTATATTGACAACAAGCAGGGTTTTAATGAAGGGAAATGTAGTAAGACCTTTAGCTAGAGGCAAAACGCTACAATAGCGTCAGCAGATTAACTATTCCTGCAAAATAGGAAGATTTACTTTGATATGAAAATTGAAAGAACAGACATTGTTATGAAAAAGGATGTTTGAAGCGTGACAACAACTGTTAATTACAACAAACTTTTCATACCACAGCATATGATAATGTCACGAAATATTGAACATTTGAAGGTGACTTATCAATCAGTTTGAACAACTCTTTGCACATCTAAAAGGAAAAAAAGATATGGCTTATTCAAAAACCAAGGATGTCTTCGTGTTTTGTGTACATGACGAATGCGTCAAAATATACTAATCGGGTAGGACAACATCAAAGACAAAAATGGTAAACTTGTGAAAAAAAATTAAAATAAAATTCCTAATAATCTTTTGTTTTAATTCGGCACAGATATAATTCGACTTATGAAACGGACCTTTGAAAGTGACTATGCGTATAAAGCTTAGCGAGTTGTCCGCAGGTCACGTTGAAAAAGGTTGCGAGATCGAAGATCTCAACTAATTAATCTTTCATTAAATTCAATTTTTAACTCCATGCATGTAGACAGTCTTTTAATGTTCGTTCTCACTTCCATATTTACGCAGTTTGAAAGCACAGGTTTCCTATATTCAATCCTCCACTCAACTTACGCGAATATGTAGCTTTAGCACAGCATACAATACTGTACAAGTACGTTTGGAAATACAAAAATTTGCAATTAGCGAACTCTTTTCAATCACGTTTGTCTGGGGTCATGTTAATCGCTTTGTTTTTCATACCATCAATCATATAATATCCAGTACCAACAGCTTAGATCTATAAGTTCCGGTTATCCTTGTAAAGAATAGTCTTCCACGACCCATGACGTCATGCACACATCGGAAAAAATGACCTTAATCAGGTGGAGTTTAGAAAAAGACAATGAAAAGAAAGGCGTGAGTCGCAAAAAACAGAGCATAAGGCGGTCGATATCAGGAAGGACGATGCAAGATGATGGGTCAAGAAAGCTGAAAGACGATTTTGTCAAAAAGGAGGCGTTAGGAGATATAATGATAAAAGGAGAGAATTATGAGGGGAGGAAGATAATGAATGTCAGGGCAGAGAGGAATAGGTAGCTAGGCCATTTAAGAAGTGGATGGATGTGGTGAGTGAGAAATATGAGAGAGATAAAAGAGGTTGTAATAGAAAAGCGCTGTGCCAATCCCCAGTAAAGGAGTAGTCGAAAAGGGAAACAGAATAATGTAATTACAAATAATTTCAACATTTCTACATAATAAGGATGAGGACACTGTATGGATGTATATTCACAATACTTGCCAAAGGAACAAGTCCAAGCTCGTTGTGACTGCCAGAAAAAGTAAACTCTTTACCGGAGAGTCTCTGCAAAAGATTTTCTGTGTCAAAAACATGTACCCATGTAGGTATACCCATGTACATAGGTCATTAAAATTGTTTTAAATTTTAAATTGTGGGAGGAGGCAGATTTTTTCAATTTTCATCTAAGTAGGAACAGTATTTCACCTGTCCATAGATAAGTACTGTCGAATTGATTCCTTTTGTAGTATTAGCCACTGCTGGTATTCCAATCTCATTAAAGATTTCCTCCTAAAGAAAACAGCAGAACTAGAGACAAAATTCAAATCAGCACCAAGAACGTTCAGAAATGTACACATCGCATAAACTAAGTACTTATTTATTGCAAAAGACTTACATTTCTTGACTCCCAAAAGTAGTGGTTGTCAAAGGTAAAGATATGTTCCTAGCAAGAAAAACCAATTCTCTCCAAAATGTATGGATGAATTTGTAATGTATGGTACAGTATGTGTATGGATGAAACAACAATGATCAAATAAACGTAAGGGAAAGCCAGGGTGAGTGATTAATTGCTCCTTGGTTCTGTTCATGAAAAATAATCCCTTTGGGGGCATAGAATTGCTAAAGGATTGTTTGAGTACACAGTGGTGGTGCTAGGTACAAATGAATAGAGGGACATTAGTGGGTAATTTTTTTGGGGGTACTCATTTTAAGTAGTAAATTTTTGGATGTGCAGTTTGTCAGATAACCCTCTATTTTTCAAACAGGACAGTAGTGAGATGAAATAACAGGGGGGAGGGGCAAAAGTAAACAAAAAATATGATTATTGCCCAATCTAATCATTTTCCAGTTGCAACTGTTGAATCAACATCAAGAAAAGGAAAATACTGAACCTTTTTTCCAGAGGAATTTCCAGGATTATGTATGACTACTCTGTCTGCATTTATCTTGACCACTCTGGTTGAGGCATTTGCTTTCTCATTTTCTAAAGAAAAAAAAGAGGATTGCAAAATTTTACAATCAAGTAATTCGTGTAATATGACTCGTTTGCAACCAATGCTGTATATAATGAGTTAAAGTTTTGGTAAAATCATTGCATTATTAGCCCGAATACAATTTTTGATAAGGCTTGTTGGCATTCAGAACAAGGATAAAAGATTGGACATAGACAACAAAGCAACACATCATAATACATTAAATACTTTGTTACTTCTTCTAAGTATGCTGCAGCACTAAAGGGAAGATTAAGGTTGGGAGGTAGGGGCTAAAGTTTGTTTGGATGTTTTCGGGAAAGCATGAAAATGCTGATTCAATATTGTATATTATATTTTGCTGGATACGGTTTAATACATTGATTGTAATGTAGTGACAATGTTCTTTACGTGATTTACAACAAATTGCTCGAGACAAACAACGAGATGGCCTACATAGGCTATGGCCTCAACTCGAATTGCTGAAAAACTTTCAAGCCAAGAAAGGCATTAATCGTGTTAAATTCCTCATTCGTACTCCCCATCTCCGTATCAGCAATATAACAGCGCAAAGAATCAGAAGCACTAAAAATCTCATGCATTTTCGTTAGTAATATCCGCCTGACAAAATTGCAAATGCTTGCATTGATGACAGTTTTACTACTTGCCGTTAAAAGGCCGACATCTAACAGCGACCGATATGTTCTTCGATTCAGATGTCTACAACGTCGAATTAAACATAATCAATTCATACAAATTATATTTAACTTCTTGAAACGGTGCTATTCTTACCATATTGAGTTCGAGGTTACGCAGGAATGTTCAGAATGAATCCGACATGTCCTGATTTCAATATTGTTTAACACATGTTCCTATAGCAACCCCAAACTGATTTATAGTAATCATCTCAATAACGTAAAGGTGTTAGTTAATGTCCATCAAACGCCCCCTATCAAACAAACACCTTGTAATTCGTAAACGCTCATCCTTTTTAAAACGCCTTCAGACTTCTTATAATGAATAACCCCCCCCTACACAATACCATCGTGATATAATCGTATATGACTTTGAAAGAAAGTCGAAATACTGCTTTAAATCGTGTCTCTCACTGTTGCTGTTATAACTCGAATCTTGAGTTTACAAGATGTTTTTTGGAGTGTGTTTTACTCTTGATTTTTTGAAACTGTCATCTGGAAAAGGATCATTATCGTATCACATTATTGACGTATGATACATGTTTGTCTACCTCCATCTTGTGGAACATTTCATCATAAATTACCTCTGTGTAAATATTTCACCATTATTCTGCACTGAAGATGGAAAAAGTTTGCGGAAACATGTATGCATTAAAAAATGTAAAAAAGTTGCCATTTCTCGTACCTATTGTACACCCCTCCCGCCGAAGAACTCTTAAATTTATTAACCCCCCTCTCCGGTGCGTTTATTAGATAATTTTACGGTGCACTTATAAAAATCCAAATAAGTTATATATTGTTTAATTGTGTAAATTAAACGAATAGATACAGCAAACAGCAGCTCCGATTCCCAAATTCATCAATACTCCATTTCCTTAATTTAAACTTCTGATACAAAGGTAGCCTTTTTAAGGGATCCATGTTTTACATTGAAATAGAAATTAAGAAATCCATTTGTGTTCATATGGAGGAGGGCAGGAGGAGTGCCAAGTCACTTGCAAAATATTTATCGAACAATTATGCAAAAGCAATTGTCATTTGTGGAGCACACTTCCAAAAAATATCTATCATTCATGGTATAAGAGCAACACATTTGAACAACTAAAGGGAAGACGACATCCACAAAGTAGCCACCAAAGTCTTGTAACAAGGGTCAACAGTCAAACATTGTTGACGAATGAATCATAGCGTTTTAAATCTCCTATTACGTAACTCATTGTTCAATTGTTACATTGAGCTCTCTATTGTTTTTTACATAACCAATAATAAATTTTAATTTATCAATTCCTTATTACGCACACTATCTCTCCAGATCATGCATAACTACTAAACCTACTTTCATTAGAGTCATTCTAATTCCATGCAAATAGGGTCTAAGACCAGTGAGCTGAATGTCCCAGACAACATTTGAAAAACACAATAAATAGTTAATACAAATCATAAATACATATAAAACTGTTAACTAAAGTTATAAAACGTCAGTGTTTATAAAAGTGTGTTATATATGTTATACATTTCATCCTTAATAAAAACACGCGCTAAAATCGCGGTACAAGCAACTAACTCAAAGTCTAATATTGAAAGAATATTTACATAATTCGTTCACATAGGAACTAATAGAAAATGCCCTTTTCCAGCTAACGTTTAAAAGCGGCGATAAGAATGTGGCAGCGTGTCAACCTGGATGGGGTTGTTTCTTAATGGAGAGAAATCAAGTTACGTTTTTCATTTAATTTAAAAATTTTAACCATCTGAACATTCATAATCTATTTTGGAAAGTTCGAGAGTAAAAATCAAGTACATCTTTCGAAACAGTTGGAACAAACCCCCATAGGCACCACATTGCAAATATTTTGGTCTGAAGTGAAAGAGAATGGCGACTTTCAATAAGGTGCATGTCGACGTCTCTGAGAAGAGTCCTTTGAAATCAAAGACGTAAAACTTAGAAATGAATTAAAACATGCAATGTACACATGCTAAACACAGCTACGTAACTACTCGCCTGTTTGCTTTGAAATGCTAAATCGTTTTACTTGCATCTCATTGCTTGGAAAAGGGCATTTATTTCAAAAACTCAACAACATGTACGTCTTTATAAGCAAAAATCACTTTAAACAAACATCTCTAAATTGTCGACTCTTGACAAAGCATTTTGGTATCCGAGTTCGTCGGGTTTCGTTCTTTTTCCAGCGTGGCCGTTCTTTCGTCGTGGTTTCCGCTAGAACTGCTCACGGAATCTCTCATATCAACATCTGGAATAAAATAACCCACCTTCTTGTCATCGTATGTCTCCAGATGCCCCGTGTGAAACGGCTCGTGCGTGTCAGCGGTCGGAGATCTGCAGTTTTCCCGAACATCGTACGCTCTCGAGGCACGCTTCGTTTCTAAATTATCTTCCATAAAACTTGTCGTACTGCTAATAAGTTTCTCAATGTCCTTTCTCCCCAGCCGGATCATCTCCAAATCTTTAGCACGAAATTCTGATACATCTTCGTGGCTCGGGAATGAATTCTGGGACGAACTCCTCGAATAACGATACTGTCCTGGTTTCTTCGGAATATCTGGGACGCCATCGCTTTCACTCGTATGTCGTGGTCTTTGAGGTACCTTGGGGACACCCGTGTACTCACCAGAATGGTCGCAATACGGATCTGAGCGCGACATTATTTTCAGGCAGATAGGCCCCATTTCGGATAAATCTGCGTAGTCCCACGACGGTGCACGGCTTACCAAAAGAGGAGTGGGTTCGTCTACGTCACCGCGACGTGGGGGTGGTGGAGGGGGAAGCATTGTATCCTCTTCCGTGGCATGCACAATCAGTTTTTCATTTTTACATTTCAGTTTGGCGGCCATGGTCTTCTTTTGGCGCTTGTTATAACATCGACAGCTCAAGCAAATTATTATCACCATAATAAACAAAAAAGATGCGGTTGCACCGATGTACACAAATTCTTTCGTGCCTAAAGAGCCCGGGTGTGTGACCGCACTTACACGCGTTTCACACAGTTCTCCCGCAAAGTCACTATCGTTGCATGTACAATGGAAGGATCCTAATGTGTTCACGCATTTGCCGTTGTTCATGCATGGAGAAGACAAGCATTCGTCTATATCGTCAGCACAATCGTTCGAAGTGAAACCAGATTTGCAATTGCACACTGCTTTATTGTCCAAAACCTTGCATACGCCTCCGTTACGGCACAAAAATGAATTGCAGACGTCCACAGAGCAGTTGTGAGAAATACCTTTGGTCGATGTTGATACGTCGGCGTTGCTACCGGTCAGCGGTAACGCATTGCCATTAAGCCGAGGGCTTTCCATGCAACCTGAGAAGCCATCGGAGTTTCCTGGAAAAACAAACACAAGTTGATCTATGTCCGTCGGCTGTCGTGAGATTACAAAACAAATCCCGAAGCTTTTCGCAGCATTGACTGAGTCGATTAAAACAACAATATCAGTGCGAAATACTCACCCGCAAAACTCCTTACGGACCTGCGAGGTAACTTCCCGCCAACAATGATGTTATCCATATGAACATTCAAGAAACTCATCGAACCCGTAGCAACAGCCTCGGCCTGAACCCTGCCTGAATCTAAAATGAGACGAACGGTCCGTTCTTTCCGTTTCATTTCTATTTCGTGCCATTTTCCATCGTTCACCTTCACATCGCGAATCAAGCAAATGCCCTCGCCACTTCCGTAATCGAACCTTGCACGGATCTTACCTTGAAAAATCTATAGACACAAAAATATTTTGAATTTGCGCGAATTTCACCAGCCTAAAAATTCTCAAACAGAAAAATGAGCAAAAACGATTGCTATCCACCTCGAGATGGAAAAAATCTCGCGCTCCTTTCGCCGAGAAAATGGTACCGAAAGACTTGGTTGTTCGCAGCGACACGGAAAACGAGGATATTTTTGTCGTCTCGTCACGGAAATTGTAGCGAATGTAACTGTACCCGTTGAAGGACACAGCATCTAAACAGTAAAAACAAAAGGCCTTTTTAGTGTAAGTGTGAGCAAACGGGAATATTTGTGCAAAAGTTCAAATCACTTTACTTCGTTTAAGGGGGAGAATAGCATATGGCGAACGTTTCAGACAGTTAATTGCGAAAAGAAGAACGTTTGTTTAAAGTGCCTAACCCAGAGTCAGGGAAATTGTTCCTTTAGATAGTAAAATCGATTTCAAAAACATTTGTAATGCATTTGATGGCACAAAAATTACATTTTCATGGACTTTTATGGCATAGACGACGTAGATGACTTCGGGCCAGAAGTGACAAAAAAAATTTAAAATGCCGCATAGGTGAGTAGTTGAGGACATTATTTGAGCGAATACGTCAAAACAAAACGTTTAAAAATTAAAACTACGTTTTCTCCTTTTTGCGTCATTTCTGGCGCGAAGTCGCCTACTTCTAGTCTCAAAAACCCTACGAAGATAAAATTTTCGACACATCAAATATATTGCAAATGTTTTTAAAATCGATTTAACTATCTAAACAAGCTACTTCCCTAAACCTGATATAGGAACTTTAATACTTCGAAATCTGCCCAGTTCGCAGTTTTATCATCAAAAATGAAACTATTCACAATTATTTACCTCAAAACGGCATTATACACTTCAAACATAGTGTAAAATTTAGAGAAAATAGATAAGAGGAGTGACTTCATTATTCTGCAACCTTGAGTTTGAAGGGGGGACTGGGACTGGTGATTACATTACGTGTTTTGTGTGCATAAACACTTGAAAATTTGAACCGTATCAACAAGTTTATTCCAAGTTTAAAAGTAGTGGCACATTTTCACTTCAAGATGGCTTTCTTCGTACAAGTTTTGTGTTTGTCATGGTAAACCACAGATTTAAAGCACACAACAAGAGTGCTTTTGATAGGTTTGTACCTAATACAGATGCAAATGCCGGTTTAACTATCAAAACATCACCTTACTCACGACGATAAGAAAAACAATTAGAAACTTACGAGTATGACAATTGTTCCCAAGGCAACCGTATTGACAATGTTTCCCACGAGGGCAAACGCACTGATATCCGGTGGGACGATCAATGCACTGGAAACCTGGCTTGCAAGGATTGTTAAGGCACTCAGACGAAGGCACGTGACTGCATTCCGCTTCTGTTGAAGAAATAAACTACACGTGAAACTTGTGTCAGAATATGTGTGAATTAAGATGCATTACGTGCAAATTTGTTTGCCATTTTTTTTGCCGAGAAAATGGCGGCTTTTGTAATTGTTTGACGCCGCAAAATTCTCGTAGTGTTTATTCATTATGCAGTCAAGGCAGTCAAAACATTATTCTAAAGAAATTTCAAAAACTTATTACTAAACAAGGCTTCTTTGCCAAAGGCAAGAAGGCCAATTGCTAGTGGATTAACTTGTGCTAAGTGAATTTTCAGGAAAACTACATGACGTTTCCCGGCAATCCGCGTGACACAGGCTCAGAAAGTAAACATACAAACATAAATAAAAGAGCGTAGTGCATCATGGTTTGGAAGTGCATCATCAAGTTTAAGTCTACGTGCATTTAAACATAGGATAAACATAGGATGCATTTAAATGTACGCTGGTTTTTAATGAATTTCACGAATCAAGCCCATTAAAATTGGATAAAAATTGTTCAGATTTGTCACAACCATAGCAACTGAATGTATGTTTGAGTCTGGGTCACTCACATCGATGCGAGCACACAGAGCTTCATTTCCACTTACCGGAAATGCCTTTTGGACAAACACATTTTCTGTTCTGTTGGCTTCGATAAGATATGAATATGACGCTATCTTCATTAAGAGAACTCCACTCGTCCACCAGACTTAAAACGTTTTGACATTCCTTGCCAGCCGGACAATCACAGGGGAACAAGCCAACGGATGATACGGCAATGTTGGACAACTTCTGAAACATTTCCAGCTTCCTTTCTAAAGTTTCATAAAGGTTTTCGGGACTAAAGAACTCCTGAAAAGTAAAAAAAATGACATCGCGACTGACTAAAGGCACAAGTGTATCCACACCATGTGGGTTAACACACTTTTCAAGGGTACAAGGTCAAGTCTATGAATGATATATAACATAGCATAGGACCACAGGAATGAATCGTCCAACCTAAGCATAGTCGAAGTAGTGCTCTAACCAATGAGTTGAAAATGTATGCATTATGGATAAAATTTGGATGCAAGCCTCGCATAACAGATCTTTGTACCTAAGCAAGCAGGACACTGGGAGTATCGTAACACCGAGGCTAAGTCTTCCCAAAGGATGAGGGTTATGTTTTTGTGAATTATTCCTGGTTATTTAAGGACGGTTGACGAGAAAGGAGAACGCATTCAACAATATACACAATAATTCGCGTTTCAAAACTTTACAATCTCGTATAGAGTTGCGCGTGTTAAAAAATCAAACGTTGGAATTTTTCTCAACATTTCTCACACATACCATGCGGCCATGTTTCTTGACGGCAAACACAACGTCGAGCTTGTTGCGAGAAACAGTTTGGATACTCCACAAATAGATTTCCTCGAGAGAAGACGACGTGATGCTTGCCAATGCATTCATCAAGGACGAGAGGGATTTTGACACAAAAACATCGAGAGTCATTCCGGTTATTCGAATCGTGACGCTGTTGCTGATCACATCGCTTGTTATTTCTTTAACCAAGATAGTTAAAGGAACGGTGATGTTAAATGTTCCATCAAAAACAAAGACCTTCATCGAATAAATTCCTGCCTTCACCGCAGGCGCCATTTTGATGTGGCCGTCTTTTGAGCCCATGGAAAATAATCCGTCGTTTTCAAGTAGTGCAAATCGTACAATCCTTCTGTCTTTGTTTCGTAGCACAATTTGACCGACAACACCCTCCGGGACATCGATGGCAAGCCTATTGACATACACCGTGACAGGCAACACATCAGGGGGTTCAGTAGTCATTTTTACCACGGTTATTTCAACGTGCGTTAATGCAGAGAGAGCAGGTGAACCGTTGTCCACCGTCTGTAACGTCATGTTGTACGTAACATTTTGCCAAGTCAGCGGTTTTCGAACAAGCAATTCTCCCGAGGACGAATTCAACCAATAGGCATCATTATCACCTGAAACTATGCTGAATGTAAACGGTTCCGAGTTTGAAGGTCCATCTGCATCAGTTGGCCTAAGCTGCAAAACCCGTTGGCCAACTGGAGAGTCCATTCGAAACAGCAGTTTCAGCTCTTTTTCAACGACCGGTGGATTGTCATTCAGATCATTCACGTTCACTGTCAATCGAATGTCAGACTGAAGCGAGGGTACGCCGTTATCCTCGACACGAACAACGAGCTCATACTTTCTAACAATTTCGTAGTCCAGTTGGTTTTGTACGTAAACAATTCCGTTCAGTGAATCTAAAACGAACGAATGCGAATCCGGTGATGAATTTATGATGCTAAAGCGAAGCACACTGAAACTGTCGTTATCTTTTGCCGTAAGCTGGATCACAAAAGTGCCATTCTTACTTCCTTCGTTCACAAATCCCACGTAAAAAGGCCGGTCAAACACGGGCTTGTTGTCATTGTAATCGAGCACTTTGACATCAACCGCGACGGAATTTATCAGTATTGTTTTCCCGGAAGGTTTCATCATGAAAGCCTCTATCGTAAAAAGGTGCGTCCGCGCCATCTCGTAATCTAGATCCTTGACCAACCTAAGCAGACCGGTATGCATATCTACTTCAAAATACTTCTTGCCGGATTCTCCAGCTATTTTATAAATCACTGAGAAATCACCACCACCACAAGTAACCGCTACTGTATCAACCACGAAAGGTGTTTTCACATGTTCGGATATGTCTTTTTTGTACACGTCTTTTAGGAACGGACAGTTTGTTATGGTCGACACACTTATTTCCACACTCGCAATTGACGAGAGAGTCGGTGAGCCGCCATCTCTAGCTATAACATCAAAAACAAATTTCTCTTCATCCCGTTTGAGTACACGAGTCTTGAGCGATATGACACCAGTTTCACGCTCCATGGTGAAGAGCTCGGCAGTTGATGAGTTGACAAAGTCGTATTCTATTTTACGGTTCTCGCCGATATCGTCATCCTTAGCCTCGACACGAAGCACGAACGATTTTTGTCGAGCATCAACGGGAATAGACGCCAGGAAGCGGGACTTCGTGAACTTCGGCGGTGAATCGTTGACATCGAGTATATCTATGGTAAGATTAGTGTAACACGAGTTCTCACCATCTGAAGCTGAGACAAGAAGGTTGTACGTTGACTGCTGTTCGCGATCCAATGCTTTTTTCAAAATGACAGTGCCTTAAAACAAAAAGAAAATATTGTCACAAAAGAATGACAAATGAAACTGTTGTTTGGCGTTGCAATAAGATAATTGTATGGTGAAATTTGTGTAATAATCACGTGAATAATATTAACCTTCTTTAATTCATCAAACCCGGCACTGAGTTTGACATACAAAACATTGACGTACAAGTTTGACATACAAAACATTGTCATGAGAGCAAACTGATACTGCTCGTCGTTTTAAGTCACGATTTATGCTAAATACATGCCAAAGACAAACGAATAGAAAAAGTTCGGATTTTTACTGTAAATCTTTATCAGTTGGGCACACCATTGGGCATACAGTTGGAGATACAACTTAATCTAGTACACATGCATTAAGGCTCAAAATCACAAACACTGCAAGTTAAGTACACATATATCGTGTTCTAAAACACGAACATTGCCCCCAGTCAAGATATCGTATTCTAAAACACGAACATAGCATACAGTCAAGTACACGTATATCGTGTTCTAAAACACGAACACTGCACCCAGTCAAATATACGTATATCGTGTTCTAAAACACGAACACTGCACCCAGTCAAGTATACGTATATCGCGTCCTAAAACACGAACATTGCTCCAAGTCTGGTATGCGTATATCGTGTTCTAAAACACGAAAGCTGCGCCAAGTCAAGTATGCGTACACTGTTTCAGAACACGAACATCTCCGTCAACAAATGTAAAACAACAAACCATTATTCTTCTCGATTGTAAACACGTCAAAATAACTGTGTCCCCAAAACATGATTCCGTTGTTGCTGTCATCATCGACATCACTTGCGTTGATCGTCACCAATTTGGATCCGACTTGTTCGTCTTCGAAAACATTGATGCGTAAAAAAGACTGTTCGCAAACAGGTCTGTTATCGTTTACGTCAGTTACTTCCACATCGACAAAGGCGGAAGCTGTATACGCTCCGTCAAAAGCTGTGATATTGAGTCGATAACTTTGATACGTTTCTCTATCGAGTTTCGAGGCGAGGAAAAGCTTCCCCGATGATTGATGAACACCGAATACGTTTTGCACATTCCCACTCACGATATAATACGCGACCTCTGGAGAGATATCGGAATCCGTCGTGTTTAGAATGAGAACAGTCGAGTAAACGGGAAGATCTTCTCTTACCGAAACCTGGTTAAAATACAACCAATACAAAATTAACCTTTCTACAACACAACTAACATTGATGAAAGTTGCCGGAGAAAAAAAACATAATGCCCTTTTCCATGTTGAATAGCGTGAGCGCTAGGATAGTACAGTCCTCATGCCAATGGCTCTATACATAGTAACAATACTTTTCACAAAAAATAAAAACGTATTGTGTACCTGGTACAACATATGAGAGAAAACTGGTGGAGAATCATTCACATCGTCCACGTTAACACGGACAGTGGCTGTACTATTCAATGATATATTGCGACCATGATCCTGAGCGATGATTTTGATAACATACGACGCGACTTTTTCGCGATCCAGACTCCCGTTGACGAATAACCAACCCGTGCTCGACTCGACCGCAAAAACATCAGATGATGCAGTTGATTTGGATAATAGATGATAAGAGATGATTGCATTCTCTCCACTGTCCTTGTCATGGGCTCGAACTTGAACTAGATTGCGTCCAATGATGGCATCCTCCGGTACACTGACTTTGTAAATATCTGACTCAAATTCAGGCCTGTTGTCATTGACATCTTGAATGTGGATTTGAGCGATGGCAAACGCGGTAATCTTAGATCGATTAGCTCTGACGGTAAGATCATACTTTTGAACTTTTTCGAAATCCAATGGTCGAGCGACCACAAGATTTCCTTTTGAGTCAACATCAAACGTAGCGTTTCCATTGGTATCATCACTACGACCGGTTAACATGGAGAACTGAACATTTGAATTCACAGGTTTTCCTTTCTCATCGCACAGAGAAAAAGTGAAAGGAACAGGACCAAGGAAACTTTCGGGAAGGATGAACGAATAACGTGAATGTTGGAATTTGAACTGAATCGTTTGTATGTAGACGCGGACGGGAGCATAACTTTTAAGTGGCACATAACCGTTGTCTTGTGCGCGAACATAGAAATCGTAGACGGATTCCAAAGGCTTTCTCTTAAACGAAATAACGCCTGTAGTTTCGTTTATAACAAAGACATGAGGAGATCGTTGACCGAACAAAGCGTACGACAGAGCACCATTGTCACCTTCATCAGGATCAACCGCGTTGACTTTAATCAGATTTTCACCAACCGACGTGTTCTTCGAGGAGATTACGGCAGTATAAGAGGGCATCAAAAATCTGGGCTGATTGTCGTTTTCATCATTGATAATAACCTGAAAATAGAAATGAAAACGTATCAGCCAATAGAAGGAAATGTTTTAATCACTATTACTTCATCAGGGGCGGATTTCCTGGGGGAGGGTGTTGCAGGGGGTACGCTCCACCCCCAAAAAAAATAAATCTCTAGTACCCTTCAAGAAAAATTGTAAAATGGTACTACGTGCTGTAGACGATTACTATAACAGTATTGGAGGCTATGAAATTGTGCAATAAGACTAAGTAAAGATAGAACTTCTCATTTCAAAGGCAATTACAACCATCATTCAAATTTATACAACCGCCATTTGCATTTGAGGTATACCATGCACATTTTCCTCGAAATATTAAAATTGAAAAAAATTGCTAAATGCACATTCATTAACGAAAACATATACATTTTTTTAAAAAGGCAATAACTCTTTCTTACACAAGGTTCACTCGTCCGTAAACTTAGAAATCCACAATAACCCGAGGCCCTAGCAACTTTAGCTAGGATAACGATGCACCCGCCTTGGAAAATCTGCACCCCTCCTGTCGAAAGACCATTGATTCGCCCCTGTACCTTACACGTGCAAACACAGGATGTCTCAAACTATTTTGGTTTTAAGCTAAGGTAAAGCACTGATCATAATCAATCAAAAACCTTATAATGCCACTGAAGAATGCTTTGATCAACTGCGCAGTAATTAGTATGAGAAAATTTCAACTTTTTTAAAGGTAACGATAAAGTAGCGACGTAATATTTTAAAGATTAAAGCCCGGTCTTCACTCGCAGCAAAATATGTCTTCATTATAGCAAAAAACACAAACACAAGCATACATAAAGCATATAAAAAGGAGACTTTTGACAATCATGTACTTATATTTATGCTTAGGTCGCAAGACGCTTATGGGTTATGGGCCAGGCTCGTTCATTTCCAATTATAAATGTATATTTCGTACCTTTACAGTGCATATTGTTGTCTCGCCACCAGCATCGCTTGCACGCACAGGTATGATAACTGAGCTTTCTAACTCACGATCAAACGGTTTCAGTGTGCTAATGATCCCAGTAGTGGAGTCGATATGGAAATCCTTTATCAACCCGGGGCTATCAATTGCGTAAGTCACTTCCCCGAACTTTCCCGAGTCCTCGTCGGTTGCTGTCACCATGACAACATAACTATCGGCAGGGTAGTTCTCCGTGATGTAGGCTTCATAAACGTCCTTTTGAAACATTGGTGGATGATTATTCGACTGTCCAACAACGACATCGAGCTTGGTGAATGCAGTGTGGATACCGTCGTCCACAATAATGTTCAGCATGTATACTTTCCCGAGTTGAATACCGAGTACTTTCGAGAGGGTCACGACGCCGGAACGAGGGTCGATTGTAAAATAGGTACTGCCGTAACCAGGCACTGTACCATAGGTGAGTTTTCCAAAGTCACTCTCGTCTGGATCCTTTGCAACGACCTGAGTGATGAAATGACTCGGTCCCCCATTTTCCATCACTGTGGCATGATAACGAGGTCTTTGAAATGCCGGGGGGTTGTCGTTCACATCTTTTATAAGGACCTGCCAGGATGACATGAAATAGACGCAAAATTATATGTTAGACAATGCTGAAAGAAATCCAGGATAAGGGTAGAAAGAAATTTTTTTGATTTCACAAAAACGTCTCATATAAAACTAAGCGCCACACAAAAAGAACGTTACCCCCAACATATGTTCTTACGAGCTCTTCTAAACGAGCGAATCTAGAATAATTTACTATAGCACAAATCAGATAACTGCTGTGTAAAGAATGAAGAAACTTGTGCATTGAAAAAAGGACGTGTCACCTTTGAATTCAATAATACGCGTTTTCAAAATTAGCAATAAAATGTACTTAGTAGCATCTTTTTTACTTATTATTCAGCAGCTTTATTCGTTGGTAACCGTCATCGTTTAAAGCAAATTAAAATGGTCCAGACTATTGTATCAAAACAGAGAAATCGCATTTGGGCTTCGAAAGACTGGATAGCTGGGATAATAATTATAATAATTTATCAAGGGGGCAAACTTTCTTTTCGTCTGGTGTTTATTATATCGTGCAAAAACATTCCGTTAGTGTTTCTTGTAAGAATAAGCAGATAGAAAGTCCATTAATTGATGCAGCTCAGCAACACGTTACAAAAGTTATTCACTGAAGCGGAACCTCAAATGGAATTAAGAAGAGGGATTTTTGCTCAAAACATTTTCCAAGAAATTTTCTAAATATTTGAATGGAAAAATTAAACGCCTCCATTTGGGCAAAACCTCGAGTCGTCATTCAGAATTTGTTGCGCATCAGCCGGAACGATGGATGAAAGAATGGATTTTTTAAAAAAGAAACACAGAATTACAACGAGAAACAGACAGCATCATACCGTGATCGAAGTCATAGCGTGAAGCGCTGGAACACCACCATCGGTTACTCGCACTTCAATATTGCAACGTTTCTGCGTTTCATAGTCCAGCGCTCTTGTAACCGTCACTGTACCGTTGATCTGATCTATGGCAAATGACCCAGGCGTCACGCACGTATCCCGTTCGATTTCGAAGAAATGCCTAGCATTCTCGCCAGAATCTTTGTCAGTGGACAAAACTCGCAGGAGTTGCGTCCCCGGTGGAGAATTCTCTTCGACCTTCACATAGTACGATGACGATTTCAGCACAGGCGGATTGTCGTTGATGTCTTTTACAAGTACGTCGACTGTGGTGATGCTCGAAGCACCGGTTTTTGAATCTTGTGCACGCACAGACAACGTGTAGCGAGTAACGACTTCGTAATCCAAATGTGAAAGCAGCGATAGCTCACCTGTGAAAAACACACGTTCGTAATTTTACATTAGACTGGAGCGGCTTCTTATACACACGAAAAATCGAGCGCTTACCAGAATTTATGTCGCATTCAAATTGCGTGAAATTGTTGCCGGAAACGATGCTGAAAATGGGTTTTCCCTTCGGACATCTTGCGTGCAGTTGTTTGAAAATCACGTCGACTCGGGCATTTTCCGGTAATTCCACGCGATAAAATGGCTTCTCGAATATACAGGCATCGCTCGATTCGATATGCATAGACACTTCTGCTTCGGAACTCAAAGAAATCTTACCCAGGTCCCTTGCCTCAATGATCAATGTAAACTTTGAAGGCGAAGGAAGACCAGTCAGCTGACCGAGTACACTCAATGCACCTGTCTCTTGATCAATACCAAACATTTTGCTATCGTCCTTCTTAATTTTATACCTGCAAGGATTGGAATTGATTTTAGATCTTACGATAACACAACGCCGCACTGTCACAAAATACCGAATATGCACGAACAACGCATTTTGACGCAAAATATTTTCATTCTTTATACTGACTACCATAAATGCTCGTTTTAGCGCCGCCCCCACTTAAGCGCCGCAGTCAGAATCTAGAAACGTTATTTAGCACCGTTCCCGGTTCAGTGCCGCATACGAGTAAATATATTGCACAGCTCTGAAGAAATATAGAGTTATTGAACATTAAAGTTTACGATAACCTTGCTCTGCGCCTATGTGACATTATTTTCATCAATTTGTAGAATATTATACAATGAAAATAGATTTTGCCTACTCGTTATTTTCTTGGGGCAACAAAAATTTTTAACAAGCGCCGCTCCTGCATACGCACCGCATTCAAATCGGGAAAATTAAATAAGCGAGCATTTACGGTAGTACTTTCCTTCAGGCAAAGAATGATGTATACGACTGATTCCGTTGCAGTGAAGGCCAGACCTTTCTTTGTACGGACGCCACAACTTATATAGCTACATCTACTTGAAGTGCTTACGAATCGAAACTTTTACTATGTAAATTCTATTTTTGTCGATAAGAACATGTAAAGTGATCATACATTTTTCGAAAAAGTCTCGAGATATTGGGATTATAAAGTGTCCAGTTTAATACAGACATCAACTTACATCGTGAGAACTTGAACTTTTGGAATATGTACCGTTATGAACTGTTAATGGCACGAAATTATGCCCGGCATAATGTCAACCCGCCACGCGAGGGAAAGATGTTTGAAATATCGAAATGTGACGTCACAGATTGAAATTGGACAAGTGAAAAACGTCGATATCACAAAAATAAAAAAATGTGCAAAAACTGTTTTAGAAAGTCAACTCAACATGCTGCCAGTTAAAAGTTGTTTTTTTTCCAAAGAAAGTAATGTTTAAATAGCAAAAAACGTTCTTATCATCAACACTTTAAGTTTCACGAACAAAATTGATCGGTTATAGCTAGCTACATTAACACGTACCTAACATCAGCATTTCGTCCAGCATCGCAGTCGTCAGCAGCAATGGTTGCAACTTTCGAGCCAGCTTCGGAGCGTTTTGACACGACAAAAAATAAGGGCGAAGGAGGAAAGGCAGGTCGGCAATCGTTCACATCGTCCACAGTTACACTAACCAAGCACCTGGCAACCCTCGGTGGGTTTCGCTCATCGCGAACGATAACCACAAGTCGATAGGAATCCGTAGATTCTCGATCAAGAACAACATTACCTCTTGTTTTGACAGCCCCAGTATTTTCTTGTATGGTGAAAACATCGTCAAGATTTGTTAAGCTGAACCGAAGGCGTTCTCCAACACTGTATCCACGGACGAAGGGCACTAAAACGGTCTGTATTCGCGATGTATTCTCGAGGATGTGAGATTGGTAAATAGGCCGCGAGAACCTTAGATCTGTCGGCGTTATAGATTTGAATATCACGCGGAGTTTACCAGTCGTTGAGTAGGTTCCATCGCTCACGAGGACATCCGCATTGTACCAACCGACGCGCACCTGCAAAGGCTTGTCGACAAGCACCTTGCCTGTGGATCTTACGACGCGTAAAAGACCTGGAATGTCTTGTTTCGTTATGGAAAATTCGAGTTTTGTCAGGTTGTCCCGATCTGTGGCGACTAGCGTTGTGACACGCACATCCTTGTACACAGGAAGGTAAACGTTGGCTTTCAAAGAGCTGGATGCGAAGCTCGGCTTGTTGTCGTTGATATTTCCCACATGGATCACAGCAGTAGTGATGACGGATAATGATGGCTTACCTTGATCACTAACTTGAATGACAAGTCGATACAAATGTCTTGTTTCATAGTCAATCGGAACCTGAAGGACAATACAGTCTACATATCACCTAAACTATCACAGAATGTTGTGAAGTCAGGAATGAACAAATTAGCCACCGAAATAAAATTTATACATAACAAATGACACATGAAGCTCTTTGACATTTCTGCCATCGCGAGTGATTCATTAGAGAGTTTCAGATTTGACTATGAGTACAACAAGCGCTACGTGATTGCGCGCGAGCTACGTGATTTTTTTAGTACGTGATTTATACGAGTATTTAATACATTGAGTACGTGATTTTAAAAAAATCGTGTAGTGTACACTATGAGTTAAGAAAGTCATTGATTTTTAAAGCTTTTTTAATGCCCACATTGAGTTAATAAACATATTTATTAAGCCTTCGCAAAACAGAAATGTTAACATTTCAGCTTTTTGTAGCTGTGTTGCCATATTGTGAAATTGTTTATGTTTACGTGCTTCTGAGAGAAACGTTTTCTATCTTTTTGCTAGTCCCTGCGTATATTTATTGCCGTTCATTCTGCCCTTCCCGTCATTGTTCTTTGTGGATAAATAATATCACCGATTTTATGCAATAAAATTTAATGAAAGAGTGAAGTCTGGCAATAAACAAAACAAGGACAAACAGAATTTTTCATAAATATTATTCAGCCCCATCAAGTGTTTACATTACTTGCTCCAAAGCTCTTTTCCCCCAAATTTAGTATATGAAAAACTTCTTCGTACTCATAGTCATCATCTTAACAATAATTTTCTTCACTACGAGTACGACAACTTGTTTATAGAACCCAGATCCCTCGCGGTCATATCACGTGGCGGTAGTCGTACTCGTAGTCAAATATGAAGCTCCCTATTGCACTCCCGAAGACGATCAAGTTTCACCTTACCTTAGCAGTGCGAATCTCGCCAGTGTGCATGTCGATTTTAAAATAACTCTCCATGGACGAATCAGCGATCGCGTACACCAATTGAGAACCGTGTACGTCAGCATCGTGCCCTGAAATAACCAATGGACCGTTTGCATCTGTATTTAAAACCACAGAGTCCTCGGGAGAGTTTTCATCGATGTATCCCACATAGCCGTGACTAGATACAACGGGAAAGTTATCGTTCCTGTCTTCTATTTTGACGACAACCCTGGTTTTCTTTATCACTCCGCTGCAATCTTCAGCCTTCACTGTGAGAGCACAAAGGGAGTACTTTTCAGCATCAATTATTTTCTGGAAAAGAGTAAACGATGAGTCGTGGTTCGTAATGGCCATTTCATCTAGTTAATTCATTTAGAGTTGAATCTATCACAAAATCAATGTTAAAATTATGTATGCAGCAGGGGGGTGAACACCCACCTAGAAGTATTTACATTACACACCAGAAAACACAGAATCTGTATAGATCAGATAAGAATTACGTCGTGCAGTCTTTAAAAACAAAACTTCAGCGTAATCTACACCTCAAAGTACCAAAATGTAATCTCTTCTCCCAAATTCAATGTAAAAGTTTTCAGGAATCATCTCACGTCATTGCAATTCGACATAAATTTACAGAACTAATTGTGATTCTACGAAAGTAAACTCTAGTGCTTAAAGTCGGTGTACGATGACGAACAGTGGTCACACAAACTTGTTACTAGAGTTATGCAAATATTTACGTGTCTATGAGCTGTATAAACAAAGAATTTCCAAAGATTTTCGGCAGGTCTTCGCAACTAAGGTACCAAGCATAGTCCAAGTCATTATTGTCAATGCCAGCTATTCAAAATTCATAATCTAATAGCATAATAGCATAATAAACAACACAATTTGTTGAACTGCATGCAACAGCTACACAATCGAGCAGAGATGATTCTCGATGATTATGCTCCAGATTATATAATTAAATTTCGCGTTTTTTACTTCAGTTCTAATATTATTTTATCACGATTGGGAGATTTTTCAAATCGTGCTCCATCAAACGCTCGTAACAGTTGCTTTTGCTGAATTGTTTGGTATATAAGTATTTTGTAGAGAAATTGGCATCCCTTAGCACCCACCCTTATTTGAAATGCCAAAGCTGACGTCATGTAAACAAAGACATCTTCCTAAATACCTTGGTCGTGATGACTCCGGTAAACACATTAATGAGGAAGCTGTCGGCGCACTCGCTCTCGTTGACAAATGAGTACATTACCATCCATCCATTGAAATTCACCGTCGTCACGTAAGTGCCCACGGCCTCGTTTTCATACACGGACGCTGAGTACAACGTCTTACGAAAATTGGATTCGAGACTACTACGCTGAACACGCACCTGCACGAGAAACGCAAGTATGATTGGAATATAGATTCAAATCAATAAGAAAATTTTTTATGTGAATGCGCTGGCAAAATAGAAAATGCATTACGAAAAGAATAAAAATGTAGAAAAGCTTTTTTCATTGATAATGTTTGTCTTTAACGTAAGAAATTTTGCGACACCATGGTATATAATTACGATCTAATGTTCATATTTAACTATTTGATATATATAAATTATACAACACTTTTTCCTTTTTCGTAATGAATTTATTACAAGTGCTGAAAATTTGCTTTCCGCCTGGCACATTTGTGGCTACGATTTTCAATGAATTTTCAAATTTTGGGTTCACACAAAACCCAACATGATTGGATCACCGTATTTCTGACAGAAGAAAGGACGATAGCAAAAACCTCAATTTCATTCGGTGTAAAAAAACTTTTAAACACTAGAAATAAAAGGCGGGTTGTTCTTCTTATCAATATCCCCCAGCTACTCACCGTTATATTAACACTGGAGGAAAGACCAAAGGTGCCATGGTCCCGAGCCTCGACTGTCAACTTGTACTCGGTAATGTCCGAAGAAGATAGCACTTTGTTTGTTTGGATGACACCACTCTGCGGGCGAATGAAGAACGCATAGTCAACATTACCGGAGGTTATGCAATACTTCAGCACACCATTTAGGCCCTGATCTTTATCCTGGGCAATGACTTTTATGACGTCACTACCACGTGGTATGGTGTCTTGAATGGAAACCTCGTAAGAAGATTTCAAAAATGCTGGTTTCCACTCGTTTACATCGTCCACATCGACCACAACATACATTGTGCTTTCGAGCGGGATAAGCGAGCTATCTTTGATACCCACGATCAATACGTGCGTTTTGACATGTTCGTAGTCTAGTTCTCCTTTTACAAATATTTCCCCGGAATGTTCGTCAATTGAAAATAAACCGAGGGACTCGGTCCGAAAAGCAGACTTGAAGAAATATTTCAGTTGAGCGTTGACACCGTAATCAAGGTCAGAAGCTAAAAAAGGAGAAACAAAAATTTTAATGCAACGCATCCAAACGTAAATAACAAAAGATTTAACGAAACATGAAGCAGACAAGAACATCAGAATTGGTAACTGTCTACGACTTGCACGGCTTGTCTGCACATTAGTTCCGTTTGAAAAGTCCAACTTTACGTTAGCCCAATAGATTTAAAACAAAAGATAATGAGAAATTTCATTTCATTTCCTTTTGACTTTAATGCATTCGACGTTTGAAGCGGACCTTACTCTTCAATATTCGCTTATCGAATATAATTGGATTGAATTTAGAATTAAAGCGTGTCTTCCGATCAAGTTTTCTAAAGCTAGAAAGGCGTGAACATTAAATTGTCCAGTCGAACGACATGTTCTGCTGAGAGGGAAAAACTACACAAACAAAGGCAAAATCTGTCTTATTGCATGAACATGTTGTCGTGTGAACAATAAATTGTCCAACAGAACGACACGTTTTGCTACGAGGAAAAAACTACACAAAAAAAAAGCAAAATGTATGTTACAAATGGCTGTAGATAGCAGTTTACTGTTTCAACCATCAATTACGACTTCGCCCTAGGCATCAAATTAGCGACCTAATTTTTCTGCAATATTTTAAAAATGAAACTAAAATTGGCTGTTTTCAAAACTTGCAACAATTGCTATCCGCCTACATTGCTGTTTTCGCAAAGACATGAAACAGGATTTTTATCCTCCGTAAGAAGTAAACTGTCTTTTATAAATTCCGTATAAAACTTAAAATAGAATAACAGTGTGCTAAGGCAAATGTCTTTAGGAGTTACCGGATAAAAGTTATAACAAAGAGTTCGCCACTTTTCAAATGTAATCTAATACAAATGTTGCTGATCAGTATAAGTCCCATTATCTCGCCCTCCCCTTTCCCCACGCGATGGAAAACTATGTTCGTTAAATTACTCACCAGAAACCTCGGTAACTTTTGTTCCAGCAATGGCACTTTCTGGAACGTTGGCAATCTTCTCAATGACTTGCGGTTCGGGATAATGATTATTTACATCCTTAACTTTGATATTCAGGGTATAGTTAACTATATTTGACCCATCATATGCGCACACGACCAACTTGTACGAAGGAGAATCGACGGCGGCAATGAGTTGCAACTTTTTTTCCAAAACCCTAAATCTTTGCCTTTCGTTGCCTTTGCATATGAAATAAGATGTGGAATGGTCACTTGTAGTAGTTTGCAAAGCAATTTGATGACCGACTTTCGCACTTTCTGAAATCTGCACTTCCTTTACCTTATGAAGAAATTTGGGCGTATTGGGTGCAAGTGAAAATAGCTGCTGTAAAAATACATTTACAATCAACGTCGAGGTTAGCGCCACATCGCCGCCATCTTTAGCTTCTATTTGCAAACGGAAAATATCCAGATCACTGAGAGGAGCGTTGTTAAACAGCTCGCCGGATTTTGCGTCAAGTCTCAACATTCCACCGGTATTTCCATCAAGAATGGTAAAAGTCACCCGTCCATTTTTTTTCGAATCCAAATCAGTGGCAAGTATTTGACCAAGTAGCGTGTTTGCTGGAACATTATGTCCAAACGTAACTGAATATTGCACGTCAAGGTTGGGTTGAAAGATCGGCGGGTTGTCGTTCTCGTCGAGAACGTAAACTCTAACGGTCGCTTCGCTTGTCAACGGCTGCTTGCCACCATCACTTGCTTGAATGCGAAGGAAAAATGTTTTCTTATCCTCATAATCTAATGCGATAGCGGTGGTTTGTATGACCCCCGTTGAAGCATTTATACTAAAATGTCCGTTTTCGTTACCTCGGAGTATTTTATACGAAACCTTCCCGTTGTCATCGGAATCGGCATCCTTTGCCGAGAGTGCGGCGACTAGTTCGTTCGGCTTCGTGTTCTCAGGTACCCTACTTTCGTAAAGCGGAGGAAAAAAGACCGGGGCATTGTCATTTTTGTCTTCAATCTTCACGAGAATGTCTCGCATGTGACTAAAATGTCCAGATTTTTTAACGGTAGCCATAACGCTCAACCAATAATATGCGACAATCTCACGATCCAACGGTTCGGTGGTCACGATGAAACCAGAGACAAGTTTGAATTTGCTCGGATCTGTGCCATCAACAATAGAGAAAATGTATCGACTATCTCTCAGTTCTAATATTTGCGCTCCGGCTTGAAGGTTTTCGAGTACGGAATACATTTCAATCCCACTTCGACTGTTTGATAATCGAAGATTTTGCATATTCGCCCTTGACATTACGACGATGTCGAGATACGCGGACACGTTTAACGATGGCGTGCCACAATCACTCACCAAAACAGAAAGATCAAAAGAATCTTGTGAAACATCGTGCAAGGACCTATGAAGTTTGATCAGGCCGCTGTTTGCATCAATTGAGAAAAGCCTTGAGTCAAAACTTGTGTTCGTTAATGAAAATTTCAGTCGTCCATTGTCGCCAGAGTCCACATCGTCAGCAGCAACTTGAGTTATGGCACTTCCTGGCGGCAGATCTCTCATGATCACGATTTTTTGATCCTTGTTGTAAACAGTTGGACGATTGTCATTGATATCTTTGACATTCACGAGTACGATACAGTGGGCAACCGATATGTTTTCAGAAAACGGTCCCAACGCTAGGACGTGTAATTCAAACACTTGCTTAAACTCATAATCTAATCGTTTGTTAGCAACTAAATTCAAACCTCCATTGCGAACACCGAGGGAAAAAAGCTTATCGTAATCGTTCACAAGCTTATGAGTAAACCTTCTGCCACCCATATTCTCTTTTCGAATCAAATTTACAATGACCGACCCGCCAGGTGAATTTTCGTACACAGAAACATTGTAAAATTCCTCGGTAAATTTTGGAGGCCTACCAACAGCATCGTTTAAACGGACAACAACATTTTGAAATGCAACTTTTCGCGGTTTTCCAGAGTCCCAGGCGGATACATTTAGCTCGTACTTATCAAAAAATCTCCAATCGGGTATTTCTACAACTTTGAGTTCACCAGTCATAGGATCAAGTGAAAAATAACGATTAACTTCAACCATGTAGTACGTCAACAATCCTTCATAACCAACATCTTTATCGTCCGCTTTAAGAACTGCCAGCACAGCACCGACGTTTACATTTGTAGATACTGTTACATACAAAGTTTTGCTGGCAAATTCTGGCGCATAAACGTTTGTGTACGTTCTGCTGCTTGTCAGCGGCTTGACAGCAGGCAAAGGGGCTTTCTTTGGCTTCAACTTCAGTGCTCTTAAATATGCATCTGATATGACACATGAAGCATTCATTGTGTTAAGATCACTTTCAACTTTTATCTTCAAAATGGCATTGTTCCTGGATTTTCTGCTACCATCAGAAGCTGATACTTGGAGAGTAAGCGTTCTATGATCATTTGGGAGTTGTTTGGAGAGAGTCAGATAACCCGTGTCAGCATCGATCGAGAAAAACCCCTGATCATTGCCTGATACCAGGGAGAATGATATTTTACTACCTGTGTAAAGATCGATATCGACAGCTTGAAGTCGCAAGACAGCCATGCCAACTGAAGCATGGACGGGAAGTTTGATATGACAAGAGTCTTGCTTGATAACAGGGAGATTGTCATTTCGTGCCTTTATCTTGACAGTAATAACAATTTCTGCTTCTCGACGAAACGGCAATCCATTATCAGCAGCTCTCACAACAAGATAGACTAGCCAGGGTTCTCCTAAGTCAAGATCAAGGACTTTCTTGATAGAAATAACACCTGTGGTTGAATTTATGGCAAATTGATTTGAATCCTTAGTAAACCAATAGATTAGCCGTCCATTTTCCCCAATGTCCCCATCCTGAGCATGTACTTTATAAATCTCAGAATTGACAGCCATACCTTCTGGAATTTCTATGTAGTTAGTTTTTGTAAGGAAGACAGGCATATGATTGTTGAAATCAATTACATTCACATGTATTGTAGTCAATCCAGCTCGAACAATTGACCCACAACTGATTTTGTAGGAAATAAGCATGACATAGCTAGATGCTATCAAGGCATTTAAGGGACTAGCTAATGTTATTCTACAGTTTTCAAGTGCAAACTTATCTCCCACCACAGCAGAACAAGATACATTGGCATTTGAACCGATTGACTGCAAATCAATAATGCTGTAGCCAACAGGTAGTATTTCAGTGACATCAACAACTTGATTTCTAATCAAAGAACAATCATTTCTGCCGAATGCTTGACCTAGGACAAAGGAGTGTTTTTTTACTGCTGTCTTGGGGTGATCGCCTTTATCTGCTGCTTGAAAAGTGACATGGCTTGGGCAATTCAGGCAATCAACAGAGTTTGTGACATACAATTTAAAGTGACCAGCATTTGGCGATATTCGCTTCAGATAAAATTTCCCAGTTTCATTGCCAGATGTGATTTTGCAATAGTCAATTTTCCCATTCTTACCATGATCGCGGTCATTCACCACAATTTCTCCAAGTAATATCATATTGCCACTAACTTGTGGTGAATGCACAGCTTGAATGTGAATGGTAGGTGAATGCTCATTTACACGTCTCACCTTAATGGTAATCTTACATCTTTCCTCTTTGGAGGTCTGCTCATTCGTTTTTGCACTCATCTTATTCATTAATGCCACCAGGTGAAATTGGTTATTGTCAACAGGCAAAGGCAGTTTCAACATCAAAACACCATTTGCAGGGTTCAGAAGAAAATATGGTGACTTATTTTTAAGCAAGAAATGTACTTTTCCAACGTCGCTGAGATCTCGGCTACGAAGTTGTATGATCGGCTGAAAGAGTGGTAAGTCGCTGGGAATGACTGCAGACATCCTGGTTACGTTAAAACGTGCGTCGAAATTTGCAGGCAGTGGTGTATGAATAAAAACTTTCGTTTTATCGACTGTTCTTTCGTCCAGCTTCGCTTCAACATTCAAAATATACGACTCGCATCGTTTCTCGTCAAAGGGCTGCTTATTTATGATTTTCATCTCGAAAAAGTTACCGTAAAGTTTCCCTTGGACTTCGAACAAATCATCTCCAGAACAATTTACGCCGCCACGCGACCCCAATGGCAGAGAAGAGTCTAGTGAGCTGGCTATTGCATACTCGAAGGTAGAAAACCTTTTGTTCTTGTCCGAAACATACATTCCCATTTTAACAGGTGATTTGACATAACTGGTGACCAAGGAGAATTCGCTCAAAATTGCTCGGTAAAAACCCAAGCGAGTGAACGTGTTTACTTGAGTAGCTCCCTGCATCTCAAACAGGGACATCGGGCTTTCGTAAAGTCCATAATATCCAGTATTCTCACCACGATTTCCTCTCAAAATAACGAAACATAGTAGACTCAAGAATTCCCAAGTCATTCTTTTAACGTGTTTCACCGAGAATATTCTGTAATAAAAGAAACATCTTTCAATAAATCACCAGCAAATTGACATATTGCACTCACTGCATGTCGCTGAGTTGACTTGATGTGAACAATCATTTACACAAAATAACACGGCTATAATGCCGCAACGTCAATAGTGACATTCATAATACAAAGGATCAATCCTACAGACGAAGAACAAACATTGTGTTATTAAAAGCGACAGGTCTTACTGAAAAAGAGCAAGAAACTGCAAAATAACAAGTTGTTTACATCCGCTGCTGCTCAGGAGCACGCGAGACAAAATTAATTTAACTAAAAATCGTCTACGCATAAATTATAACTTGAGCGCGAAAAATGAATGTACCGTAAAAAGCGAAAAACAAAAAAAAAACACAAAAAACACTTGCGCTGTTTTTTATTACCCATTTTTTTCTGAATAGAGCAAACCAAAATCCAGAAAAAAATGGGGAAAGGGAGTTTTTCTCAGAGACCGACTTTTGTAGTGGCTTTATTCCATGGAAAACAAAAGCAAAAACATTTTACTCAGAGAGAATTTTCCCCCTCTTCTATCAGTTTCTGGACCAATTTCTATGTACTATTCCACACAGCCCAGCCCCCCTTCCTAATGTAACTACGAAATATCCACTGACATATATGTCGATTTCGCACATTTATTTATCGTATAAAAGAAATGACAAGGGTCTGACCTCTTTGTCAATGAAAGGCGTTAAAATGAGTAAATCGCATGGTGGATAAATACGCCAAATGACTTTTCCGACAAAACAACGATAAGCTGCGAACAGCAAGCTCAAAAAAACCAGGATTTCCAGCATCCAAAACGTTTTTAACAGACTCAACAAGTACACCTTTGGCAGAAACAATGCCGGATTACTAGATTGTCTATGCCTCTTGTTGCGTGCAGCAAGAATATCTAATAAGCGCTTTTCTTTAAAAAAGACAAAGTTTTCTAGGTAGTCTGCGACAGTTGGCTTCACAGTGCAGATTTCAATCAACAACATTAAAACCTGTTGCACATTTAAAGTTATATTTCACACCTATATGATATTAGCAAGTGACAATTAGGTCTAACAAGTCTAGCTAAATTTCTAATTCACTGCATAGTTGTACCATTTTCCTATAAAATATAACAACTGGTCGTTTAGCTGCAACCAAGAAGGGACCCCTACTGACTTCATCGATTTATATATAATGACTTGAGTGGCGTGACAAGCAGTCTAAAAATTTCTACGTCTAATTGTTTAAACGCTCGCAAGTGTTCATAACGCTCCTCAGATGGAGCGAACCATTAAAAATAGCGTGCTCCTAAGTAAACATATTTCTTCATTGTCATTTACAAATTGAAGCAATACAAGAGTTGCAAAAGAAAAATGCATCACAGTCAGAACTAATGCACATGCCTGAAAGTTCTTGAATGCGAATTTGTCTGAGAACCTAAGTGCATTGTCCAAGAACTGACAATACATCTATTCAAAAATATTACATAGACTTCATAGCTACAGTGCGCAGCTGCAACCCACAAAAAACACTTATTCTGCGACCGTCTACCTTTTGCCGTGTTATACCAACCATGACTGCGTCCAAGGTCAGCTGTATCAAATCTTATTCAAGCTCTAGGTTCGTACAAGTTACCCAATTTTTTCTGAATAGAGCAAACCTAAATCCAGAAAAAAATGGGGAGGGGCAGTTTTAAGTTCTCGGGGACCGACTTTAGTGGTGGCTTTATTTGATAGAAAACAAAAGCCCACAATTTTACTCAGATCAAATTTTCTCCCTCTTCTATCAGTTTCTGGACCAATTTCTATATACTATTCCACACACCTCAGTCACATTTCCTAATGTACGAAATACCACTGACATATATCGATTTCGCACATATATTTATAATACAAAAGAAATGGCAACGGTCTAACCTCTGTCAAACAAGGCAGGGAGTTAAAATGAGGAAATCATATGGTGGATAAATACGCCAAATATCTTTTGACGAGAAAACAACGACAAGCTGCAAGCAGCAAGCCCAAAAAAACAGGCTTTTTAGCATTCGAAACGTTTTTAACAGACTCAACAAGTTCCTCTTTGCCAGAAATTATGCTGGATTACTAAATTGTCTATGCCTCTTGTTGCGTGCAGCAAGAATATCTAAGCGCTCTCCAAAAAAAAGACAAAGTTTTTTAGGGAGTCTGCGACAATTGGCTTTACAGAACAGCTTTCAATCAACAACTTAAAACCTGTTGCAAATTTAAAGTTATATTTCACACCTATATGATATTAGTGACAATACGTCTAGCCAGTCAAGCGAAATTCTTAATTCGCTGCATAGTTGTACCATTTTCCTATAAAATATAACAACTGGTCGTTTAGCTGCAACCAAGAAGGGACCCCTACTGACTCCAACGATTTATTAACGACTTGAGTGGAGTGATAGGCAGTCTAAAAATTTCTACGTCTAATTGTTTAAACGCTCGCAAGTGTTCATAACGCTCCTCAGATGGAGCAAAACAATAACAATAGCGTGCTCCAATAGCGTGTTCAAACGCTCCAGCGTAAACATATTTCTTCATTGACATTTACAAATTGAAGCAAGAGTTGCTAGGGAGAAATGCATCACAGTCAGAATTAATGCACATGCCTGAAAGTTCTTGAATGCGAATTTGTCTGAGAACCTAAGTGCATTGTCCAAGAACTGACAATACATCTATTCAAAAATATTACATAGCTTTTATACAGTGCGCAGCTGCAAAATACTTCGTTGTGAGCAACTTGACCAGCGCCCACATACGTACTTATGACATTATTTATTATATATTTGCTTTCACAAAGTAGGATGAACGTCATTTCTTCATAAATACTGCTCTTTCAGCACCGTTTCAACATACAAGCAATACTTGTTTATGCACTTAATATCATTGAAAGGTGAATGGTCGATAAATCATCGTATACTGGCTTTACAAAATCGTACAATACTCAGTTTAAAAAGCAGGAAATCTATTATGTGCATAGTAATTTTGCTCAAGTAATCTGCACAACAGGAAGCCTATTGAAAGAAAGACTTCATCACGCGTCTAATTCCAAAAACAAGGTGAAATTATGCTTAGGAAAGTACATATACTTTTGAATTCCCACAAAAAACTCTGTTTGCTTTATAGTCCCAAGACTTTCCATTAGCCATGATAACATAAGTACATTGCTAAAAACACTGCGGTTAGTAGTAAAACACGAAGGAAAATTAAATAGGAAAAAATGTGCGCCTTTATGTATTTTGGTAAGTCATAAATGTTCATCTTTGAGTGTTTCCACAGACATTTGGGGACATTTTCAGTCGTCAGTACCAAGAAAATGTAGTTGTGCGAAACAAGCACGTGTTGGTATGTTGCAATGAGGCTTGTTTATTAGAGTATTTCGGTTCACAGATACTCAACAAATTAGGAAACAATCGACCAATAAACACGTATTATCGTTGCTAGCGTGGCTTATATTACCCTCCATAAAGAAACTCCCAATAAAGGTCAAGCTTTCACGAAAACTACGCTTTCAAATCATTCGACAGACATTACATTAAGTTATTCTCCTTGTAATTAGCACTCACTGGCGTTAAAAGTTTACTGACATATACAGCTCACCGTTTAAGCCAAAAGATGGTCAATAACACTTCTGATTTTTGATAATGTACCACACTTTGATGAGTAATACGAAAAAACAACAATTACAAAAGTGCGAAGGATAGTGAACTCTTAACGCATATCTGAACCACGATCATGCCGCTTTGAAATAACTCATTGACCGACACATTTGCATAAATTTTGCATTTTGTATTTATGAACAGGAAGAAGGCGATCATCTCGCTCGTCGCAAGTCAAACTAACTGATCAATTTGATACTCAATTGGCAAATACAATTAATTAACTGTATTTCAAATGTCTGCTCGATTAAATGACTCATTGCAAAAAGTTACGATTTGCAGAACGAAGGATCTCAAAAGCTCTATACATGCATTCCTATAAGTTGAGGGTATCTTTTTTTCAAGGAGTTAATTGACCAAAATTAATGAAATCAGTTTAGCTACAGCTGCAGCGCTATATATATAATATATACATATTGCAAGTATAAATCTATAAATACTATTGAAGCCCATGCACTTTACATTTAAACAAGGCTGTTTGTTTGATTTAATTTTCAAAGCATAATTATCAGTTCCATAGTTTTGACTAATTATTACCAAAAACAAGTTCAGTCGAGAGTTCAATTGCACGTCCTGATACATCTGCTGAACATCAATTAGTCAATTATGGGCAGCAAATTGCGGGAAAATATTTGTTTGATTTGGGTCAAAGTCATGCCTTTCTACCAAGTACAGTCAATAAACAATTCTTCAAACTGTACTGTATATAGAAATATTACTAGGCTACAAATACTCCGACAAAGTAGGAAAAACCTGAAAAAGTCAAGTTGATTGAACGCCGTAATTGACTAATGGGGACTATTGCCATGCCATCTACTTATAAACATACCATTTTTCCAAATGAATAGATTATACGTAGCATTTCGAGCAAGATTTTCCCACGCTATTAACGTATAAAATGTTTAGTGATCCATTGCCTTCTCGTATATGTGATAAATTTAGCAATCCTTTGTGCCAGACTATTATTAACCTTCTAATTGTACCCACTTTAATTGCGTCTATATGCTCTATCCACACGCATTTGCGTCAAGTGTGTGAATATTTGGGAAATTTCATTACTTTTGCTGGCAGCTTTTTAGGAAGAGATTGATTTTGATGAATTTTCAGTAAGTAGGATGTTGTAGCTATAGGTATAGATAACTGTATAGGTGGTATAAGGACTTTTCACAATGATATTTATTTATTAATTTGTATGAAGTATAAAGTCAAATTTTGCGATAGCACAGTTTTCCCATTGTGCTGATTGATGTCAGAGCTTCTCGTTATTTTGGAGAACTAAATTTAGGGCATTTTTGATCGTTGTATCTTAAATTTTAGGACGCA